AAGGCCAGCTGTGCACCTCCGCAGTCTCGTACGCTCGTGAACCCGCGGTAGAGCATCTGTGTGGCGACGTATGGCTGTCGCAGGAGGGAAACATCGTTGAAATTCCCAAACGCCATGGATAGATCTTTGAAGCCGGGAACGGCGACGAAGTGCACGTGGGCATCAAACAGACCTGGGCAGATGTACATGCCAGTACAATTTATGATCGTGTATTCTTGGGGTGGCGGACCAGGTAAAGACGATGTAATCACACTAATCACTCCCTCACATATCAGCACGTAATGATCTTCCAATATTGTACCGCTTGCGACCTCAACAATATTGGCGTGGGCGAGAATATAAAATCCAGGGTCTGGACGGAGCCAGGGTTTGATATCTGTAGTGGACGCCATGGTGAATGAGGCAGAATGGTGGAATTGAATCGAGAGGAGGAAAGATGGATGAGGAGGCGAGGCAAAGAGGGGAAGCGCTGGATGATAATGAGGGGTCGGCATTCGCGGCCGACGATCGGCGATCAAGAATCCTGATAAGCAGATAGTCATGGCATCTTTATCAAAAGTTGCCAAAGAGCCTCGGCATTGTGCCCATCAGCCCGCTATATTGAACACTACGCAAGGTATCTGTCTAAGGACCTAATTCGCTTCTCTGGAGTCCATTTACTCTCCACATCACGTTATTTCTGGCCCCGCTGTGCTTGGAGTGTCAGGAAATATAGGGTATCCGACGTTCCGGACAATGTAACAAATTGGTAATATCAGAGCAGACTAGAGCCAGTGATGGCCAATAGATAACAAGGAAACACTGAAAGTCTCATCGAGTACCTAGGAAAAAGCTTCCACCCATTCGCGCACCCATTTCCGGATCCATTCATCTTGAACTGCTGGAACGCTCCGGAGTATAGCACTCGATTTGGCGGTCTTTTCAGTCTCCGGTAATGCATGTATCGCATCACTGGCAAATACATCTCGATAAAAGTCCAGCATGCGCATGGCGGAATATAGACCAGACATCTTTTGCCGGCATGAGGTCCGGCATACCTCTTCCTGCTGGTTTTGGTTATGGGGTTGTTCAGAGCCTGAAACATGTGAGTCACGCTCGATTTGGATCTGCTGTATCCATTGATGAAGTGAAATGGGTTTCAAGCGTTGACCAGTGATATTTTGTGTCTCCTTGATGATGATATCGTGAACGACACGCCAGTCGACGGGGTGAAGATTTACAGGATGAAAGACCTGGAGTCGAGACTCCACTTCGTTACCCCTTCTAGCATTGTCAAAACCATGGGATAGCGCAAGATCGACTAGAATGTCAGATAATAGGTCAACGGGAATCCAGTCGACGTGACTCCAACGCTGCCCCAGAGAGTCAGGAAGAGCGCCCATTTGTAGTGATGCGGAAACCAGCCCTGATAACCAGTCGTCAGGGCTCCACACGGATGGATGTTTCATTGTGCCCGGGGTGTATGTCAGACGAGCAATAGATATGGGTATGCTTAGCTGGTCATGGGCGTAGTGAAGAAGCTGCTCTCCGACGTATCTGCTTTCGCCGTAGTTGTTAACACTGGGCTGATCCATCTGTATCAATTGCTCAGGCAATGTCCCGGAGTCGCCGTGCAGCTGGAGAAGGGCACCAATGGAAGTGACCCAGAAGAGCTTTGGTCGGGCAAATGCGACCGCACAGAAGTGGAGAAGGTTAACCAGGCCGACAAGATGGGGTTCAAATGAGGAGAATGCCCAATTGAGGTTGATAGGCCATGCGTTATGAAGAATGATCGTGACATTGTGCCGAAGATTGTCAATGATACTAGGTGGGAGGCCAAGTTCCTTCTGCGATATATCAGCTTCTAAAAAGGTAATATCCAGCGGATCCAGATTGGTTCCAAGTCGTCGGCATTCGTTAGCAGCTATTTGGTGCGCAAGGCCATTGTGGACATGTGAAAGACAGTAGACATGGGATACCGAGGGATGTTTGAGAAGCATATCAAGAATGTATGGTCCTGCCCCATTTATACTGTCGGTGAGCATAACAGAATGTTTTTCTTGCCGGCAATATGAAGCCTCCACCCGAGGGATTCGGTCGATCAAGCCTTGATACATCTGTAGCGCTTTGTATCTCTCAGTTAATCTCTTACTTACCATACCCTGCTGATGAGCCCTATCATTTTCGCAGCTTTTATCGACCAAGGCCTGTGTCAGAGCTGTCACGGAAGGGTTCGCATACAACGTCCCGGGAGAAACGCCCGTGTCAGGTAAGCCTCTTCTGAGGATCCGTACTGCGCTTAGAGTTTGCTGAGAGTCCATTCCTCGAACATAGAGATCTTCGCTCTCATCTAAGTGGTCCCACCACGTAATTTTCTTGATGGTCTTTTTGATGAAATTAGCCACTGCTTCGGGGCGTGACATTTGGTCAGGATTAAGAATGCATTGCCCGTCTTCAATGGAAGTATCAAGTGCAATCGATGCATGAAGTGCTTCGAGTTCCTGCTGGTATAACGCAATTGTCGCTGCGCGTTGAATGGTTCCTTTTGCAGAACGCATCATTGGTTTTTCAGACTGAGTAAACAGAATATGGGTCTTTTCAATGCGTGCGTATGCGGGAACGACTTGATTCGCTTCTTGAATGATGGGCCATATGGTTTCCAACAATGCGTCACGATCCTTAGATTCTGACTCACCCACAACATCTTTCTCCTCCACCAATAGTATCGGTTGGAAATGCTGTGATCCTGTAACTAGAGCTCCCGAAATTAATCTGCTGCGAGATGTGATGCAGTGCTCCATGCCGACCGGGTTGATCTTCTCCCCATTGGTAAGGACGATAATGTCATCTCGCCGGCCACGCCACGTCCACAGTCCCGACTTCTCGGGTGATGGATGGCGCTCAAAAAGATCTCCTGTTGCATAGTCGCTTGCATCTGTGAAACCAGGGTATGTAAAGACAAGCTGCTGTGTCTCCACGAGATCCTGACGAACCATGCATAGTTCATACTGATCATCCATTGCGGATCGAAACTCTAAGCCCATATCTGGATGAAATTCAAGATATTTCCAATCCTTTGGTTTGCGGTAAGAATTGGACAAAATCATGGGTAAAAGCCCTAGTTCTGTCGAACCGTATTGGTTGTATAAGGGAATCTTAACTGCGATCACGTCCCCTACTTGTTGTGGGAGGTCTCCACCGCAGTAGATAATACAATCTAAGCTTAGGGCACAGTATTCTAGCAGATCAGGCTCTTGTACCAGCTCTTCCAGAATCGATGGAGGAACGATGGCTACCTTAGCCTTGCTTTGCTTTATACCCTCCACGAGTCCCGAGGCTGATGGGATCGCTGCTGAAAGTGGGGCAACCATGACAGTGCTAAATGGTAGGGCATTTAGAAGTAGGCTAGCCAAGCAGGCACCCTGCACTGTATTAGCTCTATTCTCAAGTCGCACGAGAGGTGGGCTAGTCCTGGGCCCAAAGGAGAGCATACATGAAAGGGAGGAAGAACTAGAAACACTCGCTTCCCATAGTAAACCTTATTCAAACATTGGTATTCCTCAGGGGCTTCCAAGCAATGCATCTTCATCCCCTTCTTTGCCGTATCATGCGTGAATGTCATAGGTCTGGGTAGTCTTGTTGAGCCGGAAGTATGGATGGTCAACAGGGGTTCGGACAAAACCTCTCCGAGAGACCTCGAGAATGGAAGGGGTGGATAAGCTGTGTCGAGGAGCTCTTCTGTTGTCGGTACATCCAGCACGTGCATTTCGTCGCCTTCTAAAATTCCGACAATATGTGGGGGACGTGGTGTAGGGCAAATGATAACCTTGCACTGCATATGATGAAGTAGTTCGCGTTGCACAGAGGCACTGTTCCTGGGCGAAGGGAAGAACATCTATGGTAACATGAGAAACTGCTTTCACTCAATCTTTAGGGTAATTTGTCTTCCACATACCGAATATCCAGCTTTAATGGATGCCAGTGTCAGCACACTATATCGCATATCATTTGGTCCGATGTAAGCAAGTTTCGTCGACCCGTTGCCCATTTCGAGGTTCTGGATCAGCCATCTGGCAACTCCATTGACAGCATTAGCCAAATCATGATAGGTTATCTTGCGGTATCCCTGGCTATAAGTTGATTGGGATACGGGATACTCTGCGAAGACAGCATCTGGTCGAATATGAGCATAATGATCCAATATTCCTGGTAATGTGTGCTCAGTCGGATCAAAGTCACTAAGGAGAAGGTGTTCCATCATGGTCGCTGTATCATAACAGTCTGGCGCTGTGTTGTGATTAAGTGCCAAAAGCATCTGTTGTGCATACGAGGCATCAGTCTCCAGGTCACCGCTACCTCGACATGAGCACTCTCTGCACGATTTTCTGTTCTCGAACTCTCTTCACTGTGGGATTTTCGTCACCCTCATCGAAAGAAAAGATGCCCTGACATCAAAATCATGGGTTGTTCTCCTGCTATCATGCCACAATACTGATGTAGTGCGGGTGGTATTGCAATTACGGCTAATACACAATCGTTTGCAAAATTCGCTCGTGTGTACTAAAATATTACGAATACGTCACCACCATAACAACCTGATTGCAAGAATGCTGATCTTCTGCACAAATAAAAAGCGGTAAGCCGTCTCCTGTGTCACGTAGACTCAAAATCCTATCGACGACGTAATTGGCCTGCGGTCCGGGCCCCCTTTATACTCATTGCAGAATCTGGTTATCCATTGTGATTACTACGTGCGGCAAGGGAACGAATGCCATTCTCGGATCAGTGCATACAGTGAACCTTCGATAAAACAGGTCTGAGGATGGCTTGCCTAATCTTATGTTGGAAGAAAGGGTAGCATGCTTGGCCGTGTCTTCTCTGGAGAATCCGCCACTATGGGGATCATCGTAGTTGCCTTCATTTACAACGTAGACCCTAGCATTAATTAGTTCTATGTAACCTTCATGTATCCCCGCTTCAGCCGAGCTATCCTTTAACAAACTCGGAAACTTTACATAAACATGGAAACCACGAAATCACCCGCATCCGTCATTGTGATTGGTTAGCAAGCCGAGAACCTGCAAAACCACCTTTACTGACCAAAGCAGGTGCTGGAGCCGGCGGTATCGCTGCGGCGGCTCGGTTGGCCCTTGAAGGCTTCCAGGTGAAAGTGGTCGAGAAAAATAATTTTGTTGGAGGTAGATGCTCACTTCTTCACAAAGATGGATATGTATGTATTCTTGTTGCAGCAGATTTGTTTTTCATTAGTCTCATGTTCTAACATGCTGAAAGAGATACGACCAAGGTCCCTCTCTAGTGCTTATGCCGGAGTTCTTCCGCCAGGCATTCCAGGAGCTAGGCACTTCTTTGGAGAACGAAGGTATTCATATGCTTGAGTGTGAGCCCAACTACTGCATCTGGTTTCCAGATCATGATCACATCGAGCTCTCCCGCGACATCCCCCGTCTCAAAGCGCAGATCGAGTTTCATGAGGGGCCAAGGGGGTTCAGCCGTTTCTGTACTTTCCTCGCCGAATCGGGCCTGCAATATGAGCTTTGTAAGGAGAGTGTCTTCAATCAAAGTTTTCCCACCCTAAGAAGCATGTTCCATTCGGCGCTTTTCAAAGGTTTCCTTTATATCCGGCCTTGGACAAGCATGTACAGCCAAGCAGCCAAATATTTCCGATCGGAAAAGATGCGTCGCGTTTGGAGTTTCGAAAGCATGTATCTCGGGATAAGCCCTTATCGCGCCCTAGGTGCCTTCAGTCTATTGCCTTACATTGAGATGACTGATGGAATCTGGTATCCGAGAGGGGGCTTTCAGCGCGTATGGAACTAATTCCCTCAAAGAAAGGAACAGTTGAGCTGATTTACCACCACAGGTGTTACATGCCCTCAGTAGAGTGGGACGTCGCCTTGGGGTAGAGTACTTATTGGATAGCCCGGTAGCCAAGATTGAGCTCAGTGATGATAATGCAAAAGCAACAGGTGTGCGTTTGGAGTCCGGCGAGGTTCTACGAGCTGATATCGTTGTGGTGAATGCTGATTTGGTCTATGCTTATAACCATCTTCTGCCTCCCTCCCCCAAAGCTGAACGCCTACGCAAGCGGTCTACCTCTTGCAGTAGCATCTCATTCTACTGGGCCTTCAATGAGCAGATTCCTGAGCTTCGACCTCATAACGTGTTCCTGGCAGGCCAGTTTCGCGAGAGCTTTGATAGAATCTTTAACGATCATGACGTGCCGGAAGACTTTTCCTTCTATGTCAATGTTCCCAGCCGGGTAGATGTGACAGCTGCCCCAGCAGGGAAGGAATCCGTCATGGTTCTCGTCCCGGTCGGTCGATTAGTTGACACCCTGGGTCCCGATGAACAAGAAAAACGGTGGAATGAATTAGTAGCTCAAACGCGCAACATTGTCCTTGACACAATCGAAGCACGTACAGGAGCCCGCAATCTGCGTGAAAAGCTTGTCCACGAGCTTGTGAACAGTCCTCTTACGTGGCGTGAAAAGTTCAACTTGGATCGCGGAGCCATTCTAGGCTTGTCTCATGACTTTGACAACGTTCTTTGGTTTCGTCCGCATATGAAACATCCCGCTATTCAAAGCTTGTATTTCACGGGCTGCAGTACACATCCAGGCGCAGGAGTTCCCGCATGTCTGCTCAGTGGCAAGTTCGTGGTCCAACAGATAATGGAAGACTGGATGGAAGCGAAAGCTACCACCAGGGATTATAGACTATGGGTAATGTTGGCAATGGCGTTTGGGCTTCTGACGGCTCTGTCTTTAGCAAAGTCGTCCTACTTGTCGTAGTCGTGCTATCTAGAAACTGAGCGGTGGCTCCATTCCAGACTATTATTCAGCGTACAATTCTCATGTGCCGCCTATTTCTCTTCTTTACCCCACATCCTGGCGATTATATGCCCAAGAAACGTACAAGAAACGTAGTCTCTGTTTTTGGATATATGGTCGCTTTGCATGACCGGTGTCAACACGATGGGCAGTGATCCTTAATCAGAATCCCTCAATCAGAATCTCTCCAGGCAAATGGTGCTCAGGTTTCCGGACCTCATTCTGGTCAATCCCTGATAACATCACTGTTGTGGAAATACCGGGTCAATCTTCAGTACCTTAACAGTGATGGCGCGTCATCTCAGCTGGACACTTCTACGCAATACCAACAAAAATAGACTATTCATATACAATATTACGCAACCGAGTGTATAGCGCGTATGAAAAACCAGAATTCAGATACGTAGACACATATTCAACCGACTGTGATAGCAATGATCCCTCGTAGTACCACATCTTACTGACCCAGACATAGAAAGCTATCCAAGGACCCCGGACCAAGCAAATTTAAACATGCCGTGACTAAAACAACAACCAACGTAAAAGTCACCCAAATATAGGCAGTCGCGAACATCTTTGGTTGTTGGGGCCTTGTGTCCCGTAAAATCTTCTCGCAGACCAACTTACTTCCGGCTAAGCAGACTGGGACCCCTGTGCCGGGGTGGGTGCTAGCTCCGGCAAAGTAGAGTCCATCTATCCTCGGATGTTTGAGACTAGGCCGAAAGCTCAACATATTGAAAAAAGAGTGCGAGAGCCCAAGTATAGCGCCACGGTCGAGGTTGAACTTATCCTTCCACGTGTGAGGGGTCTCATATGTCTCATGCAGCAATTTCGATCTCAAATTTTGTATCCCAGTCCTTTCTTCGATAGTCTTTATAACTAAATCACGTATGTCTGGTATAATCCTATCCCAGCGCTTCTGATCATTGATTCCTGGTTCCGCCAGGCTCCCCACGGGCACCAGCACAACCACGGCGTCTTTGCCAGGTGGGGCTGCTGTTGGGTCAATCCGACTGGGAACATTCACATAGAACGAGGGTTCATCTGGGACACTGTGGTCAATGAATATGGAGTCAAAGCTCTCACGATATTTATCCGCAAGAAATATATTGTGGGATTTGAGCTGTGGAAAGGTGGTGTCAAATGCCCAAAAGAAAGAGATACTGCTGCAGGAGGTATGCCGTCGTTGTAATGACCTACCGTATCCTGATTCTGGGAGTAGATTATTGTAGGCATACACTAGGTCTGCGTTTATGACAACCAGATCAGCGTATATTGCTTCACCTGAACTGAGCCGAACACCCTTTGCCGAGCGCTGGTCCGGAGCTAGGAGAACAGAGTCAACTGGGGCCCGTAGACGGTAGTCCACGCCCAGTCTACGACCAACGTCTGCAAGGGCTTGTAGGACCTGGTGGTGGTTAGTTGTTGATTTGTATTCGTAATGTGCTATTCAGTGGAATATGGGAGGTGCCTGATCTGGTATGATTGACAGGTTTAACTCACCTTTTGAAACCCACCACGGGGATACCAAATTCCATCGACGGTCTCGGAGTACTGCAAAAGGCTATATGTTCCAGGTGCCTGGTATGGGCTCATACCCATGTACATAGAAGCAAATGTCCATGCTTGCTTCATCTTGGTACTAGTAAAGTACTGCTCAACGATACCAGCCATGGTAGTCCATGGGCGCATAGCGACGAGCGCCCTCAAGACGTTGGGCTGCAGAAGACTGAGGAAGTGTGGAAAATCTCTGTTCAATATATAGTCCAAGGTCAAATTGTAGTATTGACCAGTCTCCTTCAGGAAGTCCAAAAGCTTAGAGAGGCCCGTTATACCCTCGTGTCGGATGACCTCCTCTTTCAACCGTGATATATCAGAAGATAGCTCCACAATATCATTATCTGGAAACCAAATGCAGTAGTTGGGTTCGCATTTTAGTAGCTCTACACCTTCCGAACTGAGGGATGTTCCAAGATCTTGAAACGTTCTGCTGAAGATTTCACGCATTAAGAGAAGAGATGGCCCTTGATCGAAGCGCTATATTGCTTTAGTTTAGTGGTAAATCTTTATAGACCGAGAACTTACGTATCCATCTCGTTGTATAATAGAACATCTCCCTCCAACAAAGGCATGTTTCTCCAGCACAGTCACCGTGAATCCCTCCCGGGCAAGTCGCGCGGCAGTTGAAATTCCTCCCACACCCGCGCCTGTGATGTATTGATCAGACACTATGGCACCGTCGAAAGCAGGCTGCAAAAGCAGGCTGCAGAAGCTCTGTTTAGAATGTACATACCGACTACGATGGCGGACTTTTTGGCCATTCTGTAAGTGTACTTGACGTCTCCTCTGGACCAATGTGTCAAGTTTCGGGCAGGATTGAAGTAGTGAAGAGGGCCGGGAGAACGCAGGATTACATTGGATGATAGCACAGTGGCGTCGAGTAACGCTGCTGCTCAATCCATCTGACTAAATCGTATGTGCTCCTTGCAGACTTCTTCATCTGGAGTGTATCTTTTCATACAAGTGTCAATTACCGTATCAGCCCGGTATTGTAAATTGCAAAAGTGGGACATCGACATCGTACTTAGACGGATGGAACGTTCTTTTACCGAACTTTGCCATCCTTGTTCAAACTTTTGCGTGACCAAGTAAAGCAGGGAAGAGGAACGATCTGCAATTTACTCACCCACCGAGATATAGAAGACTTTTTCGCGTGAGACGCTGAATCAAATGTCAACCTTGCATTTCTACTGTCTTCCAAAGCCCGATCCTTGCTGCACCAGTCCAGAATTTCCCGCTCTATGCGCCGAGATGGCTGCCTTCATGTCTATGCAATCCTGTTACAAGATAGGTGTGCGGCATACTGTGTCCAGTGTTGTGATACGGTGCCTAACGGATGAGAATATAATACGCCATGGAGGGGTACGTGCAGCAGAGCCCATACTTCATCATGCAGACCTAATTCATGCAGGGGGTTATAGCCAGACCAAACTACCTGAGGATGAGTTGTTTTCTATGACACTGCATCATATGTTGTATGGTAGGACAGCATGAATTCTTTCAGGCAGGCCTAGATAACTGGTCATGGCTACATATGGACTAATGGATGCATTGTTGTAGTCGTGTAACAGATGTGCTTCATCCTGCGAAGCTAAAAGTCTTCAGTAGCTGTACTATGCCATACGTAGTACTCAAAAAAGCGGCTTGCGGTGGTATAAACGAATTCTTTACTTTAGGCTGATAAACCACAAACATTGAGGATATACATTCTGTGTCCTACTTGTATCACCGCACACTGTACAGGATTCATGCGTTTATCGAAATATAGCTTTGATATCAAGCCATCATGGCACGATAGGTGACCAGTAACCGACGCCACAAAGACAACTTAAGCTTCTTGACCGACCCAGAGCGATGTCCACGCTTTAGAGCAGCCCCAATCTCCATGTAATTTTCGATAACCGCACGTAGAGGGCCTTGAAGCTCTACCGGTAGGGAGGCTAGCGCTGGTAATGAACGATCGTGATATTCCTGGGCTTTGATAAGGACACGCTCCCTCATGCGCTCGACGGATTCAGTGTGTTGACCTCTGATTACATCCACAGGCGTGATACCTTCTTGCTTGAGCCAGGTAGTAGGAATGTAAACTCGACCTATCGCAATATCTCTTTCAATGTCACGCGCTATATTGACCAACTGTAGCGCTCGACCCATCATTTCTGCTGCTGCCAGGGTCTCATTTCTCACTGTATCGTTCGTAGCATGTGCATAGCAAGGGAAATGATGTACGAGCAAGTCTATCATGCTTGCAGCCACTGTGCCTGCGACATGGTAGGCGTAGTTGTCCAAGTCTTGCTCTGAATGTATGGGGAATGAGTTGGACTCGCTATCAAATCTTAGATCCGTGCGGAATCCTTCAAGAAGACATTGTAATGGCTCAAGGCGCAGCCTTGTTGCGGGTAAATTTTTTATCGCTTGGGTGAGCTCCGGGTACTTGGAGTATCCTAGTTCAACGCAGTCCACCTTTGATGTAAAGCGACTTTCCAGCTCCAAAGTGCACTGGTCAAGGACATCTGAGGCACTCTTTCGATCTCCGGCCTCGTCGACCAAGTCATCTGCAATTCGGCAGAAGGAATAACTTCGATGTAAATTAGTTTCATTACTCATTTAAAAAAGATTTGTTGACGTACAGCATGATCAAGTCGATTCGGAGTGGCCCCTGAAACATAGCAGAACCAATATACATACTCTGACTCGAAATAGCCAGGCGGCAAACCGATTCGTCAATGGAGGCCACAAAATCATCATTTAGAGTATGTGGCAAGCGAACAAAATCGTGTAAGACATGATTGTATGAAAGAGGAGTATTGATAGTACCAGGCGAGCTAGCTAGTCGACCGTGTGTCAGAGCTATTGCAAAGTCACTTACTGCAATGCCAAACACTATCATCATATTTGTGAGCAAAAAGAATAATGCTTCTCTGTGATGAAATTTAGCAAAGTCTCTCCAGGCTGCTTCTCGTGACATACTCGATATCGAGCTCGCCCCATATTTGCCAGTCAAGCTTAGTTCCACCCTGAATAACCCAGATTCCCTGCTGCAAAGCAAATGTGTCAACTGCCCACAAGAATAATGTAGGTAGTATCACAGATATCAGTAGCATCTGCACTGGGAGCTGGACTATGAAGCCGCCTGCGAGTAGCCTGCATACAAATTAAGATTAAAAAGGACTCCTTCATCTCATGTGGGTTTTTACCATTGTAATAAGAGAATTGGGCAGGCCCAAGCGAGAATGAACCCAAGGTAGGTGTATCTACCCCCATGCCAGATGCAAAACATACCAGCCACAGTGAATGCAGCAAGAAAAATGATGCCTAAAGCTCGATAGATTGTGGAGACCTGTCGCAGAAAGGAAGGGAAAACCAAATGACGTGTTAGCATGACATATAGCATCCCCGTGTTGTAAGTCTGAAACGCGACGAAAAAAACGTCTTCCACCGGAACGAGCAATATCCTGTAGCCGAATAATGCACTAGGATTGTAGGAGAAAATTTCGTTGTGGATCAAGTACGAATCCCATGGTATAGTCGCTCCGACTGCTACCTGTAAATATATTAGAGTGAGAATAGCACAGCCCAAAGCGCTACAGTCAAGGTAAACGTACACCTATAATAGTGCAAAGCTTTGCCCAGTCCAATCGTGTCATAATGGGCCATGATAATGCGGTAACCCCAAGCGCCCACGGGACGTTGGAGTAAAAATGTCTGCTGTACTCAGTGAAAGGTAATTGCTCGCATGGTAGATATTTGCCTACATGATTGCATACTCATATGGCATATTGAGTTGATTGTCTCCGAGCCAAGGGTGCAGTAAGGTACTCAATGATAGTAGCGAAGTACCTCTATCTAGTGACGGAGACAAGATAACTCATTGCACCCTATATAATATTTGCCAATGCCAAGACGGTAAGATAACGAGGTCAAGGTACACCAAGGGGTGTAATAAAATATCGACTTGACTATGTTTAGTCGATCATGACGCAGTTATCTTTGAGCTACAGAGGAGTGCGGTGTTCCTCAAGCTGCATTACAAGACGGCAGAATCACTCTGAGGTTATTTGGCGCTCATTCAAGGATAGAGATGCTGGTCCTTGCCTCGACATAGTTGAGCATATATCTACAAATGCCGTGGTACCTTGCCTTGATGTTGTGCTACCTACAATTGCCGAAGGGTATTAGATGGTCTTATTAACGACCACTGATGACGTATACCTGGCGTCGAGCCTGATTATATATCTTATTTTTGTCCAGCCGAGCTAGGCTAGATAAATATGTTCCTTATACACACCTTTTCAACATTCGGGTTGGTAATCCTTAAGCTGTGAAGCAACAGAGCAAAGAAATGGCAGGTCGGCAAAAGAATTTGTATGAATCCCTTGCTCCCAAATAAGCTACTATGCTAAAAGACGATGAATAGGTATCTCCTCGGAAACTTTGCGCCCATCCAGACCACGGTGTCTGACATTACCTGTGATGTGAAGGGCTCAATACCCGAAGAGTTTTATGGTGGTCAATACGTTCGGAATGGAAGTAACCCGCTTAAAGATGACACAAAGCACGATATCCACTGGTTCGACGGCGATGGCATGCTCACTGGCGTTTTCTTCAAGCGGGATCCAGATACACCAGGAGCCCAGCCGGTTTTCTCTAATCAGTATATCGTGACAGATGTTTACGGTGCCCGTAAAAAGTCCCCATGGATCTACCCCGTCATTCCTGGTATGAACACCATGATTGATCCCAGATCATCATCGATCAAAGTAGCAATGAGCGTCGTACGCACAGCAGCGATAGTAACTGCCTCGATCTGGGGTTGGATCGCCCGTCCAATTAAAAGAATAGGTACTGCCAACACAAGCCTCTTTCATCACGATGGCCGAGTCCTTGCCACTAATGAAATCGGGCCTCCCATGCGGGTTTTTCTTCCCTCATTGAAAACCGTTGGCTGGTTTACCGGAAGCCAGGCTGAAGGCGAGTCAGATCAGGAGGATCCATCAATGCCCTATTTCGGTGCTCCTGGTCTTGAAGGGGTGTACAAAGAAATGACTACGGCTCATGTATGGAATCTAGGCCGACCCAGAAGCTTATTTCTTGGAAGCTGACATCATCTCAAGCCCCGTGTGGATCGCAAGACAGGAGAACTCATATTGTTCCATTCCACGTTTCTCCCGCCTTATATCAATTACTCAATCGTGCCGCAAGGCGTCCCTACCAACGCCACCCCGGCTTTGAACCAGGCTGTGCCGGGATTGAAATCAGGGAAGCTGATGCACGATTTTGGAGTGTCTCACAGGCACACCGTACTTATTGATACACCTGTTTCGTTGGATCCCTGCAGGCTTCGCCATGGTAGACCAGCGGTCGAGTACGACCCCGCAGGTCATACACGCCTTGGGGTCTTTCCACGACACTCACCAGATAGGGTAAAATGGTATACAACCGATGCCTGCATAGTGATGCACACCGTCAACACATGGGACGAGAGGGATGTCAATGGCTACCGAGTTCATACCTTGCTGTGTCGCATCAACAGCCTTTCTTCTCTATACTGGATGGGTGGGCTGGACTGTCCGGAATGGGCCTGTCCATCTGAACCCGAGTGCCGCCTTTACTATTATCAGTTTCCCTCCGCCGGCTCCTCGGATCATATCGTACAGCAATGGGCTCTGTCCGTGATCCCGTTTGAGTTTCCTCATGTCCCTGGACATCTGCAAATGAGTGCAACAAAGTATGTCTACGGCTGTTCGATGAGGGAAGGAAACTTTGCGACCACGCATAACAGCTGCTACAAGATAGATAGCTTGGTGAAGGTCAACGTGGAGTCAATTATCCGCAAGGGGCTTGATAATCCACCATCCCAGGTTCATGGATGTGTTGATACTCGCTCTATCCACGAGATCATCAACTCCCAGGATCCGCATGATCCCATCCAAGTTTTTGCTCTGCCTCCAAGGCATTACGCACAGGAATGCTCATTCGTGCCTCGCAAGGATGGTGTCTCTGAGGATGATGGATGGCTAGTTACGTATGTCTTTGACGAAGCTTGGTTGGACGACAGTGGGGTTCCTCTACCTGATGCACACAGCGAGTTGTGGATCATTGATGCGGTGAGCATGAAGGAAGTTGTTGGCCGGGTGATCTTGCCACAACGGGTTCCATATGGGATGCATGGAAACTGGTTCTCGGAGGAAGAGATCTTGAACCAAAGGGGGTTCCATCATTATCGCAATGAGTAGATACGACAACTCCATGCAAGTGTCTGAAGATTGGGCATTGCAGATACGAGGTCGCAAGTTGATATTCCTTCCCGAAATGGATCCGTGCATTGTACCGTATCTTTCAAAACCATATACTGTAATTTACAACATACAGAACCCTGGTTTAGTGAAGATGATCGGCGCAAGGGGATTGGATGCATGCATAACGCACCTTGGGACGATGAGATATCCTCACGGAGAATATTCCCGCAACAATTATCACCTGTGATATGTTCGTGTGACTCTGCCTTTTATCCGCGTGATGATCGGGTCAAAACCAGTGACAATTTGACAATGATTTGTTGAAGCAGTCACCCATGTAGGCTTGGTTGGCGCTCGGGCCACCACAGGAAGCCCCTCATCGCGCTCGTTTCGCTGCGCGCTCTAGATAGGCAATACAACTGATTTTGCTGCATTCTCTTGCTCCGTTGTCCTTACTCCCGCTGTAGGGCGCGTGCCTTGAATTGGTTTAACAAGGATGGTCTGCATCGTCAGGAATGGAGAAGTGCATGGGGGTAACAAGGATTGGACTGCAATATGAGGGGCATGCCACAGAACAAGTATCTGATTAAAGCCAACAACCATATATTTGTCGTTGTCGGGATCCTCCAATACACATAGTACAGTTATTGATACAGTGACTTTTTGGAAAGTAAATCAGGCTTTACCTTCCATTCCACCATGATATTCTCCTCAACAAGGCCCAGGCTAGATGGTATGACCATACTGCGATACAGTGCGCATTTTTCAACCTGACAGAAAAGCAGTCCCCACAGACGTAACTATTTGGGACTGGCTCTTCGAATCCAGGCATTACACTGCGCAACAAGCTACAAAAAGAGGTGGCTTCAACAATGCTGCCACGGGTGTGCGGATAGGCTACAAGGATGTGAAAGCTTATTCCACTTTCGCATCAACCGCGTTAGTACAGAACCATGGCCTTCGGCCTGGTGACACCATCATCATTCTTAGTCCGAACTTGATACAGTATGCAGTAGCAATGATGGCGATTGTTCGAGCTGGTTGTCACCCACGCTTCATTGGCGTCCTTAAACAGGTATGCTTGGTTTACTGACTTTCATTAGGTGGTATTGTAGCAGGCGCATCCCCTGCTCATGGTGCAGATGAACTAGTCTATCTCCTCGTTTCTTCACGCGCCAAGTTCATTTTCACCATTCCTTCCTGTCTGTCTAAGGTTATGAGATCAGCAGACAGGGTAGGAATTCCGCATGCGAGGGTGTTCCTGCTGGAAGGGCGACAGGATTCTCAAACAACGCTGCAGGATTGCATTGATATTGGAAGATCTTATGGCCCTGGCGGTCAGGAGGGGTCGTTCAAAATACTGGATGGGAGCAGTAACCGGGATTCGTGTGGATACCTGAACTTCAGTAGTGGAACCACGGGACGGCCAAAAGCTGTAAGTTTCAAACTATTGCATTTGTCTTCATGTGTTTCTATGATACCTGCTAATATAGAATGGCAGGTCATGCTGTCACATCATAATATCATAGCACAGTGCATGCAAGCTGGGCAAACGTCTGACATCGAGAACAAGAAGATGCTCGCCGTGCTCCCGCTCTATCATGGTAGGACTGTGTCCCCTCTGGATGTATGTTGGGTATTGGCTGATAAACTCGACTACAAGTCATAGGATTGATCCATCTGATACACGTGCCCATAATGCGTGATATGGAGGTATTGATGCTGTCGTCATTCACCATGGAATCCATGCTAGACACCATTGTGAAGCACCGAATCACGGAAGTGCCAATTGTACCCCCCATGATTGTTCGACTTCTTAATGATCCAAAAGTGGCACAGTATGATCTTTCCCATGTTAAAACCTTCTCTTCTGGTGCAGCGCCAATTGCAACAGAGTTACTTCGCCAGCTAGAAAAAGCTTATCCCGGAACTGGCCTGAAGCAAAGCTACGGGATGACGGAGACTTGTGGCGCCCTAACGACCCATTCCCTTAATGAAGGGGGATACAAGTATGCGCATACTGTTGGTACCATCATGGCTAATACAGAGCTGCGGATTGTTGATACAATGACATCATTTCCCTTGGGTTATAATGCACAGGGAGAAATTCACGCCAGAGGCCCGCAAATAGCCATGGGATATTTAGGTAATGATGAGGCTACTAACAAGACCTTTCCTCCAGATGGTTGGCTACGCACCGGTGACGTTGGTTTCATTGACAGCGAAGGATTTCTGACCATCACCGATAGGATCAAAGATATGATTAAAGTCAAAGGCATAGGTGTGTCTCCTGTAGAGTTAGAGGATAGCTTGTTGCAGCACCCGGCTGTGGCGGATGCAGCGGTTGTAGGTATTCCCGAGGAATACTCGGGACAAAGACCGAAGGCATATGTGGTGATGAAGGGAACATCTGACAGTGGAGCAACTGGGGAGATTTCTTGGCGCGTTGTGGGTCAGGAGCTGATGGAGCTGATCCGGTCTCAGAAAGTGCGTCACAAGTGGCTGTCGGAAGTTGAATTCATAGATGCCATTCCAAAAGGGCCCAGTGGTAAAATCCTCCGCAGGAAGCTTCTCGAACGCGCAGAGGCAGAAGGCATGCAGCAGTGCAGGATTGTGCGGGAAATTCAGTCAAGGGGGAAGCTGTAAAATTTCAGGGGCATGTATGTAACTTGTCACATCCAAGAAAGGGCATTTTACTATAGCCCTAGATATTTGGCTAGCTAGCCGTACTGACGACGTCCTGATCGGGTTTCTTTGTATCGATTTCCTTTTCCAATATCTGCGCCATTTCCGCCATCCCCTCAGTCAACAAAATACTGCTTCCAAGGCAAAGTGAGGAACTCCAAGAGATTTTCCCTGCAAGTGTACCGTTTTGTGCAGCTTCAGTGAGAACCCTTGCCTCGTTAGCTCGCTATAGGCGTAGCTTGGTGTGAGACTGAAAGAGGAATGTCACCCCTCACGAAAAAAACATTGGAGCAAAGGCCTATACTCTCCCTTGTATATACCCTGGACTAGAAGCCGAACAACGCCTTCTCTCTCCAATCCTTTATTGCGACGAATTGTTTTTTTTTCCGTGGCCTTTCATTGACACTCAGCACTGACATCTACCATTATGACCCACATACTGGATGTTTACCGAGCATCTCCCTCCGGTCAGATTTATCTTGACCATATCACCCGCCAACTATCGCCTGACGAGGCACTCGTCGAAGTGACGCATGCCAGTATATGTGGTACAGATAGCATCTATCTACATTCTCAGCAAGTCCTAGGCCATGAGGGAATCGGCATAGTTAGGGCGATCGGAGCCGATGTGCGGAGCGTCCGCATCGGCGACCGTGTTGGAATGGGCTACGTACAGAAAACGTGCGGGGATTGTCAATCTTGCACATCAGGTAAATGACTCTGCCACATCCTTCATTCAATATTGAGTATTGTCGCTTAGATAGTTAATTTCGAAACACTCTGTAGGCTGGGACCAATATTGCCAAAGAAAAGACCTTTATGGCATGTCTGACCCTGACCGCGGTTGCCTCGGCTTTAAAACTATCTGGAACGCGAACGCCCTTATACCCATTCCAGATGGGCTACACTCTGGTGATGCTGCGGCGCTGATGTGCGGTGGTGCTACTGTCTGGACTGTGCTTAGTCGTTACGGCATGCAGCCTAGAGATCGTGTTGGAGTATTGGGCATCGGCGGCATGGGGCATCTGGCCATCAAAATGGCGGCTGCGCTGGGATATCATGTTGTTGCTTTCTCCGGATCGGAGTCCAAGAAGGCGGACTGCTTAGCCTTTGGGGCTAAAGAATACTATCTGACTAACGGCAAATCAATGGAAGGTCTGACTACACTGATTGATTTCCAAGTTATCCGCTGACAACTACATTTAGATATGGAGCCACTGAAACACCTTCTCTTGTGCGGTTCCAGCTCGGAAGATTATACGTTGTAAGCCATTGATTTTATTTTCGTCACTTTGATCATTCAAACTAAGCATGGACCCGGTAACAGCATTCTTTCTCTTCTGGCAGTACATGGAACAGTCTATCCATTGACAGTCTCTCTTCAACCGGCTGCTATTCGAACCATCATGCTGATCAACAAGGGCCTTCGGATCCAAGGTTCTTTGGTCGCATCCCGTGGGGATCTAGCCAAGATGCTGCAGTTCTGTGCGGACAAGGGAGTGCGACCTGCCACAAGCAATTTTAGCCTTACTTCTACAGAGGAGGTCAACCAGGCCATGGAAAGCCTGCAGCGTAACACGGTTCGCTACAAGGCATTGCTTGTCGCAGATGAACATCCACTGAAGCTCTAAGGAAATATGACAAGTTACAGTGGTTTTATTCCCTTCAGCATAGGATGGTAGAAGCGTAGTGTAATGCAATGTCATTGGATGATATTATCGTGCCTGCACTTCTGCAGAAGGGTCGACGTCACAAAGTATACATGGGATCGAGAAGGACAGATCAAAAGTAGGCAGGAAACTCCAATATGGCCTACCACGGCACCACTGCTCCATCATATTGGTTCAACCCTTCTGCCTGCTCCCATCCGGGAACTCGAATATTGAAGAATTTCCCGTTATCTTCTTGAGTTGCAGGAACTATGATATCCAACAGACCTTGTACACTCTGTTCAGCTGTTATATCCGCCCTCTCTCCACCAAGGTCTGTCTTCACCCACTTTCGAAGAAGTTAGTTCCATGATTGTTTTAAGACACGGCGATAAGTAACGTACACCCGGTGAGATTGCAAGGAACGTGAATCCTTGATCCGCGAAAGACTGCGCGTATTGCACGGTAAGCATATTTAGCGCCGCTTTACTAACTTTGTAAGCTGGCACCGGAAACAGTGCGAACCTGGGTGCCATCGTGATTGAGCCAAGTGTTGTCGAGCTGGACGCAATTAGAATCACAGTACCCGATGTCTGGGCGAGGGGCAGAAGACATACATGTTTACCACTTTCTTCTGGTTTCCTTTCTTAAGGAGTGGTAAGAAGGCACTTGTCACCATGTGGGCACTGGTGACATTGGTATGGAAGACAGAGTCTAAATTATCCCTATTGAGTGTCAGCAGCGCAATGAATGCAAGCAGGAGAATTGCAGCTAACATATTTTCGATGCCACCCCGGGTTGAGGGCATGATACCCGCATTGTTGATCAGGACATCGAGACCTTTCCCTAATAGCACACTTTCAACGGTCCCAACTGCCGTTCGTATACTATTTTTGCTTTCGACATCCATGGATACATGATGAACTCGCCCGGGGGACTGCGCCACGAGACGTTTTAGATCATCGGTCTGGGTACGTGCCGCTGCAAAGATGACGGAGACTTCGCTGGCGGGTTTGGAGGCCAGTGTACGGGCTGTGGCAAGACCAATGCCACGGGAAGCGCCTGTAATCATGTAGGATGCCATGGTAAGAGAAAGATATAAACAATTGGATGGGTTGAACCCAAGATTTATTGGCTCTCCCTAAGCATATGTATTCTGTTCGAGTACGTGACGCCCGACTATATATAACGACAGTGGAGATCCGTATATGCAAGGTATCCACCCTCTGATGCTTTGAAATCAAAGCCAGCAGATGATCACCGAAGCTATTCGACGATTGAACGTATAGTAGTATGGTACGCGAAGGGTAAAGAAGGCCATTGTAGAATCCTTCGTTAACGTCATTAGTGGGGGCTGCTGAATTGGGTGCCGATCCCTGGATTTGTCAGAACGGCTTCTTACAAATCATCCACGCAGTTCATCAGCCCATATTGGCAGAGGGGAGATTGGAGCTTTAGTTGTATTATACGGACCAAATTTTATTACTTTTACTACGTCCTCTCTGCTCATGAAGAAAATCCGAATTCATTTGTATGGCGTGGCTCAAGCCGTGACTGGGCAACTGGCGAATCGGAAGCGGTGCAGTATTCGCAGGCTCCGACCGTGGACTGTGCCCGAATGCAAGACTTCTCACTCATTTACTGGAACGAATTCATTCAATGAAAGTGGATCAGAATCGAGTTTCCTACACTTTCCGTATATTATAAAAGTAGGTAAGGTCTATAGAATGTGTGGAGTCATGACCTTGTTGTTGTCGCTCTGGCACAAGTTGTCACTTATCACTGGAGGCCCACAATATAATACTTCCAATCATAGATAATCATCTTTGCTCAGATCTCCTACATTCTGCGTCAGGAGGTCGAAAAAGTCCAGGATTACCGCATTCTGAAGCCCCCGTTCTCTCTCTTGCCGAAGTATGCTCCGATGACCTGCTTCCGACGCTTATTTCGCGTAGCATGTTGTATAGTCCGTTTCACGCCTTGCCCGGGATAGGCAACGAGTCCCAAAGAGCCTAAGTTCGATATGTTAGCAAGTATTCGCACAACCTCTCCACCCCGTATCTCAATATCAAGGTATGAAAGATCCCTTATACCAATGAGCTATCTTCCCAACCGTCCCAAAACTGCCCTTCAGAAACCCCGTCGCAAACCCCTCCGCCCCATCATCTCTCGCCCCTTTATATGGTTGGTAAAAGATATCCGTCATTCCTTCACCAATACCCGAAGCAAAGGACTTGGCTCCAGCCATTGTCCCAGTTTTCCAGCCCATAACTTGGCCGTAATCGTGGACCTTGTGTCCATACAGACCGGGTAGAACGCGGAATCCCTCTGCAGCCGCTAGTGAAATATTGACAACCGCGCCGGACGCGTACTTGGTTAGCAGCTTGCCACAGGCTTTTGCAGAGGCTGACGCCATGGCACCTGCTTTGTTTTGCTTTTGAACCCCGGTAGCTTCCGGTGTTAGTCCAATGTCGTTCATAGATAGGGACTTATGGATGTGCTGCTGGGTAGATGGTGGCTGTAGGAATTGTGTGTTCTCTATGCCCGTGCTTGAGCAAACTGTGGCGGAAGGTGTTGATGGTCGCGATGTATGGCAGAAATACAAAAAATACATAATATCGAATAGGACAGAAATATGGAATACTAAAATTGGGTTTGATAACCCCAGACGGATACAACGAGGCATGAATTGGTGGTAATTTACGCCTCATTCAATGGCTGCTTGTATACCACCCCATCGACGGTAGTAACCAGGGTCCCATTGGCGTGGAAGATATTAGTCATGGCATCGTCAACTACATGAAATCCATCAGGGCTGGTTATCTTCGTACTAGACGAAACTCCATTTCCGGTAAGGTTGGAATGCCAGTCGAGGCGGGTAGATGAATATGACAACGTAGTGGCGGCCACCGACTCATATCCATTTATGTAATGAAGGCCATCATCAGAGTAGTTATGGTAGGTGGCCGAAATAAAGTTGATAGCGGAAGTGGCCTCGCTCTTTTGGAGAACAACATGGGCCAACCCCGAGTGGAGTCCATGGAGCGTAAAGTTGCCCGGGGGCACATTCAAGACCTCGGGAATGCTGGTGTTGCCTGGGGTATACGGCAGTCCCCATGGTACGGTATCGGAAACCGGATGCACAGTGTCAGTATGGTAAGGCTGCCGACTGGTGAGTCGGGCCATCATCAAACGCGTGGTTCGGCCACCGGGCTCAGTGGATATGGGGCATGGTAGCGGGTTGGTACCGCCACAAGCAGGAGGTATGACCATCTTCTGCCAGTACATGATCCGAGTTCCATCAGGAGACCACCGTGGATCTGCTCCAGCATTCCAGTTGGGGTCATTAACGCTGCCAGGCTGTCCGTTCCCATCAGCATTGACCTGTTGGCCGTAGTAATTGGGATCGTGGTCACCCTGAGCGTCCAGCAGCCAAGGTTGGAAGTAGCGTCGAACCCCATTATTACGCACAGAAGAAACCGTAGCGATTGTAATCAGGTCCGTCACAGGAGGAATGCCACGCATCCCCGACAAAAATTCCATGCGGTCCGTGCCACGGGTGTCCAAGATGACCTGCCATCGGCCATCCGGAGAATCACCCACAGGGTCAACGTAGCCAGGGTGCGTGGTGACACGGCGGACGCGACCAGTAGCCAAATCAACGGCAAATAGATCGACATTGCAGGATTCCCAAGGACTACCTATATACAGGACTTCGTTACCGCGGCCAGTGAATCCTCGGAACTCTCCCACGGTTATGGCCTCCCGGTTAACGTAAAGTCGATCGCCTGTGACGCTGTACGGTTGTAGTCCGTTCGGGGAAACGAGGACAGTCACATTCACGACGTCATATCGAGCACTGCGAGGAGACCCTGTAGTTGGGGATTCGTTGAAGTGCAGTCGGCCGAAATATCCATTCTCATTCAGCTGACCAGATGAGGTGGTGCTGTATGAGTTGAAACCCAGGTGGACGTTATCGGGGTGCAAGCGTAGCTCGCGGATGCTGGCTCCCGACCCGGAATCATCGGCCTTGTTGCTCATTCGAATGGGATAGATATAGATTTGGTCCGGAGTGCACTCATCACTTGCCAATTGACCCGCTCGACATTCGATGATGTTGGTTCCAGCCATTGCGCGTCGACCGTCGGCAAAAGTCTGGGGGTAATCGCTCAAGGATGTGCTGCCCACTTTGTTGTTTTCCGGTACACCGCAAGTCACACACTTCCATGGGTCGCCAGTGGAGAAGTTGGTCCCATTCGTGCTGACCATGATCAATTGGACTCCCGTATAGATGCTTGCTGGGTCTGGTGCGGCTGGGGCACCGGTGAAATTAAGGCTGGCCCAGACGTAATTTCCGTCCGGGGAGAAGTTGCCCCCTTGCATGAGAGATGTTTTCCCCATGCATCCAGTGCCATGAGGGTTAACTCGGCGGGTACAAGCACCGACATCGTCTGTGGGCACGACTGGTGGTAGTGGCAGTTGGACGACTTCAATTGGCTCGGGTGACGGAAATGATTCGGCGGCTGCGGCGGATAGGACCGACGAAACGATTCCCAGCGACAGAGGGAGAAGCTCTCCAACAATGGGAAACAGCATGGTTTCCGAAGATAAAAACAGGGTTGATAACGAAACATCATTTCAGCAGCGTGGAATGAGCTTATATTTCTAATGCGCAGATGGGGGAAATCCAGAGACGTCAGGAGGTCTGGTGGATTTCGGGAGTATTACCGGCCAACGCTTGCCAATTTGCCGTACGTGTATGCACGGGCCAGGCTGATGTTGATCGTCTGCCTTGTGGGTCAACGGACCAGTAGAAAAGGGGAGTTAAACCTTGATGGCGACGGCTGATGGGGAATCTTCGGCGGGATACGCGTATGCACGGGCCATCTAAGGGGGTGCATACCCTCTGATTCACAGTCAAGGTGCCTCGGTGATGACGCTAGAACAGGTCAAGCCAGGACTGCCTTTCACGTGTGCCTCTTACAAAAGGGACTAGCTTGAGTAAATAATAAGAAATCCCGTCTTGGCTGCATTGAGTGCAAGCGCCGTCGTATCAAGGTTATGTAGACCCTTTATGAAAATTGAACGACATTGACGTGTAGAAGAGTGCGATGAACAACGGCCAGTATGTTCGCAATGTACAATATCAGAGCGGACTTGTGAGTTCGTAGAAATACCGCCCCGTTGAATCAGACCCACCAGGTCTCGAAGACAGACCCCTTTCATGCCAGCATCCTCAACAGGGGAGACGACAGATTCGAATTCAACGGTGGCTGATGCTAATCCCCCTTGGAGAGGCAGCAGCCAACATGCTTGACACGGATCTCCTGTATCAGTTGTTAATTGAGGCCATCGACTCACTCAATGAGCATAATAGCCCGGAGATAGTATGGTCCCTGCCGACATTACCAGATACTCGATGAGGGTTCCATATCTTCTAAACGAGCTCTTGGCTCTCGCTGCCACGCATCTCAGTGTCATCCGCCGTGAACAGCACGACCATTACTGCCCCACTTACAGAATCGTGCATTGAGATTCTTTCATGCAACAAGCGATGCAGATGACCCTGGAGCATGCATTCCACGATTCACCTCCATGCTCGGGTTGCACATACTAAACTCTCATCTCCCGTGATGGTGACTTTATGGACTTCTCGACTCCTTTGTTCCTTATCTCCGCTTACATCAAGATGTGCGTGTCGTTATCGGAAAGAGCTGGATCATGTTATTGCAGACTAGTAATCTCGGGCAGACTTTGGACTCTGCAGAAAGACAGTTACAGAGCGATGGGAGTCTGGGCCCAGGATGTAGCCACCTATTGGCACTCATACAGCAGTCCAACTTGGATCCCTCCATCACTGAAACGTATCGACAAACAATCGAAGCATTGCAGTCGGCAATACACTCTGAGGCGCTTGCATTACTGGAGTTTTCGCATGACCCGTCAGTGTACCGTCGGAATACTTCGTAGTCCCGACGCCCTTACTGTGATGGCAGATTACGGGGTAGTTCTACATTCTTTTCGCCAATGATGGTTCTTGGGCTATGGCGGGCAATATCTGATCGAGTCGGTTATTGATTAATTGGGGCCCGCTTGGTCGGAATGGTTGGAATTCCCGAGCCATGTGCTGAGCGCAGGTTCACACGGAAATTAGCTTTTTATAATATGTTTCTGTTGGCATTTCGGAAGCGCATATTACACGTTAACAGCATACAGGCGTCATGAAAAAAGAATTTTGACTGTGAAAGTTCCGATATAGGAGTAAACCCTTCGCAATCTATTCAGAAAAGTATCTCTAATAAGATACATGAAAGACTGTGTCCGTTAGTGAACGTAGTATAGTTTACACCAACGCTTCCAATTGTTTTCGCAAAACTTGCAATAGTTTCTCGTTCTCCTTCCACCTTTTCCTGGCCTCTTCGTAGTCATCATGTGAGACCCATCCTTCTTCATCACTTATTTGAGCTCTCAGATTATTGAATTGACTGAACGCGGCCGCCCATGCCTCTGCATGCTGCCGGCTTTGCTCAATCTCTCTCCTTGAGAAGTAAATGGGGCATAGGCTTGTTGAACCTCGCTGTGCCATGATTCTGTCCCACTTCTCATATACCTGTATCAAAAGCTCTCTTAACGGTATTGGCCCGTCCCTGGAAGTCTGACTGACAATGTGGAATATAAAGCTGGTGGGGTCATCATCATCTCTCATTTGGTCCATGGCATGAACAAGAGACGGGTTGAATTTCCGGGAGGCAAGCTCGTAAAACTTCTTCAATCTCAGTCTCTCTAGCTTCTGTTCGGCTTCTTTCTTTTCAGCGGTCGAGAGCACGTCAAAATCCGTAGGTAGCTTAGGCTGCAGAGCACCCCAGATATAAGAGTCATCACAATTGAATATCGAGGGGAACTTTGCCGTGAGGAATAGGGGCGCTATGTGTACTGCTTGCCAATCAATTATGCTTGTAATCCGAGTTGGATCATGTCCGTCGACAAATATGTTATCCGCGTGAAGGTCATGGTGCAGCATGACGGGGGAATGCGTGTTATCTGACGGTAGTATGTGAGGGAGCACAGCCAGGAATTTCTCAAGGAGCTGTATATGTTCTTTTCGTCGCTTTGGTGTCCTCCCCAAAGGTACAGTGGTATGGTTGGTGTTGCTGTGTCCATGTCGTATACGAACAATCTCACGGTTTGTAACGGCGGAAACATACCCCATGGCCGATTCCCCTGCGTTGTCAAGCTTAATAAGAGACTTCTGGGAGGTGACTGGCACTACACTCACAGGGGCCTCTGTCAATATCTAGATTTTCCACTTCGTCTTCCCAAAAGGACCGCTGAGTTGTCGGGCCGAATACATATTTGGATTGGATATCGTCATCTAGACCGGGTAGGGCAGCAATGCTTCTTCCCTGCGGGAATGTGTCCCGATAATACAAACTGCCATGTTGAGTAAATTTCGCTTCCATCAATCTGCGTTCAATATGTACCAAGTTCCTCACCAGGCGGAAGCGTTGAGCCTCAGACATAGTATCCCAGACCTCGCTGAGTTGCTGCCCTTGTACCTTTTCCATGATGATATATTCCGCAGCAACTGGGTTAGTCTGCGACGAAGAACTCCACGAGAGAATCCGGGGAACAGGTATCTTAAGACTGGCACGCAACTATGACGGGGATTATCCCCTCGGCATTAGGACATTGGTTCGACATCTAGATCCAATCTCACGTACAAAATCAAGAGTTGCTACTTCACTAGCAACAACATAATGAGGATGGCCCGCGTTCGGGTTGGGAATTCTGGCCAAGACCTCCTTACCATTCGCCATCTTTAGAGAGAACACCTTGTTGAACATCCCCTCGCACAATTTGTCCATTGCAACACATTGGGTTCCGAGTGTCTGTCCAGTAATTTGCTGAAGTGCTGATTCATTAAATGTAATATGACGTTTCTCTAATTGAAGACTTTCATCGTGTAGCCAACGACCGGATGTGTAATTAAAGTAGTGACTATTTGTGTCAGTTGTTTTGGTACTTGCCGATCGAACAAAGGACCATGGAGGATATCGCGCTGTGCTCATTATCTGCACAGATAATGGTCGCGGGCTACCAAAAGACTTTCTTGTATGGAGCATGGCTTGTTCGATGGTCATGGCATCAAGGCAACAAGGCTGTCGTGTATTTGGATACTGAGTTTGCTCGATGGCCAACGCGCTTTGCAGAATCAGGCTCCATCACATGACAACAAGCATAACCACCAGTGCATGCATTGCGCTGTTATTACTAAGCTGTGTAGCCCTACACTTTAATTCACTAAAGCTGGTAAATACCGACCCGCAGCGAAGTACGAGTAGAGCCAGTGGGATGCAAGCTTTAGCATCATTGATGTTCCAAGGGGTATGGCAACCTCCAGGGATCCCTTGGGAAACCCCGAAAGCCGTTGCACAGCCTTATTGGATGTTCTGTGGGAAGCAGTTGCAAACCTACCAATATTTGCAACCAGTTTCGAAGACGATGGAAAGTTCAGCCCTACTCCCGGAAGCGTATTCGGAGACCGTGACAGATAATCTCGTGTCCTCGGAATTAAAGATCTGACAATTTACCACACATAGACTCATCCCCTTACTTATGAGGTTATAAGGGACCTGTCGAAAATGGGAACGCGAAGTATTGATCAAGAGAACAGCTGCTTGAGGAGGCTGGACGAATCTATATATCACAAGTTACAAGTTGTCACACTCACCAGAAATATAACAGCAGCCTGACATCGCTGTGAAAATCGGTAAGCCAGGCACGTAGGTAGTGCTGCAAAAAGCAGTCATGATAAGAAGGAGAAGAAGCAATAGGTGCAATTCTGGATGTACTCTGCTCACTTCGGTAATGAGCTCACAAAGATTCCTCGACAAAACAGATGCTTCTGGGACCCGCTGCCGGGGATAGCAACGCCCCCGGAAGTCGGATTATACCAGCTAAAATTATGATAGTTCGATTGGAGTACGTATTGATAGAGGTATACAAGTTGGCAAAAGCATTAAGATTTACGTTCAACCAAACAAAAACCCCGACAGCCAAACCATCAGTGATGGAGCCAATGAAGGAAGTCACAAAATTCTTGGCGGTCACTTCGTGGACCTTGCTGGACTGTGGTAACACATCCTCATTATGTCTCAAGGGATAACGCGATAGGTACAATAGTCAGGTCAAAGCCATGTTCAGCGATGTGTCTAGAACACTGATCTCCCCGTCCAGCGCAAAAACCTTGTTGGAGCCTTAGCTCCTTCATGAGATGAATGATGCTCTCATTAGTCGATATCCAGATGCCACTTGGGTAGTTGGTGGATTATCGCACACTACTCCTGATTCTCGGTTCTCAACCGTGGTTAGTTCGTATTTTCTCACTCGAGACAGCATTTTGAGTACATGCCACTCCACATGCCAACCAAATCAAGAGCCGCTTTCGGTGAGCAATGAGTGTTCCGGGAACATAAGTCAGTCCGCGGATATTTATTCCTTGCATTCCTGGGTCAACACCCGCTGCAATCACACGCGTTCAGCCAGCAATCCAGCCACGCCCGATCCCCACCAGTATGAACAACCAATTTGGAATTGTGGCACAGGTAAACTTTCCCAGGTCCACGGATTGCGGCTGTCATGAAGCACGTCACTACGTTTATGTTACACAGTGAGGTTACTATGTACAACGCGCCCACTTTCTCAAGCTTAAACATGCCAATCAAGGCTGATTATTGGCTGATACATCCCTGAAAGAAAACATTCTTTTGTGATTTAGGCGACAAAGGTGTAATATTCAAATATCTGTGTTCAGGCATCCGGCTTCCGGCCTAGCATGAGATACATGGGAGTGAAAATGTCCTTCTTTCCCGCTTCCACCAGAGAATCCCCAGCAAGGTCCAAGCTATCCTCCACCGCAGTAGTGCCCTTTGGAACAGCCCTAACGGTTTCCAACCCCCTCAACATATAATGGGTGGCAGTTCTTCCCCACTTACTCATCAAGGCGTAGTAGAACAGATCTCCATAGTGACGGGCATTCCAGAGACTGATATCAAGTGGGTAATACCAGGGTGCGGTGCAAGGCCGATGCGCAAAATCTTCATGGTGCAAAATCTCAAATCCGGCGGATTTCATAGCATCAAGACCTTCGGAGATCGTGAACAGCTTGGCAATTCCGTTCCCCTGCTGGATCCCCAAAGCAAGCTGCCGATGCTCGGTATTTTCTTCCTCGTACTTGTCGGTGAGAAGCCACTCGTACACACCGAATACTGCACCGGCTTTACCATAGTTATGTATTCCGCTTGCCGTTTCTGCAGAGAGTTGTTAGTCCTGATGAATATCCTGCTTGGCACCAGTCACCGCCTTACCTTTTCTTGACCTTCTCTATCCTCTTCAACGACGTTTCTTCCGAAATACTCGAAGTACCCGTCAAGTACGGCCTTGTGGGTTTTGAAGTCTTTTCGCATGGCCAAGAGACCTTGGGCTTTCCCTGTTGTTCCATGGAGTTGTTTCGTAAGAATAGCATCTTGTTTGTTCTGGTAATGAGATCCTGGTGCCATTTTGTTGTCGGATGGTAGGGTGTGCTGTCTCTCTAAATGTAGTTTAAGTCCGATTAACTAAGAAGTACAAGGACGGCTGCATACAGGAACCAATAATAGTGCTGCTCAATACTGATAGCCCCAATTACTAAATCTTGGAAAGCATCGGCAGATATTTATATTGGGAGCATTTAGAAACTTTGCAGGTATAGCGAGCATTTAGGAAAGGCGTACAACTACCGTTGTATTGTTGGTCAACATTACAGTGGCACCTTCTGATACCACCACAGCACCTTGTACTGCCGTGATAGTACCTCTTTTATTACCACGCCTCGTATTCTAAGTAAATACAATGCACATATGCCCAATGCAACATCTAGAATAGTCGTCGCAATGGGTATTAACGGTACTGCCCCTAGCTACGAACCTTGACTAACCCCCAGGTTCCGCGGGATTATGGTCCACTGTTTAGGTTCGGAATGCTGAGCCTTACCAAGCAGACGAAACCCTACTAGCGAGAATCTATGACTGTTAGACTCTTGGGCCTTGACTGAATCCCAGCTGAAAGGGGTGTTCCTACGAATTTTTTGGACATGGAAGTCTATAACATCATCATGAGCTCGAACCTCTCCTCAGGGCTGATTATGAACGCCACGGCATACACCGTTTATAAGTATCCGAGGATGGTGGTCGGGGTCATTTGGCATGTTGCATCGAGCCATAATCACATAAACGAGTCCCTACTACGTTGATCTCTCTTTGTACTGGTTTCTCTCTAATCCGTGTGGAATACCAAGTAACCTTGACTGAATTGATTACCTCTGTGCTGAAAAGGCAATATGACCGTTTTAAGCGGCCTTACATGGTTTGATGCTGCAGCATACCTTACCGCGGGATATGTATCTTGGTTCATCGCACTTACAATCTATCGTCTTTGGCTAAGTCCACTGAGTCGCTTCCCAGGCTCGCCTCTTGCGAGGGTAACATATGGGTATGAATTCTACTACGACTTCTTCAAGCCGGGCCAGTATTTCCGGAGAATAAACGAAATGCACCAACGCTATGGTATGTCCTCGAGTCCATCGACTTCCCCGAAATTGAATTCGATGGAGAAAGGAGCACGAGATACTCACAAGTACATGGATACCCGCAGGCCCTGTTATACAAATCACCCCGGATGAACTTCATGTCTCGGACCCTGGGTACTTCAAACATCTTTTCGTCACAGCAGGGTCTCGGAGGACCGATATAAATCCCGGCGCTTTCCGAGGAACTCATTTTGAAGGTTTGTTCATTGAGATGTCCATATGAACGCTACGCTCGCCTTTCCTCTTTCTCACAATGCAACTGCAAATATGAGCGCAAAGCTAAACCCGACCGTCAATATTCAACAGGCTATATCAAGAAAATGAGAACGCACGATACCCATCGTTTCCTTCGAGCGCCTATAGACAGATACTTTTCCAGAGCTTCTATGATGGCTGCAGAGCCGCGAATCGTTAGCTCTATCAAGAGGTTCACTTCCCGGCTAGAAGAGTTCAGAGACACCGGAAAACCAGTTAACATGAACTATGCCACATTGTCTCTTACTGTTGGTATGTCATCGATGTACGCCAATTGGCAAGCTAGAGAGCTGGTGCTAAGGATTTGACGTGAAACAGACCTCATTTCATCGATTGTTTGTGAAATGCCTACACGTTATCTTTCAGATCCGGAATTTAATGCTGCATGGTTTGTTTTTTTTTTTTTTTCCATGTCGCCACACGAGTGCACTATCCTTGGCTGACAATGCTTGCCGCTGTAGGTTCAAGGCGCGAATGAAAGGAGTGATGGCGGTCCCAGCCCTAGCTATGCTCCCAGAGCCTTTAAGGTATGTAGCATAGTCCTTCTTTCCCAACTAGTAACGCTTCTCTTACCACGAACTGCTAGGAGCCTTTGCATGCGGTTTGTGCAGGTTCTTTCATCACGCGCATCTGCAAAAGTACCATATGGGGTATGTATTGAGATCCGAGCTTGTGCAAGAGTTTAGTTCAGCCTCAATTAAATATCAGCATATAATAGGACTACAAATTTGAGAAGAGCTTCACCGATTGCCTGCGACCCTCTCCAACTGTAAACTTTGACAACTCGAAACGAACAGAGGCACCCAAGCAGCGGTATGGGGATGATATATATGATCAAGGTGGACAGGTTCGCAGCTTTCCCCGCGTCCCTTTCATCAAGTATGCGTTGACATTATTCACCCTTGTTTAGCTCATCCAAGAAGGCGGCATATATCCTACGTCCACCTGTCTGCAGACCCTCATTTTACATATGGCTCTGAGTCACAAGACACGCCAGGCCTTACAGAATGAGATCAAGACATTCTTATTAGAAAGTCCTGGTTCTGAAATTACGTGGAAAGAGCTTGAAAAGCTCCCGTACCTGGATGCCTGTGTTAAAGAGACATTGCGGTACGTATAGTAGGCGGAAAGAGTATGTCAAGCCTTCAGAACGGTAACTTAATATCCGCAGGCTTGGTGGAGGACGTCTGAAACGGGCAACTCGGGTTTTCCCTGATAATGAATCTTACGTTGCAGGATGGACTGTTCCAAAAGGGGTGAGTACTTAAGACACATGTTGTCCTGAGACTCAACTGCCATTAAAGTACTCACATCAGTCTAGGTCGCAGTTGGAATGACTACGTACTGGATGCATATGGACCCAGAAATCTTCCCAGAGCCACAGGAATTCAGGCCCGAGCGCTGGCTTGAGTCAAATAAGGACCAAAACCCGCTAGCTTATGAGTATTTCGTTCCATACAGCAAAGGATCAAGGGATTGTCTTGGAAAACAGTGAGTGTTTGTCGTCAAACTAACAGGAAGTGCTTCAAGGCTTCAAGTTGTGACGGCCTGCTAATCTCAGTGGTTAAAATTAGCGTTGTGAATATTGCTCTATGTCATATTATATTTGAGTTGTATAAACCGGGTGCACCAAGGCTGGAGCTTTTCGACACTGGGGAAGATGCGATGACATTGGGCCGTGGATACCTTTTTTCTTTACCTGAAAGGGAGTCTGAAGGAGTCAGGGTGCTTGTCCATAGTCCAGCTTAAAACTTTTTACGAATGCTGATAGAAAAGGTATCTGGTACTGTCCCTGGTGCTTCTTGTATAACAACATCAATAGAGCACAATTATGCAATCTCATATTGTTCGTGACGTATCAGTAGCGACTGTTTTGCGCTATAATATCGATCCAGCAATTCTCATCTGCTGCGCGAAGTAAAGTGCAAATGTAATATGCAGGGATTAGAATCATCAAGTCTAGTGGGCGCTTGAAAAAGTCTCGCTCTGTCTGTCCTGGTGCAAATGATACATCCTATCGCCGAAGGACCTCCGAAGTGACGCGCCTTAATTCCATCATGGCAAGTTGTCTTCCATGGCACGCATACGGCCCTTGAATGAGGTCAGGAGTCTGTAAGGGTACAAGGTGCTTGGGGGACGCATCTCACCAGTCTGGAAAGGAATGAAAAGCAATCGGTTCTTTACTAGCTCGGGTTTTGTGGTCCAACGCTCGGGGAGGAATTCTTCAGGCCACTCAAATGAGCGTTTATCTAACATATGTTATACACTATGTTCATCAAATGTCATGCTTTGAATAGGACGCACCTCGATGGATGGAGTATATAGGGATCTGGACGAGAACGTTGCCGGGAATATAGTTTTCTCCTATGTGGATGCCTTCCTTGGGGGTAATGCGTTGAGACCCGCGGCAACGGGCGCATATAAGCGAAGCGTCTCATAGATCACGGCGTTAAGAAGGTCTATTTTCCGCAGATTATGCTCGCTCATGTCGGGAACATCGTCTAATGCTTGTTGCAACTTGTGTGTAAGTGCGCGATCGCGCGCTAGGTTAAAGAAAACGTTTGTAGCCACGGAGAATGTCGTATCGCTAATGACGAAATACGGTGGTTAAATATGGGAGAACGGCCTCCTTCAGTTGCGATAGCAATATCTTACCTTCCTGCAAGTAAGATAGAATACCCTAGTCCACATAGCTTGTAGGTATCTAGCCTTGTCTTTGGGCCTTTTCCGTGAGCACTAAGTAGCAAGGAGAAGATGTCAGGATTCGGTGATCCTTTCTACTTGGACTCAGTGATCGGTCAATAATTGGCCGCAGGTAATATGCATACCTCTGTTCTCTGTCTAAAGTTAGTCTGAAGCCACGTCCAGAACCGCGTATTCTTTTTTCGAAAAAGGGGTGTCTTGATCAAGAGGGCTGGTATCCAAGGCATATGTCTCAAATACCCCATCATATTCGTGTCGGAATGGATAGAATCCAGTAGAAAGGTATCTCCCCCTTCCTCGGAAATTGTATTGAACGGTCTACCGAAAATAAGATGACCCATGATTTCGAAACTGTACCGTTTTAGCCACTCGGTTATGTTAATTGGATTTCCCGATCGGCCCTCGATTATCTGCAACAGCTGCTCGGTGCATTTGGCTATTACTGGCTCGTATGTCACGAGGGCTGTGATTGGATTTGGTTGGGTTAGAAATCTTGTACTAAACCTTTCCGGATATTGCGATTTCTCTCACCTTTGCTGCTAAGACTTTGGTCCACAATCTTCCGGCGGAGAGCATGTTCTTTCCTATCCCGAGTGAAGACAAGGCCATCCAGGGGCTCCATCAATATGTACCAGGGCCCTTTAGCTGTCTCGGAAGAATTACCATACAAAGGGTTCAATGCCCCAGGGTCAATGATGGAAACTTCCATGGGACCTGTCTGTTGTCAATAATATTCGGTATACGGCTGATGGAATTTGAATGAGACATCACTCACCGACTCTCACGTAGTCCCCATACTGCTGGTGAAGTCGATGGACATCCTGGTGGATTTTCATGCTCTTGCATGTCTGGATTGTAAGATACAATGTGGACAAACGTGCACCCAATGGTCCCGGGAATCTGGATAGACGATGAAAAAGACCTCTGTGAACAAGGATACTTCCAACGATGCCCAGGAAATGGTATCCAATGAATAAGAAGACGTCAAACGCGGAAATGACCACTGAGCCATTGCGGGTAATTGGTGAGTGAAGTAGATACGCCCCTCCGATGAGCGTGGCGCATAAGTAGCTGAGTACAATATTCCACGACTTTGTATCCCATTCACCATGTCGAAATAATAAATGATGGAGAGAAATCCCGCTCAGTCCGGCGTGAATCCCAGTATTACTCAATCGCTCGTGAGGGCCATACTGCAAGTAATGGATAGTCGAATATATCAACTGTGTTTAGCTCGGGCGACGAATACACCTTTATAACATACATGTGACCTTCGCCTCCAGCTCCCTCACAACAGCGGTCGTATGCTGATTGCTCCAACTTGTTTTCCTCACATACCTGGTGCAACCCCTCCTTCCCTCCCTCGAACCTGTATTTATGCATCCCATCTGAAATGGACATCAATATTCAGTTCTGTCAGCATTCCTCTCTGTCAGATCTTTCCTGCAATCTACCTTGCCTCGAGCAGACTAAGAGCTTTGTATATGAGAGCTGAGATCTGACTCAACGCCTCATCAGATGAGTCGACATTATGGTTCAATTGAAATTGATTCCTACTTATCTACCTCATTGAACCCACCATATGGATGCTAGCTATGCAGGTGCCTCAACTTTTGAAATGGTTTGTATGGCCCCAAAATGCCTCCATCGCTTCAATCCGCGCAATTTGCACTCTTCATGCATGGAAACGTGAATGCTGTATCACGAAATCACGGTCACACTAAGCTAAAGATTTGCCACTCGACCAACAGCTGATACGGCCAGCCACAACATTCGTATCCTGATACAACCGACGTGAATGCAACAAGGAGTGCGGGCCTTACCAGGTGTGAGATAAAGCAGTTGAGAAAATGGTTGTCGATGAATCCTATAGAGACCCTTTTTAGTCTCCTCTCCTAGCCGTACTCATGACAAGCTACTTCACATCGTTCGAATGAGATACCCGGATCCCATTTTCAATCTCATCAATCATGTGATATACCGGTCTCTACTCCTTCATATTCTTATACACATCAACCCGCCAATTCTTGCCTATCATGGATAGGAACGAGTGCAGGGAGTCATACGCGAAAGCCTGTCAAGAACACACGTACCGAAGGCGGCTGGGTTCACTCCTCAGACCGGATGATTGATCTGCCCTCCATGACGGGCATCTCTCCCAAGAGACCCATGCAAAAGAGCTCGGCGTTAACGCAGTACAGGCACTGGGCTACCAGCATTTGTTGTATGCTCCTGCGGAGGCGAACTCTGTGACAGAAAGGATAAACAGCAGCTCAAGTCAGCCACAGTTCTGGGTTATTACTCTGATTCACTTTCACTATAGAGCAGAGAGCTCCTGTAACACGTGCATCAAGACAGGTATTGTTCTCATATTCCGCACATGGTTGCTTAGCACCAGTGCCGACCGGGGAATTAATTACACTTGCATGCACTGCAACATGTAAATGTGTATCCAAGAACTCTATCAATAAACAGATCGCACGAGAGGCCAGGGCCAGTTTACTGGAGACCGAACATTTACTCATTGTCGAGACAGGTGATCCTGCCCGGACCGTTACCATGAGTTTGGCCTCGGGGCAATATTGTCATGGACGCAAAAAACATGGTGTAGACTAAATTGTTTGACGTACTCATTCGACGTATGGATGTTTGGGTCCTTCCTCGACGTTGTACGAGCTTTCCTTCGATGTGCGAGGGCAGGCACAGTCCAGCACCGAAGAGAGATGCATCTATGACTGCTCCGGCGGTCAGGAAGGCGAGCATTGGGGGCTTCGCACAGGTGAGATGTCAGATCATACACCTGATCGTCTGGTGTGCTGTTGATCTGCATTCAGCATCTCCGAGAGCTGACTTCAAGAACTGGTCCTCTATAAAACAATGACGGCTTAAGGAAGACGATACAGAGTCTGACGCTGGCCAGTCGTTTTGTATTGTTAGTTAGTGTGGATAATCGATTGACCAGTGTCAGAATCAAAGCCTGCCGTCGTGTTGCCCTAGAGTTTATGTAATCTTTTCGTGTGATCTCTTTGCAATAGGAAATTAGTCATTACTAGTAGAATCCGATGGTCAACTCGCACATAAGCTCTGTCAAACTAGTCAGCAGATCCATAGATCAAGTCTCATGGCAGGTTGGGGCCAGGAAGCTTATTAAGCATAAGTAGCACAGCACGTCTGTCACATATTTCCGATTGCCGGCCCCTTGCTTGGGATGCCATGCAGGCAATGCCTGAATAGGTGTCTCTTCTCGGCGGTCTGGGCCAATTCCGCGGGGCATTATGCGCCCCGAAACGATCGTCAGCCTGTCCGACTCCTCTTCGTTAAGCCACACACGATATTGACCCATGCACAGAATCAAGTGACACAGTCTTTCTCCCAGGCTCTCTGGCAGTATGTGACCCTCGTCCTGCTCCTTTCTACGCCTCACATTGGGTGTAACCCATGCGTAGCGCGTACAATTAGAACCTCACCACATCCCTTGGGAAAAGTTGCCACAACACCATCCTCGAATACTATGACAGGCCGTTGCCGTTACTCTACAGCAATACCCTTCCAATTTGTACCACCAGACATAGTACTACCTGCACCGCTCCATGATTGACAACAGTGTATCTACAGTCAGCTGTGACTTGAGCGTGCAGATGTATGAGCTGCCAGTCTGCTTCTAGTCGCCGGCTGATAGCACAGACTATCCAATACTTCGTTATAAAATCCATTGTAAGGGGTCATTACTAGTTAAAGTCCGCTTGGTTTGACCGGTACTGGGTAGTACGTTCATGCAAGGCCTCTCGAAGCAACACGCCTAGAGATACACACATCACAAGAACATCGGTCGACAGCTTCATCTTCCACTTCGGGCCCTACCATACCCATAGCCAAAGTATCTTTCGTCACCTTCGATATTCCATCACAGAGCATTGCCGAAACGAGCTCCGTTCAATTACTATAGGGCTGTAGCTACTTTTAGTAAGAGGTCCCGGTACGATTCTCGACGAATTCTTTCGATGCTTCTTCCTGAGAAAAATCCTAGGCGTCATATTAAATACTTCCCAACTCAAATCGATAATTAATCGTTACCTCATCAACGGCATCTCGAGGACCTCTATAACTTTGATCATCATTCCTTGTTAAACAACATTCTTCTTCAGTTTAGACTTCTCAACACTTCTGTTCCAGAACATTTAGGATTACTTACTGGTGAAACTGGTCCGCATCTAAGATATCTTTAGGAAATTACTGACACCACCAGCTTCAGGCCTGACAGTTGAGTACATCTGAAAATCAACCACCCAACGCATGGAAAAGGAGCACTGTGCATCCGAAGCTGCTGGTGATGCAATTAGCTGGGGCAGATTGTTGACACTGCGACAGCTGCAATTAAAAGGTCCATTTGGGGATGGTGAAACAATTATCTCATGAATAATGCTCCATGAAACAAAGCTTATCCGCTCATGTTTGCTATTTCGTTGCGATAACGAGCAGACGGAGGTTTCTTTCTCCGAGGCTATACTGGATAAGAACATCTCCGAGCGAAGGACCTCCACTCCTCCGAACAGAATGCTTGGCAGCAAACACATCTCCATTTTAGACCAAAGTAAAAGCAGTACAAGATGCACCCAAATTTAGCGGAAACAACGGCACTCACATTTTCTGCTCCTCGACCTGCAAACTCCGACCCTCAACTCCAATTTCCACCCACCATGACCAAACCAACAATCCCCGCTCAGGACATTCACAACGTTCTCAGCAATGTCCTACCCCGAATCAAGAGTCACGTTGAAGCCCAAACATCCGCATCAAAAAAGCGCCCATTTATCCTGGGCTTGACAGGCCTTCAAGGAAGCGGAAAATCCACATGGACTGACGCACTTGTACAAGCCTTGAACGATGAATACAAATGCAACACAATCAACATATCTCTCGATGACCTTTATCTCGATCATGACGACCTTATCCAAGTACGAGACAACAACCCATCCAACAGACTTCTTCGAACTCGAGGGCAACCAGGCACTCACGATATCGCACTTGCAGTCGACTTCTTCGACAGTTTAACAAAGTCATCGGAGAAAGTCATTCCATCATTCGACAAGAGCCTATTCAATGGAGAGGGTGGCCGAGCACCCCAAGACACGTGGCGTCGCATTCCAGCAGATGTCACCATCGACATTGTTATTTTCGAAGGGTGGTGTGTCGGGTTCCAACCATTGCCAGAGGATGAAATCTCGTATCGCTGGATCCATGCGAAAGAGGTCTCCGCGGGAGGCAGCTTGAAGCAGACGCTGGGGGAGCATGAATTAGAGCATTTGGTACAGATTAATAAGAATTTGCGTCATTACTGCGAGCTATTCATGGGGCCGCAGTTTTTCGACTTTCTCGTTCATCTTCATACAGATGATTTAATCAATGTCTATGGATGGCGCCTTGAACAAGAACATGTTCTGCGAGAGAGGAAGAAGGGCGCCATGTCTGATGAGGAAGTTATCCGGTTTGTGAAGGGGTATATGCCTGCTTACGAGCTGTATCTTGATCAACTACGGAGTGGGTTCTTCTCGGGTCAGCAAGAGGAAAGACAACTATCTGTCGTTCTGGACGAGCGAAGGAAGGTTATGGCAATTCGTCCTGTTTAACGTTATATGAGTACAGTGTTCGTTGGCTATGTACGATACGGAGCCGTTTATAACATGTTCCCGTGAATTATCCAAGGGCCATCTGCCACGCTCCATAGATCGTTCATGAACAGGTAAGAGGGATCGGAGAAGGAAAGCGGATCCTGTCCAAGTCCCTGGTTGAGGACGGCGTTGCTGTTCGCCATGTTGCCGAATATTAGACCGGCGGATGTTAGTGCGTGGGAGGCGTCGTTCGAGTTTATGTCAACCATATCACTGGCATTACGAATGAGATTGGGCGAGTCGCAGTGTTCTGTTGGGTTAAATCCCTGAGGGGCAGAGTCTGTCGATGTTTCAAATTGTTGTGGACTCATAGAAGGCGACAGACGATGGTACGTTGTAGGCCCCGTTCTGTGGGTATTTGGAAAGGCGGAGTTCATGCTCATCGAAGCGGATGGATGACTTCTATGCTGGGACTCTGGTCTCATCGCCCCTCTGATATTTGAGGGGCCGAGCTGGGAGGCGTTCCCATCGGACAAAATCGCTGCAGCGTTTTCATGATGCTCCCGACTGGACTGGTTCATTGACAAGGCAGATACCATACTCTTAATCCCCTCGATGCAGGTTTCAGGCCAACTGCTTCCACGCAAAGCAAGATTCTGAAGGACAGAAGTCCCCATCCGACCGTATTTTAATGCAGTACTGATCGGTAGCTCACCTTCCCATGACGCGTACATCAAGATGAGGCAAGCCATCCATGTTGTCCATGTGAAAGAGGGCCAGGTCATTGGTGCTTGAGATGGAGAGGACATGTATTTCTTTAATGCTGCAAGCACAGATCGCGATGATTCAATACACGTCTGTAATGCATTTTTGTAATCCTGGTCCTGGTTGGGCTTCTCAACAGTAAGCAATGGTCGGTTCATAGCAATGACCGCCTCGTGTCGTAGGACACTGAGAAGCAGGCGATGATATGGGGCTAGTGGTGAGTCTTGTTTTGATTCTGTATCTTCTTCATCCTCCGTAGGATAGACATCGTCGTATACCTCATTCCACCACTGTGAAAGCTCGCCGTTCACATACGACGCCTCGACAGGACTGGCATGGCTATGCAGGACAGACTTGTTGCGAAGCTCAATTATCAAGCCACGTACCCGGGCATATTTAGCCATGTGGCAAGATAGTCGTAGTCGATGATCGACGTGGCCTTGTGGTGTTGCAATAACACTTGAGTGCCTTTCTTCGCCCGGATAGCAAACATCAATGTCGTCATCTCGGATGCTAAGCGGGATCCCGAGGGCTTGTGATAGATATCGTTCCAGGGTGTATATGGACCAGAACAATCGATATCTAATATCTTTTTCGAGGCTACTGAAGCACGAAAAGCGAGCAGGACATCGGTGCAACCCCAGATGATAAGCAGTGCGAGTGATGACTCCACCAACCCGAGAAGCGGCGTTAAGACGTAACAGAGACGTCAGGGTCAGCTGGGCACAGAACGTCGCTTGCAAGAGTGGTATCGTGGTTGGCTCCATGAGCAGGCTCTGAATATCTTGTATGATGTGATGTACAGATTGAAATACCAGATTGGCTGGAACTGGTTTGGTGTTTGCACCCGAGCCATCTGTCTGTCGGTTATCGGCAAGAGAGATCGAAACGAGAGAGCGAATAATAATGATGTCTAGTCGGCTGATTGCTGGAATACCCTGGTTCGCGAGGGTTTCCATCGACTTGAGGACAGTTGGTGCATGAAGAAAGGGAAAGATGGGGTGCCAGTCCTCAAAGTAGCGGCGAGTCCAACTGGCTAAATCATCGAATGATAACGAGGAATTTGACTCAAAGTGCAGCTCCTCCCTCGACCACAGCTCATCTGTATTGTGAGAGTTGAAGTCGCCGGAGTCTCGCTGCAATCGATCATCTTCTCCTGGCACCGAGGTTCGATTCCGAGCTCGCTGCAACTCGGCGGATCGACGAGCAAAGGCGTTGTAAACCTGACGAACGAAGTGAATACCGCTAGAGCTTCCAAGAAAAGTGGCTGGTCCATCGTTTTGAGATTCTCTCATCACTCCGATCTCTCGGGGCGAAGGTCGTGATGCACCTGCGTTGGAGGCTCGCTTGCGTCTTTTGGCAGCACGGGGAGCGGTATGCCAGTCGGTTTCATTCTCCTCCAGGCGGGAGCCAAATGAAGAGGGCGACACCATTTTAATGCTTGCCTGTCGTCACATTTCCACGAAACTGGGTGTTATTCGCAGTGTTCGAAGTCGCACACTACGAATCCGAGGCTTGAAGTTATCGAGTTGGTTGCGGGCAGTGCTTAAAGTTGCTTAGTCATTGCTGGTGCACTTGACCACCACATCATATGTACGTCTACTCACACACCCCGTACTGCCCTAGGCAGAATACCCTGCTTGAATAAAACTTCTCAATGATTATGGAGTAAGTTAATATTTTTCTATTTTGCAGAAAGATATATCCCATGTCTCGTACAGCCCAGTTGACCTGCTGCTTGTCGGGTAGTGTCACGTGACTCGCTGACCTGGGCTGCCAGCAAGCCCTGTTAAGCCCCCTTCGCACCTCCAAGTCATCGTCTAGATAGCAAATATGGAACCAACACTTTAGCCTCATAGGTTTCCTCGCTCCGCAATTTGACAGTCTTGAAAGTGGCAATTGCAAGTACAACGTCATATCAACATTCGGCACTCGAACCTTAATTAACCATGGAGAGTACCGTCGGAGGTTTCTTTCTCCGGATGACGCGGTGGCTCCCGCAGATACATCAAGATCAGTCCGATCGGCGGCAAAAGACACTTGGCTGACTCACTGCACTTGATAGTTCCCCGGAGATATTCTAATTTTCATATCAAGTTGGTTGGACAACAGGCGGTGAGAAATGGGACGGCAACGATCTAAACGGGCATCCAGTGCCGACATGCCAGGTACGTATAGCACCTTCATGTCTACAGTCAAGCAGTTTGACGATTATTAGAAGAAGATGATGTTCTAAGTCCTATCTCCTGTGAGGTATGCAGGCAGCGGAAATGCAAGGTGAGTTAGTATTTCGTCGATCTATTGTTCCTGCAGCGCTAATCCCCGCATAGTGCGATCGCAGACTGTATGCTGAACCTCCAACCATGATATTTCCCCCTTCATCGGAGCTTTCTGGTCACTAACACACCCCTGCAGCCCGCATTGCACTCAATGCTCCAACGAATCATCAAAATGCAAATATCCTGAAAGCGGCAAGAGGTACGAACATTCCGTGCGATCGACACCTACCCCACAGCTAATTATCTTTCACTTAACAGAGGCTTGCCTCTCGGATATCTAAATCAATTAGAGCAAAGACTTGCAGAGACTGAGTCGGCCCTTTATGGTGCTCTCATGACATTGAGCTCAATGGGACCAACTACTACTTTGCTCCAAGCCACCACGAAGCCGGATTCGCTACAAAAATCGAAAGCTGCACGAATGGACGAATGGTCGCGATTGCCGCTTCGAGGTTGGCCCGACATATACCACTGGAAGGCATCCATGTGCGAACAATTTACGCTCAACCGGTCACAAGAGGTACCGCTCGTGAATCATTCGACAGCTAGTCAGGCCATTTCAGCTTCGCCTGCTTCTACTACCATCCACAGTCACAGCCCTCAAGGTGAATTAGAAACTTCGGGGCCGGCTAGCTTTGCGTGGCACCCAGGAGAAGATGTCAACATGAGCAGTCCCTATAATGTCTATCTTCGACCCCCCGGGATGGTTTCTTCTCCGGTATATTCAAGGGACCCAGCTCCGGGTCCAGCAGAGACCATAGTTAATCCATTTCCCGACTTTAGTACCGCCACTGTGACGGGTAATAGTGGGAAAGAAGACGAGCATTCCACAATGGCGGACGAGTTGTCTAAAAGCAAGCCTAGTATATACTTCTAATAGCAAACAAAATAAAAATAAAAGCTTATGTCAGAGTTACCCTCCGCTATAAATCGATGTGAAACAGTGGGCTTATGACATGATACGCCCGAAAATTTCGATCACGGGCTATGAACGATAGGATGCTGATGATGAAAGAGTGCAGCCGCATCAGCGGATTCCTTCAACATCTCTCAAATTTAAGACTTTGCCAAGGTGGCCAAGCCTCTACTCGGGATGGGTGGGGATCAAAAGCACTCTAAAGTTAGGAAGAGCGACGCACAAACCCACAACCCGAGATGATTTCTAGTTCAAAGGTAGAGGCGGTACATTGGGAAAGCTGCAGCAATTCTTTGGATGGATCTTGAATCTATAAGAGGACTTATATACACGCTAATAATCTATGATGCCACTGAATGTTTAGAAGACACAGCCTCTCCTTCCATATCTAGCCCTTCACCAATGTGACCCTCTGCCTCAAATCCCTCATCCATGCCTGGCCACAACGTCCGGCGGGTAAAGTAAGCCCATATGTGGAGACAAAAGCAGCCTAACCATAGAGCGACTTGAATAATGGTAGCTGCACTGCCAACCCACTGGATAGGCTTCGAAGCAACCAAGTCTCCAATCTTGATCGTTGCCAACGCAAACCCAGTATTGGGGAACACCGTTGCCCACCAAGTGATATCAAACTTCCACTCATGGTAGGCAGCAAAAATGCTAAGCCACCCAAGCATCCAGAGAAAGAAAGAGAAGATCCACATGAAAATGGACAAGAATACCGCAACAATGAGTACAACTTCTGCGGTATTGACATGCGAGGCTAAAGGAATATAATGAGCAGGGAACTTTTCTGTTGCAATCTCAGCCATTCCCATTAGCGCAACTGCAGTAAACGCCGGTGGTCCAATAGCAATGAACATCTGAGGTCTACGGCGCATGGGCGGTAGGCCATGGTGGTGAAGGCCATAAAAATATTCACCTAGTATGAACAGGGAAATCAAGAAGCCGAAACCCTGCAAGCATGTTCCAGCAATAAGAATAGGGATGGCAAAGTGATTAGGCTGGGCTCCGGCGAGTAGTGAGGCAGTGGTACCGCCGAGCATGGCCGGAAAGGACGGAAGGAGGCGCACGAGCCAGAAAGGTTGTCGAGAAGCCATGCGGGTTTGATAAAGATGCCAGTTAAGGCCAACTGCCAGCGAGATTGCCACGGCTGTATAGACCCAAAATAGGACCAGCTGAACATATTTCAGCCAACTTCCACAGGCAGGAACGCCGTAACATTCTATTCCGAAAAGTATAGTAGCGAAGCCCAAAGCAGCTGTAGGAATGAGATAGGCTTCTTCCGGGTCGTTGAATGTATTCCTGAAGGCGTGTCGGTTTCGGGTGAATCGCGTGATGAGTGATGCCCAAATGGCCAAATAAGTGATAATATCAAGAATGAAGAATATCTTTCCAATAATCATAAGACCAGAAAATTTGTGAGGGGTATTGTAAAGCAGGGTACCAATGCTCCCAGTGCTCATCGAGACTGAAAACCACCCCCAGGAGACCCGACAAATTCTGTCGACAAAGGTCATTGAATGCATGATTCTGTCTTGAGCAGACATTCCAGAAAGACAAAAGCAACGTAATTGCTCAAACAAATAAAAAGATAATAGAAGCAAACAGAAGAAAATGAGCAACGGAATGAAAATTCTGTAGGGAATAATTGAGACAAATAAGGGAAGTGAGGCAACGGCCAGGTCAGGTTTCCTGACCTCCGGATGGAGAAGGCAGTGGAGCCTAGGGGGTCTGGGGCCCCATGGATACACATAAGATGAAATGCCGAACTTTCCGGTATGAGGTCAAATTTCATATACATTCGTTCCAATGATCCTTTCCGAAAAAATAGGCTCTCGGTACCCCATTTGTTCGCATACATGGTTATCCGTATTAACTCTCCTTGGAAGAGCTGTGCTCCAGTCATCCCTTGACTTCCATACCTCTTCCTTGAAAGGATACCATGCTATAGAACTGGTGGCAGTGAGACATATGGCAAAGAAAATACCGCATTTGCGTTCCGGCATTGGACGGGGGGCTCTCGAAACTTGGAAGAAGGTCGGATGAAGTCATCGTGTGGCCTGAAATCTACACCGGGAAATGAGCTTCGTGGTTAAATGAAACCTCGTACTAATCAATGCATTCGCAATATATAGGAACTGGACTCCGTCAAATGGCTGAAGTATATATCATCTCACAATCAGTTTGGAAAAAAGTTGCTATTTAAGCTATCCGTTCATATGGTTGTATGCCAAGATAATGAAAGCCTAATAGACTTGGCAAGATCTCCCCAATTTCTCGTAGTAGCTGCAGATCAGATGTTTATTATTGCTTACTAGGTTGACTTGACCAGTCATCTTCCAGGTATCCACTATATGATGTCTGGGCATGGCTTGCTGTAGAAAGCATCATTGCTCCAACCTATTCACTCTTCATGAGATGTGAAACGCCAGACATGACTACTCTGGTTGACTCAACAGCTCAGTCGATCTTGAGATTGTCTATTATCGTCCTTTGAAGTAATAAGGGGTTGGTCAGGGTCAGGGTCAAGTACCCTCTGCATGTCTATACTTTGTCAATAGAAGCATGGCTTAGTCAGCCCACCGTGACAATGCGAGTCACCCAAAAGGCTGCCATCTAGTTCAGATTACTCGTTACCAAACTTGCAATATGCGAGATTTTCATGATTGGAGAGCATTTACGACTCATAATCAATCTCCCGTCATTTTCTCTCGCTGAGCCTTGGAGTCGAGACCATCTACCGGAGAAGTGAAGCTCCGACGCTTCATTTCTCTCAACCGGTCATCCACCGGACTTGAACATCTCCGAACCGAAATACCTCATTGGCCACAGTGTTAAGCGTCATAACAGATTGCCACTTTGAACTAGAGAAGATCAGATCACGCATTGGCACCAAACTGCTTATAACCGGGCAAACACTAAAGCTACCCCTCCATTTACCCCTCCATCTATCTCAAATCACTTCAATTCTACACACACCGCCACACCTGATTCACAATGTCTCCGTCCGTCACTCGCAGAACATACAGCATTGCTTCTATCCCCGCGGATGGAATTGGTCCCGAGGTCATCGAGGCCGGTATCACCGCCTTGAATGCTTTGACCGATACCCTCCAGACTTTCAAGCTTGACTTCGAGCACTATGACTGGAGCTCTGAGACATACAAAAAGACCGGCAAATACATACCGGATGGAGGTCTTGACGAATTGAAGAAGCACGACGCTATCTTTTTCGGCGCTGTTGGCGCCCCTGGTGAGTACCCTGGCATCTGAAGACAAAACATTCTCTAACAGGTGTAGATGTCCCTGATCACATCTCCCTCTGGGGTCTTCGTCTGGCTATCTGCCAGCCTTTCCAACAATATGCCAATGTCCGCCCCACTCGAGTATTCCGGGGTACCCAGTCTCCCCTCCGCAACTGCAACATTGGGGATCTCGACTGGGTCATTATTCGCGAGAACAGCGAAGGCGAGTATGCGGGCCAGGGTGGTCGTTCTCACACAGGCAAGCCTTGGGAGTCGGCAACCGAGGTTTCCGTCTTCACCCGTCACGCTGTGGAGCGTATTATGCGTTTCGCTTTCGAGACCGCCCAGAAGCGGCCTCGCAAGCTCTTGACTGTTGTTACTAAGAGCAATGCTCAGCGTAACGGAATGGTTCTGTGGGATGAGGTTGCTAAGATTACGGCTAAGGTAGACCACTCTTGTTGAATACCCCTCCTATCATCCGAGTACTGATATGCGAACTTTTCAGGATTTCCCCGATGTCACTGTTGATAAGATGCTGGTCGACGCTATGACCACCCGCATGGTTCTGAACCCCAAGAGTCTTGATACTATCGTGGCAACGAACCTACACGCCGATATTTTGTCTGACCTGGCTGCTGCTCTGGCTGGATCTATCGGTATTGCCCCTACTTCCAATCTCGATCCTACCCGCGAGTACCCTAGCATGTTTGAGCCTATCCACGGCTCTGCTTTCGATATCACTGGCATGGGTATCTCGAACCCTGTTGCTACTTTCTGGACCGCGGCTGAAATGCTTGCTTGGCTGGGCGAGCAGGAGGCTTCCGAGAAGCTTCTGACCTGTGTTGAAAATGTTTGCGAGCAGGGCATTCTCACTCGTGACTTGGGTGGCAAGGCTAACACCAAGGAGGTTACCGATGCTGTTGTTGCCGAGATTAAGAAGCTGGGTTCTGAGTAGAATGTTAGGATGACTGAATTATGGGCTGAAGAGGGCCTTCTGTTGTATATAGAATTGCAGGATTTAGGAATATAAATTACACATAGTAAATGAATATTGAGCACTATTATTCGAGATCTCGGAACAAGGTGAAAATGCTGCGAGTACTTGGCATAATAAATATATTCCAGCTTTTTACCATAGTAGATACTCGCTGAGGGGACAACTTCGAGCCTCAATTCTAGTCACACATCGCCTTATGCAGCTCGTAGAATATTTCAAGAGTGCTACCAAGTTGGACACAGTAATACATCCTGGCTATCCTAGACATTAGGGAAGAGATGTGCCGACAGGAAATGATCATCAACCTCTGCAATTTTTTTTCCGATCTCGGAGAAGCAAGTATTATGCGATATTTATCAGTTCTTGCATTTTTAGCCTATTACGATAAAGCAGCGCACGCATGGCAAGACTTTCTGCACGTTGATGTAATTTCGTTATGAAAGTAGCCGGACATAGCAACCTCCGGTGAGTGTGGTCTGATTATCACTTCCTCCATCGTCGTAATGTGGTCCAATCATGATGCCGCATTAATTCAAACGCCAAGTATTCCCCGCAATGCATGGGGAAATCCTTGTGCGCTTCCCCAGTTTTACGGGGACCCCAGGTCATTGACAGCATGTCTCGGGGTTGGCATACTTTACCACTCCGGGGATGGAAAAGTTTTGGTTCCTCCTATATAAAGGAACACAGTCATTCTCCCAAGAATCCATTTCGTTTTTGTCTACTCATCTTTATCATTCATGACTCTTATTTGAGACCCTATTCAAAATGGCTCAACAACTTTTGCACCTTACTGGCAGTGCTCTACGCATGGCCCAGGTTATCCTCATTGTTGCTCCCGCTTTTATCATTTTCGGTTACAACCAGGCCGGGGCTGGCCCCCTTGCTACCCTCCAATCTTGGGTTAAGATCTTTCCTCAAATTGACACAATCAATACGACAGGCGCTTTGGAGGCAAAGAATTCAACTGGAAAAGGAGCTGTCATTGCGTCTTTCCAAATTGGTGCGCTAATTGGTGCGCTGTCGTGTACTGTCATTTCGGATCGTCTGGGGCGTCGCAAAACTATATTCATCGGTTCTATTTTCACCATCATCGGTCAATTACTACAAGTGTCAGCCTACTCTTTGATTCAATTTACAGTTGGCCGAATCATTCTGGGTATCGGTACTGGCCAATTCAGTGTTGCTGTCCCTGTTTGGCAATCTGAGTGCTCTTCCGCCAAGCATCGCGGTCAGCATGTCATCGCCGACGGTATCTTTATGTGTCTCGGATATGCTCTGTGCAATTGGATCGACTTTGCCTTCAGTCGACTTCCCAATGAGAATACCGGTCAGTGGCGTGGACCGCTGTCGCTTTCCTTCTTGCCATCACTGGTGATCTTGGTCGCAGTCTTCTTACTCCCCGAGTCCCCGCGTTGGTTAGTGAGAGTCAACCGTACCGAAGAGGCAACCGCTAGTCTTGCCGCATACAAGGGCATGTCTCCCGAGGATGAAGCTATCAAGTCGGAGATTTCTGGTATTGAACTGTCTTTCGAGAATACCTCTCAATCCACAAGGGCGATTCGCGAGATGTTCTCCAAGGATGATGACGAGCGCTTGTTCTATCGCTTCTGTCTCTGCATCATCTTGCAATTTTTCCAACAAATGTGTGGTGGAAACCTCATCTCAGTCTACGCCTCCACCATCTTCCAAGAAAATCTGGGCCTAAGCTCTAGTCTCTCAAAGATCCTCGCAGCATCTGCACTCACATGGAAGTTCGTGTGCTGTTTCATCTCCTTTTTCGCCATTGATCGACTGGGCCGCCGGGCGGTATTTATGATCAGCGGGACTGGCATGGCATTCTGTATGGCCGCATTGGCAATCACCACTAGCTTCGGAGTTGAGAACAAACAGGCGTCGATCGCATCGGTGGTTTTCATTTTTATGTTTAACCTCTTCTACCCCATTGGCTTCCTGGGCGGTAATTTCCTGTACTGTACAGAGGTTGCGCCCCAGCGCCTTCGAGTCGCCATGTCTGCTATTTCCACTGCCAACCACTGGCTCTGGAATTTTGTTGTGGTCATGGTTACTCCGGTCGCTTTGGATACTATCGGCTACCGCTACTATATTATGTACGCGATCTTATCGGCGTGCATTCCGGTTTTGGTGTATTTCTTCTATCCAGAAACGATGAACCGGAATTTGGAGTTGATCAACCATGTCTTCCGGGATGCATCGTCGCCTTGGCAAATTGTCTCTATGGCACGTCATCTCCCCCAGGGAGAAATTACCCCGGCAGAGTTGGTTGCCTACAACAAGGAGAAGGATGATTGCTCTGTTGAGATGAGAGAACATGCATGATTGATGATATTGTAGCTGAGTTACGTTGGCGAGATTTATGACATAGTCTAATCTGCATCTTTTCACGAAATATATTCTACATAAGACAATTGGTCACGTTTACCCTGTTTGTCGCACCTACGTAAGAATTTTCTGAATTGTAACCACGATGTTTGTCACCTAGCCCCAGCAAAGACAAGGTGGAAAACACGAGCAGATGTAGACCCTTGGCATACTGCAACCATGGTCTGATAGGCGGGATGGGAATAGGGAAATATGACGAACCTATTAGAATGCTGGCAGAAAGCCCGGAGAAAAATACCCCGCGGCTTGCCGGTCAAATATGCCGCAGCCTCATTCATCTCGGTTTATTAAGCCGTAAACCAGAGTGGCTAGCCCCTGGTTGGTCCGATTTTCGGAGGTTTTTTACCCCGACTTAATTTCCGCGGGGGGGTTGGTTCAAGAATGGCTACCTAGGACTTGGCATCATCAGCCGCGTCGGAGGTGATTTTCTCTGCGAAAGTCGGGGGTTAGTGTGGGTCCTCTAACGGGATCGGACTATACAGCTTGCTGCCGGTCGCGATAAGCCGTCACATCCGGGGTTCATACTGGCGATTCATGTATGTTATCATTGTAGATGCCATGTCTCTTACCCGGTCCCGTCGGACTTGTTGGAAGCCGTTTCAAGATTTCTGACGTAGGGTATGTCGGCTCCTAGAATCGGGCTGTGTCGTATACTGGCGACGGAGTCAAGATGGTATCTTATTATATATCATGTTAATCCTTGGGTGAAGGATATAGAACCCCATGCTTATACTGGATAATTAATCACTATTATCAGCACAATAATAACTCTTCAGACTATCCTCTAGCATTACTGCGTATCTACACAATCATGGCTCCCTCCACCAATGACTCTCCTCTTGGTATTTCCACCTCACCATTCGCCTGCAGAGTAGGTATCAACGGCTTTGGCCGGATAGGTATGTTATTCCATCTCCTCAGATAACAGTACAAACCACTCAACATCCATTCCTAGGCCGCAACCTCCTCCGCGCATCCCTCGTCCGCTCAGACATCCAAGTCGTCGCCATCAACCACACATGCGTCACAGTCGAAGACCTCATCTACCTCATCCGATATGATTCCTCCATGGGAGACCTCGACGATGGAACATCTATCCAGATAAAATCCGAAAACCTCATCGTCATAGACGGCAACCCCATTACCTTGACCTCTGAGCGCGACCTGAAGAAGCTCAAATGGGATGCTCTGGGCGTCGACTATGTACTCGAATGTACAGGCAAATTCACAAAGTCGCACCAAGCTATAGATCACATCACCTATGGAAAGGCAAAGCGGGTCCTGATCTCTGCACCTTCTGATTCGCCCACCTTTGTCTATGGCGTTAACTCCAATTCGTACCGTCCTACTGAGGAGAACCTGGTTATCTCAAACGCCAGCTGCACAACGAACTGCGTTACGCCGGTGTTGAAGGTGCTTCATGAGAATTTTGGTGTTGCTCAGGGATTCCTGACGACTATTCATGCTGCTACTCGGTCTCAGCAGGTTCTGGATGGGTATAGCAAGAAGAACCGCCGGCTTGGTGAGTTACCCATTCCCCACAGGCTTGATGGACTGGAACTAATGGCTCTGTTTATAGGTCGCGGTGTCTTCAACAACATCATCCCGACAACTACTGGCGCTTCCAAAGCCGTTGCTTCAGTGTTGCCCGAGCTAAGCGGCAAGGTGACGGGCGTGTCGATCCGTGTCCCAACGTAAGCTCCGCTCGGTTGCTCGCTTGATAACCCCCATTTGCTGACTGAATTGAACTCAGACCCAATGTCTCGATGATCGACCTTACAATCAGCACCGAAAAGCCCACATCACTCTCAGAAATCATCTCTTCCTTCCGCGTCGCATCCAAGTCCAGCATGGCTGGCGTGTTGAGGGTTACAGATGAGGAGCTCGTAAGCGCTGACTATAACGGAAGCCCGTATAGTGCGATCATCGATGCACCAGCATGTTCGGAGCTGAATTCTCAGGTGAGTAGGCGCAGTGGCCTTCATGGATCTGAGGCATGCTAATTTGTCTATAGTTCTTCAAGATCATGGCATGGTACGATAACGAGTGGGGTTACTCAAATCGTTTGCTGGATCTGGCGACACATGTCCACGCTGCTCAAAACATGCAATAATGTTCTAGATTGGATATAATAATTTGTAAGCATGGGAACTGAGGGCGTTAAATGGTAGCTTTACTTCGGTCTTTGTCTGTATGACACCTCCGAAGCTATCAGCATGATATCGGATTTAATGATTTAGACTATTTTAGCCTAGTAATATATAAAATTTAACACAATTCTTTGTGGATTCAACGATTCTTCTTTCCTAGATGATCTCCAGCTTTGGCTGACATGAATGCCGCTTTATTGTTATTGTAGACAGCTAATGTTGGGCGATGGCCTGTATGAGACTATGAAGTAACCACCTCAAAATATATCATCGGTTAAACCGGACACAACATGATCATAGCGCCTCAGCTTTTCCTGGCTCAAGCCATTCAGGGTCAATCGGCAAACGTGCAATGAATAACTGCGTGACAATTACTAGGCACCTCCACCGCCTTCAACCATTTGTCCCTTTTATTTTCGAAACCCTGTGGACCCTAGGCGTCCTGACCCTATCTGCTCGACATTTCCGGACTGTCTTGGCGATAAGGGGCAAGATCTGGGACTGGAGCTCGGCAGTACAATATTATTTAATTAGTATGTGCTCATTATATCCCTCTTACAATAAAGAACAAGTACATACGACCACAGGGTGTGGAAAACAGGGCTTCCCGTCCGCTCAGCCGTACTTAAGCCACACGCCGGGAGGTTAGTAGTTGGGTGGGTGACCACCAGCGAATCCCTTCTGTTGTATGTTTTTATTTTTTTCTGTATATCTTTTTTTGGCATGAAACACAAAGAACCAAACATAAAATCGACAGCACGTAAAACAGAGGGCATTTTACACAACCCGCAGTGGAATACATCCACACGGTATGCGCATGGATAGACGACCGTCAGGGATAGTAGGTGCCAACCACAAGAGGGTACCCGACTCCACTGGGCCACTTTGTAAGAATAGCGTCTTTCGCGGCTGCCACCTGGGAAGGGTTGATGAGGAATCCAGATGTCTCAAAGAGGTTAATTTGCTGGGTGGTCCAAAACCTGCAGCCTTCTCCTGCGAAGTTGAACTCATATTGATGACGCTTCTGGCTCAGTATTGAGCCAAGAAAATCTCGCGCTTTGCTGCCAGGGCGAGCGTCCATTCGCACGACTTGCTGTGCCGTACTCGACATCGGAACAGCGTGCTCTAGATAGCTAATGATCAAAAAGCCCTTGCTGCCACTGGGGTTTGTGGCACCAGGGATATTGTAGGACGGGGTCATGTCAAGCTGCACCGACGTAGTATCCGTAACATTGAGATAAAAGCACCAGTGATTGCCGCCATTTTCAAGCGGGTCATGGGCGACAACATCGACCCCCCGAACTGGAAGATCCAGTATTGTCTCCCTGTCTCGGGCGGGGACGAACTGCAAGGGCTCGAAAGGGGGCCTTTGATAGTTCATCTCGATAAAGTAGCGCCCACGGAGTTGAAAGGAGTGGGGTGAATTGAAGCGGAGTAGGCCTCGGCGCGTGCGCGGCTTTGGTTCGATACGAACTCTGGAGTTTATGGGTAGATAACCACTGCTGACCTGCAAATGGGATAAACTAGATGTATTAAGTTTGCTTGGGGATGAGCCGTTAATTGTGTCTTCGAGATTAATTCTTGAAGCAATATCAACTTAGACAAAGTAAGAGCCAATACCGATTATTACACGGCTAACTAATTAGTTATCTGGTTGCCTGTTGTGTGACATGGTGCTAGATTTGTTTGCTTGATTTGCACCGCTGCAAGCTCGATAAAGGAATGCTACGAAAATGTGAACTAATACCCAAATTCTGGATTAGGTTGTGATAAAGTTGATTTGCGTTTTCAAAAATCCCATAATACGCATGCATGCTGTACGCAGAAGATAATGAGGCGCCTGATTGGCCAAACCTCACGTAGCCCCCAAGCAACTTAGAAGATCACCCTACCTCTGAATGAGAAACGAATACCAATTCACTTGGTTCTTATAGTAAGATCTACGTAAGTAATAGCCAGGCAATATTTCCGAGGTAAATATGCATCAGACTCAAAGTGGACTACGAGCATTTGATCGTTGGACGGATCTGCGTCTCGCGCCAGATTCAAGACGACCCGCCTTACGAGGCCGTTCTTGGTGGATATGACTGCCAGATTGGTATCTAGCAACCACCCTTACCTGCGAAAAGCTCTGAAAGGCCCACCGCATCATTCTCAATAACGATCATATCACGTTAATTTAGACTGTCTGTGAGACAAGTATAATGAATTTTTTAGATCACGCTCTATCGTCTTGCTAGGGAGACGGTGTGCTCATGAAATATTCCTCACGTATACTCCTATGTGTCGTGGTGAGTTGACTTACTCGGACAATGCGCCAGGATAACGAGTCCAATACCATGTCCCTCCCACATCAGGTGCAGCTTCAATGACCTTGACAGATAGCCCTTGGTCTGTAAGTTTTTTGCACATGTAGATACCTCCAAACCCGGCCCATACGACAATCGCATCAAAGTCGGGTCGAGTTGGAGCATACACAGGCATTGTCAAAGAGGCTTTCACGGTAGCAGACAGGTTTCTAACAGCTAAAATGGGTTGAAATAGCAATTAGAAATAAGCCGAGATTTATCTAGATCTGTACGTGGTGTTGTAAAGGATGAACGCACCATCTATCCACTAACAGTCGTAGATCTTCACCACCCCCATCCCCAACCCCCTGCTATCCCCTCGAAGATCAGCCGGGGTGAGCATGTAGCCGTATAGATATGGTGAGCGGGGCAAGTCCAGCCGCGGCAGCCTTGCATAAATGAATATAGTCTCATTGACGCAGCTCCCACCCAAGGCGGAGATCTGCAGCGCGCTGTCAAATTACCCTGCCAGAATATTGCTCCTCCTGAGTCTCTGATCATCGCGCTATATGCGACGCGGTGAGACCGGAGCGGACCTACTCCTTTTTGGAGTCGTTTGCATCTGGACTCTGTCTTCCAACTCAATACCAATTATGCTAAGTGTCAAAGACTTCCAGTCTCCCGCCTTGGCAGCTAATACACTCCAGGATTGTCAGAAAGCTCAATGGCACCCCCAAAGATCCGTCTCATTTTTTTTTCTTCGACACGTAGCCACTAGAGGTTTGTGTATATACTCTACCTCCTGGCGAATAGAACCAGGGACCTGTAATTGTAGTCAATTGCCGAAAAACGGACAATCTTACACGTAGAATCATACCATGCGGCAAGATCCCCTTTCCGTGGAGTCCAATGGCAACATCACCACAGCTTTAGCAACACCTTCAGACCCTTTACTGGGATCCCATTTTCTATCATATCTCCGTAGATCACCTGCCAGCGCTGTAGGTGTGACAAAGGAGGTGAGAGCCAGCGCCCACTGGAATGCCGGAATTACTCGCCGCCAGTCGAGATTTACGTGACATCCCAGTTACTGCATGCTAGGAGGTGATCTACCCGGTTACACCTGTACCACCAAAAAAGCCTGAGATTGAGCTGACAAGATTGACCGCCCCGCGAGTTTTAACTTCTGTCAAGGTAGCATTGGTTTCCCTGCGTAGTAAATGTAGCTTGACTGATTCGGATCATGAATTGCCTTCGATTCAATATCAATGACTCAGGAAAATACTGTTCAATATGTTCTCTATCCTCGAGGACGAGAGACCTCGAGATGCTTCTTTCAAAGTTCTATTTTTCTAGTTTAAAAAACAAAAACATACAACAGAAGGGATTCGCTGGTGGTCACCCACCCAACTACTAACCTCCCGGCGTGTGGCTTAAGTACGGCTGAGCGGACGGGAAGCCCTGTTTTCCACACCCTGTGGTCGTATGTGCCTTCCTTTTCTCACACGCCGCTTATATAGGTATATGCACTCTAATATTAGACTGAAGATACTTGATCTTCACTATTCCCCGAAACTACTTGCAAGGTGATCACCGATGTACTTGATGCCCTCCGCGCGGTAAACGTCCGACCTAACGTATGAGAGATTCGAGACAGTATTGTCAAAGAGAATTATTTCCGGATTATCGATATTGTATCTCGGCCAGTGGACATTCTCTAAGAAAACGGTTAATTCAGCACTTGTTTGAAATTGCGTACCAATCATAAAAATGGGTTGTGGGCCCTTACCTCCAGAGTAATTTGGGTCCAATGTTGTCACAAAACTGACCCACATTCTTGACATAACTGTGCTCAGGTGTGAATAACTATCCGGTATGCTCTCCATGGTCGTCTTGTTGAAGTCGTACCACACGCCATCACCGTTATGAAAGACGTAGGGCATTTCTGAACCATGAGTGGCCCCGGCATAGGATCCAGCAGCAGGGCCATTCCCAGGACTGACAGCGTCAAACCTGTAGCTATACACCGAGACATTGCGGGATGACCATGCCTGGCTAGCAAACCTACGTGGGCCATGGATGTTTACATCACCCTGAAATGCGGCCACACGCTTGTATTGCCTTCCATATCCGGACGGTGGCTTTTCATCCATTATGGCGGGGATCCCAATCTGAGGGATGTTTGGGTACAGGGCCTCCAAAATATCAGTGGTAACGTTGTCGAGGCCCCAGTCTTTGACTAGCTCTCGAAACTCGGCATCCGTGTTGACTCCCGTTACAGCAAATGCTGTCCCTTCGTCAGCGTTAGCTCCAATGAGGTATGGAACTTTGACAAATTTGCCCTCCTGAAGCTGAACCGTGCCACTTCCTTCAATGAAGTCGTCATCTATGACAGGAATGAATTTCGCTCCGCTGAGGCCTGATATAGAGTGCTCGGGTACAATAGACGTGTTATCGAAAATACTGTGCAATGTATCAGTTGGGATCGTTCGGAGACAAGCCAAAGTATCCGTTGCCGAACTGCAGCCCGATGCATTCACAATGCCATCATAATAGGGCTGCCAATCGTCAGGTGTCGGATAACGTTGATAAACACTCGGGGCACCACTTTCACTGATTGCTGCACGGAATATACCATCATCACGCCCTCCGTAAGCAACCAGATGCGTGCCAACACTATTAGCGCCGGCACTTTCACCCCAGATCGTAACCTGAGCAGGGTCGCCACCAAAAGCAGCAATGTCTAAGTCATGGTCAGACCTGTACTATAGGTTCAGTACATATATACGTACTCTCTTTTATCCAATGCAGAGCTAAGCGTTGGTCTCTAAGTCCCAGGTTCCCTACTCCGGCTTCCTTCATCTCGTTGCTCCACATGAAACCCCAGCAATGAAGACGATAATTTAGACTGACTGCGACAATGGGCGTTCCCATTTGGACTGACTGGTCAACAATGAAGGAAAGATTGTACTGTTTCTCTGATGAAGAGCCGGAAGTGTATCCGCCGCCATGAATCCAGACTGCGCCCGAGTGTAAGGTCAGTTCTAGCCTTTATGACAAGATCCGGGATGATTACTGACCAGCAACGGGCAGACTGCTATGGAGAGCGATGCTTGCTGGGCGGACGACATTCAGTGTAAGGCAGGCTTCGGAAGCACCCTTAGTCTGATTAAACCCGACACAAGCGGGTGAGTATTCCGTTGCATTTCTTGGTACCGTCCAGGAGGTGTTCATTGGCCGTGGGGTCTGCAAGCGAAGTTCGCCAACAGGTTGCTGTACATAAGGCATGCCAAGAAAGAAGTCTTGATCATAGTCTGGGTTGTGAACTCCATAATAGGTGCCATTCTGTACAGTAACTGAGGGGTTTGGAGTTATTCCTGGGTGTTCTACTTTTCCGGCACTTGCAATCAATGGAAGAACAAGTGCTAATAGAGGAAGCGATGGAACAAGCATCATGGGGCCTTTCCTGAGAATATGTGAGCTTCGATTTGTTGAGGTAAAAAAACGTTCTTGCGTGACTAGAGGGCATTTACATACTAATTAACTAACCGAGATGAGGAATATAGTCGGAACATAGCCGGAACATAGCCGGACGTTGCTCCACGTTTGAAACTTTATTAGAAAGCCAATGTATGAGTCATTTATTTGCTTGCTAACTACTAGCCGTGCTACTTACTCACTTTGGATGAAACGGTTTATTGGACTATGGTACTAAAGTAAGATACCACGTATTTCCGGATCTGCAGCGGAGGTAACATGAGAAGAGCAATCAGCGCGGAAAACGCCCGCTATTAGCTGCTGAGAATCGAAGCCGCATATGAAGGGAAATGATGTCTTCTTACCAATCAGACGAGCCGGACCGATCAGGGTATTCAGAGCCCTCATCTCACATTCTCTTACCGTCTAGTGCAGCATGGGTTAAAATCCTAGACCTTGGAACGCTGATGCCAGAAATGCAGAGAAAGGCGGGTGGATGTTAACCATTGAGGCAGGGGTCACAGTGGTCTTGGCCATCAGTTGACGCATACTAAGCACTGCTCGACATACAATGTTGACTGGGTGATTAAATGCTTTAAGAACAACAAAGAGCAGGCAACAGGAAACTCATTCGACCGTAAAAAAGAACTGATCGAATGGATCGATATCCATTAACAGATCCTCCTCGAGTTCCATACCATCTATATCACCCCAATCACCAAGATCATGAAACATCTGCGCACCATGTGTCCCGTTCAAAACTGGATCTAATGCAACCTCGCCTGTCTCAGCACTCCGGATTGCACCAGCCAACCAATCATCGTTCCAGACAGTGTACGAATCCTCTCTATCCCTAGCATGCGCAGTCGAACCTCCGTCAACGGTAGGATCTATCATGAGGATTTGGTCCATGTAGTCCTGTACCGTGCGGTAAACCTCTCCCGCGACGCGGTTGCGGAACTTTGTCACTGCATCATTAAGACTGGTCAGGATTTGATGGTAAAGCCGGGCCTGTGGGCTAGTTCGGCCAATATCATCGAGGAGATGTAAGGTGCTGTTGAAGAGACTCTCAATGTCACGGCGAGGTTCTCCAGCAAACATAGAGAAGCCTAGGATAAGGCCGGCGCCAAAAATCCAAGCTCTATGGGTAGACATTAACATCAAGTCTTTTCAAGATTAGGTTTGAGAGAAAGGAGTCTGAACGAAGCGAGGAGGTAAAAGGGGGCATACTTGAGGAGACAAAAGTTTCGAAAAACGAGCCCCGCCGACTTTGCCCGTCGACACATATCTATCATGTATAAGGAAGAACTTACGCACACCTGGGCCAGTTTGGATACTTTATTGTTCTTAATAGCGACATCAGAGGCCTCATCCGGGTCACTGATCAAATGGTCTGGTGCTTTCCCACGAAGACGAGATACGAGATACGCGATCAGATACGGCCGGGTTACGAGGATTACCGCAAAGTAGTATAGGCAGGAAACGTGAACGCTTCCAACAAGTCGCTGCCGAGCTGCAGGTTCCAGGAATGGTGGGCCCTGGGAAACACTCCGGAACTGGCGGAGAGAGGCGGGCAGGCTAGAACTCCATTTCCGGAGTTGCGAAAGCAGGCCCTCGGCTGTGGGGACGTCGAGAAGCCCGCCATTGCTGAGTGTGTCGACGATATTAATGAGTAAAGTGCATCCGTTGCCAATGGCATAGAATGCTGACTGAGGATTCAACTCATTGGTATCCGACATACTCTGCACTAGGGGGAGGCTTCTTGGCCTGGACAAAACAAAGCTGCTGAGAATATCAAGATTACGCATGCTGTGCCAGATTCTTCGTCTGCCAGGCTGTGTCAGTGTACATCGTTGGCACTAGCATTCAATTGCTATAACTCACCTACTTTCACAGTCTTCTTTGGAGAGCGTACTATCGTAACCCTCAATGCTATGAAGCTCTAGGATTATGGCTGCTCGCGCAGCTACCCCAAGAAACATTGAAGCGGCATTTCGATTGCAAGCCCCCAGCATGTAAAATGCCATTAGCAAAAAAAGCCGTACAGTCCCGATGTTCTGGCCCATCAGCATGTCGTTGAACGCTGCCTGGCGTGCACGGCGGAAGTACTCGTTCGCTACCTGGGAGTCTCTATCTGATCCTCTAATCTGGGCACCAATAGATAGAGCGACGCCTATGGCTGCGACATCCTCCCGCCTCACAGCTGCAATCGATGTGGGCTGCCGCGAAGAGGTGTGTGCTTCAAGTAAGGTCTCGACCTCCTGGGCTGTGAAAAGATCCAGAATTCCGCTTGTCTGTGTGCATTTTTAGAGACGATAGTAGCAGGCTTCATCCTAGGTACTTACTGCCTCATAATAATATTCTATGTATGAGTGAATTCTTTTGGGCTCGATATTCTGATCGTCCTCGGTTGTAGAACAAAAATCTGTATCAATTATAATGTGGTGTCGCTCAGCATCCGTAAAAGGCACCGAACCCACATAGGCCTTTATAGTTTTCCGGAGGAAATGTAAGAATGACATAGCGGAAGTCTCGCCCACATCAACTACAAGAAAGCATGGTTTAGGTTCTCGAGATTCTGTATCTGGCTCATGGATAGTTCCACACCTTTTGTTGACTGTTCCGGTGCTAAAGATAACCGCTCACGCAAAGAGGTTTCAGGGGGATGTGTATCATCACTCCGTGACTCGGGTGTGACCATCTCAGATACTAGGGTCTCAAACTCGAATGGTGTATTCTCATTCTCAGCGGCAGTAGCACTGTTACTCTGCGAAAAGCCATCCTGCCTGTCAATGGCCCGGCTGTGTGGATTCCGTACGGCATCACCCGTTCTCCGTTTGCGACGGTCCATACCAGAATAAGCACATGTATGAGCTTGTCCCCGTCGCATACATGAGGAACATGGTCGTTGTGAGTCGCACCGGATCTTCAGGATCTTGCAGGTCTGACAAGCGTGGCTGGACCGTCGTCGATCTTCCGGGCGCACTTTTGGACGTGGCATGGTCGGGCAAACGTATTGTAGGGTTTGCCGGTTGTGAAAAAAATAGGGATTCTAACCAGGTCAGTGGGAGGGCTCCGGGGAAGATACTCGGAACTGCGTCTGAGCTCTCCAATGTTTATTTGTCTTTTCCCAATCATTTTGGGGCACAGATCCTACCCCGCACTAGAGGCTGGGCGTTGCTGTGATAAGTCCGAGATGCAACAAACGGTTAGATAAGGAGAAATCAAAGGCAAAAACGACGTCTCTGAGTCTTATCTGTGCTTTATGTATGCTCTTTTGCTTGTATGCGGTGCTTTCGGCCCTGATAGTGGAGTGATAAAGAGTCTCGGGACCTGATTACGGGGACAATCGGCAGGTATGGTGTGCCTTATGATAAGATACCCATTACATCAATCACTCTATTCCTTTTCGGTTAATTCTTCGGGAGAAAATTATATAAATAGAGTTGTCGATGGATGGTACCGTGTGTGAAAGATACGGCCCACACCATCGATCCCTTAGCCGGGCGGCCGGGCATTTCCCGCCCGTTATCCTCCCCCTTTTCCGTTCCCTTTTGCGGTCAGAACACTTCCGTTAAGCAAGTTTTGGGGACACCGTCGGTTGAACCGAGTCCACTTCCCGAACCGAGTGCTCAAACATTCTATTTGATTCCACAGAATTCCTATCCCTCATCTTCTTCGCTGTGTCGCGCCCAGCTCCTGGTACTCTATACTCAAGTTTCGTCTTGGTGCCCATATGCACACCCGTAGGCGCGGGGTGTGTCCAAGGAAGATATTCTGGCATGAGCCCTAACTGAATCAGAGCAGTGAGTTGATCCCACGCAATGTGCTCGTGGTACAGCCGGTCACCCCTTATGTTGACAACTGCGGTAAAAGGTATTTCTAGTTTGCGACCAGTGGGTGGGATACCAGGAAGCCTGCTACAGATTAGTTCGAGCAGAGCAAGCAATTGGGTTGCGAAATAATAGTAAGATGGAATAAGTCCTTACAGCCAGTCAATCTGGGTGTCGTGCGTGAACTTGTATATAAATTCATCAATGACACGATCAATACCCACCGTCCGACTGATAAGCTCAAGTTCCGCGTCTTCGGGATTATTGAAAACAAAGTGGTTCTGGTAGAAGTATGAAAGGCGATCCCTTCCAATACCTCCCGTTAACTGCAAGTTGCTCAGCTCAGTATCTTGTTAATAAGAGTTCGGCACTTTGGATCTTACCGTGGGAATATGATTCACATACGGCTCTTGCACCATAGTTGCCATCGTATGAGGTACAGAGCGCGTCTCAAACTCATGATACGTATGTTCTTCCCAGATGGCCTCCAAATCGAAGTATGGGCCCCCCATTAGAGGTTTCAGGAAGCTTAGGTTCCGTGTGTGTGATACAGACTCGGCGGTGTAATCGAACGCCGGCTGAAAAGGGGTGGCAAACTGATATGTACTGACAGCTGCGTATCCATACGCCTGGCAGTTCTCGGTGTTGGATACCATTTTTGCTGTCGCAGATGCTCCAGCCAAGTGCTGAAGCATTGGGAAGACTGGTTTGGGGATCGGCGAATCCACATTCCCATATACCACCACTCCGACAACCTCCTGGTGAGCGTGCGCTGATGCAGCGACCTTCAGCCATGCGTCGGGGTCGTATGCTGGAACAGAGATGTTAGCTGCAGTGGTCAAGTACGTAAGAGTACTGTACTTACCGATAAGTCCAACTTTCCCCTTGGGCTTGCAGTTGTCGCAACTGGACAACGCTTCGAGGGCAGAGGATATGCCATCTTGTTCATCCTCCAAGGCAGCTAAGCATACTGCCGCCACCGCGTAGCCTTCTTCAGCCCATTTGAGGAACGGTGAGGGAACTCCATCGTCTAGACGCACACCTCCGAGGTCTCTCCCAGAAGTCAGTATGATCATACCAGGACCCGTGCCGAGGCGTGACAGAGGGTGTAGCAAGTAGACGCCCGGTGCATGCACTTGTTGATTTGGCACAGGGAGGCTGGGGGGAGGGTCGATTGCTTGGCCGGTCATGTTTGTGTATTTTCCAGGACAAATTGGTTCTATATCGAAGCTTACGACTGTTGAAGCAGGTGGGAAGTCGAGAGCGTCGCTGTCATGAGCCAAAATAAAGTGATCAAGCAATGCTACCAGAGGGCCATGATACCTGATATCATATACGGATGATTCAGTCGCCATTTTGCTTTCTATCAGCCCATAAAGCTGGTTTTCCGGGTATCGTATCGGTTGCTCATTCGGAACCGGCGTTGAGATTGATTGCGATGGTACGTTTTCCGCCGCTGTTCGGCTACGCGCCCGGATGTCCACGGACAGAATGCTTCCGCCCCGGAGTTCAAGAATGTCACTGTTATAGCGAAGCACGGAGTAGAAATGGTCGGGACTGGTACGGAGAGGAACCGCGGCACGAAGACAACAGCCGCATAATAGGATAAGGGTTCCCATACCCGTACTTATCCTGGAATTAGGTTTTCCCACCTAACATACTGCTTCAGGTACAAAGATAGCGCTTTGATGTAGAACTGATTCTCTCCCACCAAAGATAATTTCTAAGTCTGGGCGTTTGGGGTTCTGTGTTCACTATGCTTACGAATCGAATATTCTTCCAATACACCAGATGACTCGTTTCCTCTAACTGCAATCAATTTCTACTATAGATTGAGGGATCTCATAGACTATCTTATGAAATACTAGGCGGATAGACAGACTCTTGTCTGAAGAATGTCTAGCAAAGCTTTTGAGCCTTAAGTGGTCCTCCATAACTGAACTCTGCCCACCGATGAAAACGCGACGCCTGTAGCCTGATAAATGCACACTAGAGATTAGAGCGGCCACGGGGAAGCGTATTCTGATTGCTAAATGCGCTGATCTGCCAGTCGAATTCCTTGTGTTAGTGAATGATGGCGGTTTGAACACAGAATACTCTGATTTGACCCAACTTACATAAGAAGGATTCAGCGAGTCAACACTGGCAACTCCCAGCAAAGCCATGGTCGTCTCAACTTCATTCTTCAAAATTCTGATTGCCTTGTCAACGCCTGGCTCGCCAAGTGCCAAGGCGTAAAGAAATGCTCGCCCCAGTCCGACGCCTTTTGCGCCTAAAGCAAGAGCTTTCACAATATCAGAACCACGACTGATACCCCCATCGACAATAACGTCACAACGGCGAAGGACTTCGGGGCAGTGGGCATGGATGGCAAGAAGGGTATCCACAGCAGAGGGAGCCCCCTCGAGCTGTCGTCCTCCGTGGTTTGACAGCCACGGATGTACTCCGTACTTCATGCATAGTGCAGCATCTTCCCAGGATTGAATGCCCTTTATCGCAATTGGCAGATCCGTTATCTTTCGTAACCACGAAACTGCGGACATCCAGTCAAAGTCGGGGAAGAGGTGGCTATATCTCGTCAGGTCATTTTCTCATCAATCATATCCGGACTTATTGGGAACGCACGACCGCGAAACTGTAGGACCACTGGCAAACGCATTGTCTTCACCCTCTTCATTCTCAGAAAGCTCCTGTTCCTGTGGAAAAGGGTTGTTAATCCTTGAAATAGAACCGCGAGAGAATGATATGCATACCCTGATGATTAAACGCACATCACGTTCTCGCTTGCCAACTCGAGTGGCATCAACAGTTAAAGCAAACCCCCGGTAACCCAACGAAATAGCTTGTTTTATTTCCTTCTCCGTCACGGAGAGGTCCTCCAGAGCATATATCTGCCAGTACAATGTCTGCGTGTCCGCACGCGCATCTGCCAACTGTTCCTGCGAACAACCGGTGTTGTTCGGTACCCAGTGAAGAATGCCATGTTTCCCAGCAGCTTTGGTCAAAGCCAGGTCTCCACTCGAATGTGCCAGCTTACCACCACCTGCAGGACAGATGAAAAATGGCGCTGAGTATTTCGTTCCAAGAATGGATGTCGTTAAGTCGATGGCCCGGATTGGTCTTAAAACTCTCGGACAAAAGCGGATACGTTTCCAACTATTCTGGTTCCATTGAACAGTTTCTTCATCTTCAGCGCCAGATTTGAAAACTGCATGTCGCTCCAAATGCATTGATTAGCCACGGAGACAGCATTTCGTCTTCCTCTGGTGGTACTCACAGGCAAACGAGCGCGCAGGTAATATTTGAGAGGCAGAGAGTTCAAAGTCGTGAATGTTGACAACGGATCTCAAAAGTGAAGGGATGCTCTTCTGAAGACTATTTTCCGAGGAAGACATCTTCATTTGTGCCGAGGCGGGTGGGGTATTCATATCGGAATCTGCAACGGGGCCGAGATGGGCTCTATTCACATATCAGTACAGCCGCGCAGTAGATAAATTTCGAATCAGGGGATTCCTCGTACTCTCGCGGTAGATGTTTCTCAATCACGTTATTTGGGTGGATGGGCTCGAATGCTTCTGTTGCATCCCGCCCAGCATATTTCAGGATGATGCTTGACCCGCCAGGATGGGAGTCCAAGTACGAGCTCAGGTCGTAAACATTTCCTTTTATGATAACCAAGCATCGGTCTTTCGACCTGTGCTGGCTAACTTCAGCTCTAGAGGGTATTAGCAGCTGTTCACGGAATCCAAAAGCCTCTGACTCACCTGGTCAACATGTTCGTATATCCTAGGTGACCAACTTTTTTGTCGCTACGAAGCTGAAAGCTGTAATTAATTAGCTCTTAAAAATGATGGTCTTATTGATTGATTGAATGTCCGTGCATTGATCACGGTTTCTCCAGTCCGGAAAAGGGTCATACTTTATCTCGGCTAAGGGCCGGCAGCAGTATGTGGGGCACGGATATTGCCCCTGCAGCATACACCTTCTGTCTTACTATATCAGAGATATTAGTTCTGCCTTGATGAGAACTAGGTCCCAAGTTCAAAGACAGAAATAATGGAGAAAGTTTTCGCCAAGATAGCACAAGATACCACCAAGTTCGATCTTGGAGATGAAGAAGTACAACTTCATGCCTGATCTAACGATAACCTCAACTTCAAGCTGACGAGGTACAGGGCTGGAGAAAGTTGTATGAACCTTTATATCCCAAAGCACCGGACAATGTCGGAATAGTGAAGGACGAGCAATACGGACCGGCCGAGCGTAACCGATTGGATGTATATTTTCCTGCCGAGGAAAAGCCGGGAGGACATCCTGTTGTACTCTTCGTTCACGGAGGGGGGTTTTTCTCTGGAGACAAAGGATGGAGTGAAAAGGTACTTGCATGCTACAATGAAAACACCCATCCAATTGCTTACTCACCGACACAAGTGCTGGGGTAATGTGGGATTTTACTTTGCGCAGCGTGGATTCGTCACGGTTCTCGCAAACCATCGACTCGTCCCGCACGTTGTCTACCCTGGAGGGGCCGATGATATGCAGCTTGCTCGGGAATGGATCTTTGAAAATATTGCAAAGCAAAAGTACGGCAGAGGATCACCGGAGAAGGTCATCCTTTTGGGTCACTCGTCCGGTGGGGCACATATCGCCATGAACCTCTATGCCGCAGGTGATGAATTCCTTGACAACACTCACCATCATTCATTACTGACTCGAGAAATAGGGGATCCAAAGCGAGAATCGAAAGTCCCACTGTTCCCCCCTGTCGCGGGTGTTATCTACCTAAGTGTACCATTCTGGTTTGATCGGAGAAAGCCTGTGCGACAGAGGGTCATCCGCCACTATTATGGATCGGATGCTGAGGAGGTCTGGGGTGTAAGTCAAATGAACTCGGTGTTTTATCAGATTCTAAACTGCATTGCAGCCTGTTTCTGCCCTAGGTCTCTTCAGAAATTTACCAGACGACTCTCCATTGTTGTAAGCATATTCTACTTCTCCTCTTACTAACTATATTACACCCAAAAACTCTGCGCTGACAATGTGAGTAGGGATTCTGAGCATTTGCCGGTCTACATCGGAAGTGTCAAGTGGGAGGTGTAAGTCACGGAGATGTTAAATGAAGAGCCCATCGGTATGCAAAGCTGACCTGACAATAAAAACTGCCAGAAAAGAAACAGCTGATGCCACTGTGGCTTTTTTCAATGCCTATCGTGAACGGAGCAAACCTCCAGGAACGCTACCAGTGTTCCATGTACAAGACAGACATAATCATGTCAGGTCAGTTATGAGTTTTTCTGACCCTGGTCTTCCATTGTCGGTTCTAATGCCTTTAACAGCAACGTCCTATCCATTGGAACTGAAGATTCTGCACAAGCGGAACGACTATTGGACTTCATGCAAACTTGTGTGGCAAAAGTCGATCAAAGAATTCAGCGTACGTTTTCTGTGGATAGCTAGCCTAACAATAAGGGTGAAGTTTGTTAACAATCTTTGACAGATGAGAATGGGACCATTAGTAAGGAAAGTCTACGCTCTGGCCGCCTTTAAATGATCAATGACATGAAGTGAGAAGGAAGGACCTTGGTCAGAAGTCGAATTTCACATTTCTAAATGTTGAGAAGAAGAATAGTAAATAAGATATATACATTAGTAAATAAAAGTTATTAGCTTACTATCTAATGAAAGTACTTATAGATAGTAAGACTGAACAAGGAAGCAGAAAAGATAAAGATAGAATAAATTTAGCAGGAATAGACATGTTGTGAACTTGCGACAATCTATGTGCTAGACTGCCCAAAGCCCCCCCAAAACAATGACAAAGTAGACGAAGAATTTCGGAACGATTCGATACCAAGCCATCCTTGACGGCATACACAGAGTATCTCTCGGACTAGGCCATCATCGTCCAAAGCAACTATAAAGGGTAATACTTTATTTTCCTAAAAGTCTATTGCATGCGCTGGGCTTACAAACTGATGCATAACGTTTCATTGCTCATTCTGATATACGTGGGGAAGTGTAGAGTGGGCAAGGGGAGCCTCGTCTGCTAGTAGAAAAACATCGTAATGCAGTAACTATCACGGATGTCATACAATTATCAGTTTGCAGTTACACTCTGCTGGTAAGCAAAGTTTCGCTCGACTGACTCCTTGAACCACTCCCCTACACTCTTCGGGGGGCTGAGAAACGTCCAGGGTTAGCGAGCTATCCCAACATAAGGATGTCTGAACTTACTATTTCTTTTGTGGGCCCTGCATAATATAATCGCGCCTTCCCTGGTTGAAATATGCAATTGAGTAACGTGATGGCGATTCTCCTACATCCATCGCTCGCACTCGGTGGAAGGTCGATTTCAGGCGGTCGTCCGACCACGCCACTGTAGAGGCATTTTATGTTAGAACGCGTACCCCGCCAATGATCCAACGCAAGATGTTTGACTCACTCAGCATGTCACCGATGTTAACAACAATCTGTCCGGTTTTGGCGGGGAGAGGACTGAAAACGTCACCCATTGCGAAACTCGTATGCGATTCACGGCCTGGACAGATCTCCAAACCATCTTCACCATCTCGCTGGAATAGTAGGGTAAGACACCCGATGTCGGTATGACTTCCAGCCCGCCAAGTACCAGCAGCATCTACGGTGGGTGGATAATGGATCAGCCGTAGCTGCGTGAGACAGTCAGGCTTGGTCACATCGTTTGCGACACAGAAGTAATCGGATGGAAATCCCAGTGCAGTCGCAAAGCAGGTAACTACCCGATCTGATTAGACTTGGCTAACATGTTGCACTGTTGAAGCGGCACGTACATAGTTGTTCCGAAATCATCGCACATTTAGCCATGAAGTGAGCAGTAGTATCCCGAAATCCTGGGACATCCTCATCGCTTGGCCAGTGAGACCCATGTTGGAGCCAGAGAGATTCCTTCTGGTCATACAAGCCAGTGCTGGGGCGCCGCTGGGCCTTTGTGTAGTCAGTATATATCACTCTCGCCCCTCTGCAGGAACGCGTCGCTTGCCTTGTATTCCCATCCATTATTAGTAACGTTACTATGAGGAGTCTTCCCCTTGACGTCCGATGGCAAGTCAAAGAAGGACTTTGATATGGCAAATTGCTGCTCGATTTCTTCAACGGAAAGTCCGTGGTCAATCAGTGTCAAGAATCCGGCTGTTTCGGCAGCATGCACCAGTTGTTGGGTAATCTCATCTTTTCTTCTCTCGAAGTCTATTCCAGAGAGACTCCGGTGTTAGTATCTCTTAATCTCTGCAGCGTTCTCCCACTTACCGTCGAGAGAGATGACAGGTACCACGCGCTCGGCCATTCTGGTAAGGCTTTGTTGACAGACTGGGTTGTACTATGCTTTAGTGAGGGGATATATAATAATGCTTGCACTTGGTAGAGCGAGATCAACTACTCTGAAGGGGTTCTATGAGTTATAAAACTGTCTCTCTATTCTGTACATCTGCCTCCATTTGATAACCGAATGGTACATAGCCGTGATTGTCCATATCCGACGGGAACGCCACGACGTACCCATCCGTCAAATATCGTATCGGCACTTCTCTGAGTATATCCGATGCTCTTATCACCATATCGGTGCGATATCCGCTGTTCCTTAGCTGCAGTTACAAACAACGGGTCACACCTCTGGTTTGAATAGAAACCACGGAATTTATATCACGGTGTGCAGGAGCGTCCGTCGGACGTGGAACGATAATCTCCATGTACTGCTTCCGCAACATGTCGGACATCAAGAAAGCCGAAGTTAGCATGGGAGACGTCGAAGTTGGGGTTGTGAGTACCTTTGATAAACACTGAAACAACAAGTATTACGTTCTGATTGCTTTAGGGATACAATCGTCCGATTGGTTTTGCAGACCTGGCTCACCACAAGATCAAGCTGGATGATGCTCGACGGTCAAACGCCCTCAAAATTCTTGCGGAGCAAAGAGTTGAAATCGATGTTGCGTCGCCCGCAGCCAAGAAGCTACTCCGCAGGATTGACATGCGAATAATGCCACTGGTACTCGGCCTTTACACCCTCCAGCTACTCGTTAGTACAGATCTGTGACCGCCTCCCACGTCGTACCTAATGTTCCATACCGCAGGACAAGAATAGCTTGTCATACGCTGCATTGATGGGAATCAAAGAGGACACACGCCTCACTGGAAACCAGTACGACTGGTTGGGATCTATCGTCTAGTATGTAGAGCACTCGCTATCAGAAAGTCTCTTCCGTCACTGACCCATGATCTCATTTGTGCTATAGCTTCGGATATCTGTTTGGCGAGATCCCGGCGGCATTTCTAATGCAGCGCGTGCCAATGGCTAAGTACCTCGGTGTCATGAGCATGCTTTGGGGGACTGTCGTCACCTTGCACGCTGCCTGCCACAATTTTGGAGGGTTGGCGGCGGTTCGCTTTCTCCTGGGATCCATTGAAGTATGCACAACGCCCGCTATCCTCTATGTTACTAGCTCCTGGTACAGTCACAGTGAACAAGTTACCCGAGTTGCGATCTGGTATTCGGCTTCCGGTTGGGCTCAGGTTTTTGGAGGTTTCTTTGCCTGGGCTATCAACCATGCCACTGGATTCAAATGGGAAAGTCTCTTCATATTCTATGGCGGCCTCACATTTGTTACGGGGGTCATAATTTTTTTCCTTCTTGCCGCATCGCCAGTTGACGCTAGCTGGCTATCCGACAATGAGAAGGCAATTGCCCTCGAAAGAGTCCGAGATAATAAGACAGGCTCTGAGATGTGGTCATTCAACTGGGATCAGCTGAAAGAGTCCCTCTGCGATCCCCGGCTGTATCTGATTTTTCTACTGATGGTTTCAACTGGGCTTCCCAATGGTGGCTTGACAGCATTTGGTATGTTCACTTTTTCTAGAAGATGTTCCTGACTGACAGATAATCTCTTGTACCTCTTGTGCAGGGCCAACCATCATCTCGGGATTCGGCTTCGACGATAATACCACCACGCTTCTCAGTATGGCTCCAGGCGCATGCGCGGCTCTTGGCACGGTTCTGGTCACTGTCGTTATAAAGTGTACCAATAGAACTATAGGTGGTATCTTTGTAATAGTTCTTGGTTGTGTTGGGGTCATCATGATGTTAACCATACCGGAAAATGCCAATGCAGCTCGTTATGGAGGCTACATCCTCACAATGCAATGTGCGTCTTGACGGGAATCTACACCAGATGAGCCCCTATTAGATCGCTTTATTAATCTTTCTTTACTTAGACCCAAATGCCATATTGGTTGTCCTCGCCTTCATTACGTCTGGTGTCGGTGGGAGTACCAAAAAGCTCGCGTTTGGTGCGTCCTATCAGCTTGGATATGCGGTTGGCAACATTTGCGGCCCCCAAACGTTTCGTGCAGACGAAGCACCCCACTATTATGTACGCTTTCGTTTCCCCCAACCATTTTTATTACCTAGTCTGATATAAGAACAGACGGCGAAGTTCACCATGTTAGCATTCTTAGTATGCACAGCCATCCTGTTGGCTTCCATGGGGATTATCCATTGGCATTGGAATCGGAAGCGCGACAAGCAAGACGCTCTAGATGCCCAAAGTGCGTACCTTTCTACCCTATCACCATTATTGATCTCTCTTCTTACCAGTTACAGGGCAAATTGTTCGCGAAAGTGTCATAAACGAGGAATTTGCGGATCTGACGGATTTCCAACTTCGCTCATTCAGGTACCCTTTGTGAAGGAGGATATTGCGATATACATGCTGTCAACGCACTAGGGGTGCCTCAGCTACATAACTAAGAGATGATATCATGACTAAGCCATGTAATGCGAACCTGAAATAATGACCAATTGACCTGACAGTTGAAGGTTTGCTGGACTATGCTATCTGATCCCACAAACAAACAGCTTTGCGGTGTCGCCTGTAGACATATGTCTCCGTAAGCTTCGATGGGTGTAAGAACGCGCTGGGATTCACGACGTGATAACATTAATCCGAACAACATGTTTCCTGGATATAGTTCACGTGGATTCAAACGAACGCGGAAAAGGGATAAATAACACGCGAGGCAGGGTAGATCTGAGGGGATTCTAGAGCGTGCTGGGTGCATTATAAAACTTTCCAGACACGGCGATATTGACGGATCATATTAACATCAAACACGGTCCTGAGGTCTGGTACTGAGTCGAGCTCAGAGGTAGTTTAGATAAGCATTTATACAGCAGAGATTTGCACCCATGATTGGGTGTCTAAGATCTCAAGAGTGGATACAATGATACCTCTTTCTAGTCCGACGTAGCCTGTTGTCTGCGGGATGATCTTGATTATATATTTATTGAGGGAAAGTGATTAGATCTTGCTTTTCAGGAACACGACCTTGTCACTTGTCCCAAAAGTAATTGCGTAGAGAAAGGAGAACCAAAAGCAGTGGAACACACAAGAAAGGCGATAGAAATAGAAGTTCTGGGGATTAATATGCAAAAAAAGCAGTTGCTGAAGCCATTTATTCCTAGAAGAAAGAAAACTAGATTCTGATGGATCGACAAGGCGATCTCAAGCTATCTTTGTTCTCTTCATTTGGGCCTCCTTCCACTCCTGGTTGATTCCCCGATAATCATGAATCGTATAACCCTCAAAAATCTCCTTTCTTAGCGTAGACTTTCATTTCTGATTAAGTCCCAGATCTGAGAGCAGCATATCTGCATATGGCACAGCATCGTAGACAAATTCCGGATACCATGCCGAGAACCCACAGGGATAACGATGCTTTCCGTACCGACTCAAGAGCGCTGTTTGATGATAAACGTCTTCTCTATCGATGGCAATTCTTCCATTTAAATAAGCAAATGTCCACAACGCCTGGCATTCCGCGATTATGACGTTGCTCGTGCTGTGGACCATCTTAACATATGCAAGAGAATTATCACCTTTTGACGCAAGCGATGGTGGCGCAATGCCGCGGTATAGGCGGAAGGGGCTGACGTCTTGTTTGTAGGGAATCCCACGCGGAGGATTGCGGAGGTATGGAAAGCGGCTTAGGATCTCCTGGTCTGCTTTGGTGTCAAGTATATTCCAGAGCTTCTCTTCTTCTGCGCTCAGGTTGCTGCTTGGGATGCCGAGACTCGCATCGAGGCCCTCGGGTCTATACTTTACCGATGGGGCGAGCTTCCACCCGGTGATGGCGACTAGGGCGTCTGTTTGAACACCGGTACCGTCTGCAAAATTGACGATTCCGGGACCTGATAAGTGGTCAATATCCTTCCGTATGATCTTGACCTGGCCGGTGCGAAGATAGTCGTGAATATCGGATGGGTAGTTGAGAATTCCGACCCGAGCAGACCAGAAGAGACTTTCCAGGCGTTAGTGACAACTATAGGAAATAATAGACTGATTTCATACCTTTCCAGGGGTTCAAGATGCTCTAAGCATTCTTCTTTGCGATATCCATTTAGGTCAATAATGTCTGTCCTGATTCCCTCCCAAAACTTGTGCACGATGTATCTGCCCAGGCGAGTTTGATGCAATGCCCTTCTGATCCAGCTGAATCCATCAAAGTCACCAAATATGCATGGACTAAACCATGTGAAAAATCTCATGGTGACTAGAAACTCTAGTTTTGTTTTGGCCCCTGCGAATTTAGCCCATGGTGATGCCATCCAAACTGCGCCCCCTCCGGACTCGCGTATAACCCAATCCACCTTTTTGCCATTCGATGCCATTAGATGCACAACATCGTATCCTGTTTTCGAAGCACCCACAACGGTGACAGAATTAATATTAGGGTCCTGCGCAATACGCGCTCCCTCCTCACGCAGTTGGACATGGTTTATGACCGGTCTTTGGAAATCCCCAACCCCGCGGATATTGATCGGGTTAGCGGTCGACGACAATCCTGTGGACATGATAAGTTTTTGACATGAGTAGATCACGCTTTGCGCTGGATCCTTGGTTGTCGTAAATAAGCGCCAGCCTTGATCGAGCTTTTCAACTTCAAGAACTTGGATTTCGAAATGGATCCGTCGACGGATGTCGAAGTGGTCCGCGAAATCATTGAGATATCGGTGCAGAACATATCCAGGGATATGACCGTTTTCAGTGATTCCATATTTGGCGCCCATGGGGAAGTCGGTGAATTCATATGTTCCCCCGAGGTTGTTCGTTTTCAGGCCTTCATAGCAATTTTCTTCGGACCAGACGCCTCCGATGGTCGGTCGCTATCCTGTAGATTAGACCCTATTCTTGGCGGAAAATAAGAACCATCTTAGGGACTTACCTTTTCCAGAAGCACAATATCTGTTTGCGGTGACAGTTCAAGATAGGTTTTTGTGGCTGCGAGACCACCTATTCCTGTCCCAACCACAATTACCTCTGTAGCTCGGTATTCAATTGGCATCTTGGAAATTTTATCTGGGAAAGCCGCCGAATAGTTGTCTAAAGAGATGTTTACTCAAAGCTATACGTCAAGTGTTGTTATCCTCTTCTCCTTATATCTCTGCTTTCCCAATCTTCCTACACCGTGTCTGGAGGACGCAGGGCTATGATTCGGACTCTACACCAAGACCCTAGTTAGGTGGGGATAAGTTCATCAGCGTTATGGTATCTGAACCTTGCGTGGGGCAAGGGTGGGGAGTGCGAAGGGGAAAACTGCATAATTGTCCCCATTGACTAGGTGCATTATCCGGTAGTCCAGTCGGCTATAGAACAGCACCCGGGTAATCCCCACTTTCGGCTCTTATCTTGCTTCTTCGGCACAGGGACAGATAACATCCTCGCCAAGGTATGAAGGATCATTTGAGTCCCTCAGACTCTGCCTATGTAATAATTTCTGTTATTGACAGAGATCGCATCTGATTGTTCCAAAACACATAGGCCGAACGACGAAGCCCCAATTTTGACCTTTGTATGGAGGAAAGGACGTGCACACGGGCCCATTAGCTTCCATCCAGAGAGCCAACTGTGAAGCATAACCTCAACCTCAACTATCTAACATCCATTTTTCTGCAATCGACGAGTTTATCATAGTTCTCTGTTCTATGATCGCAACCACACCGCAAAATCTCAAGCGGAGGGAGCATTAGGACGCAAGCATGACTCTGGGCAAGAAAAAACCACAAGCTACTTGCTCACGAGAGAAGCATTATCGCTGTTCCATGGCAGGGTGTGATAAGACCTTCACCCGGTTGTCTCACCTCCAACGACACTCGCTGAACCACTCAGAGACCCGCTGGGTCTGCGGTCGATGCCATGCCTCGTTCAAGAGATTAGACCTGCTGGGTATGCATTAACGGTCTAATTTAGCGACGTATTCTAATTTTTCTTATAGAACGACACAAAGCGCGCCACACGGTCAAGGATGGTCTGGCCGGTGGTGCAGGGCTAGGCATACTCCAGACCCGCCGGAAAACTATTCCTGGTTCCCATATGGCTAGGGTTCCACTCTCCCCTCGGCCTTCGGGCCTGGGGCAGGATACAGACAAGGTCGAGCCCTTCACCAGACCGGCACAACCTGGTTCCTCTTGTCAAATCGACGCCCAGATTCAAGATGGAGGCACGGGTGATAATGCAGTTGCGGGTCAACAGCTGTCCGGACGCCATTCCCTGAGTTCTCAGCCACAACTGGATGCAGCGCCCATTGCGAATACTGACTCTTTAAACATGGATGAACTAATTAATATGTATTACGACACTTCCTTTGATGCGGTGCACTTTGATGTAATGGGCTTGGCCCTCTCGCCTCTAGCCACGGGTCAGACTCTACCTCAGATTGAAGTAGAGGAACAGAATCACCACCAGGAGGTACAGAATCTTCACCCTACCCCTGACAGGCCGGTTAGCCGGGAGTGTACAGAAATCCAGTCCAGTGGTCCAGAAACGACCATACCAAGACATGATACTCGGTCGGCATGCATTGTGCAGAACACCACTAATATCACCCCATTTCGACACGATCCAATGGTAAGAATATACCTACGTCTAGAAAGCATATTCTTCCGCCGCCCTAGGCTGACCATTATGGCGATGTGGGCATAACGTGCTGTGGATGCTGACCACTCGACAACAGTGTCTCGAGCCCCTTATACACGACGTGTTCCTACAGAATGATGAGAATGGGGAGGCCCAAGATGTCACTCTCCCAGGTGGCAGGATCGCCCTTTCCGTTTCCAAACGAGATGAGATTCTCAGGCTTCTATCAGAAATACGTCCAGTGACACCAGAAGGCACCATTATCGATGGCAATACAGCGCTCTTGTCGATAGACAATATGCAAGACTATATCAGTCTATTCTTCCGCTTTTTCAATTCCTCCTACCCGATGGTCCATTTGGCGACTCTTGACATAGAAGGAGGAGACCCTGTCTTTCTACTCTCCATAATCATTTTAGGTCAGACATACAAGAACAAAGACACTCATCAACTGTCCGTGTATCTATACGATGCCCTGGTGCCGTATATCCTTAGCGGACTGATGAGCGTCCCGATGCCCGATCTATCGATGCTACAGGCTTTTCTTATTCTTGAATGCTATGGCATGTATCGAGCTGGCCCGTATCAGCGCGAAAACGCTATGTTGATTCACACCCTTCTGTTTGGTGTGAGTATGCACCAGGTTGTTGAAACCTTTCATTTGCTCATGTGTAAGCTTAGGCCATTCGGCGGGTATCCCGATACCATGTTCGCGGGGGAATAATGCTCCCTAGTCACCTAGTCCAACCCGACCTGGACTGGAAGAGCTTTGCCAACGCCGAGCAATATAAAAGGTATCTAATCCAAGCTACTTTTCTTCTAGTGCGCCACTTCTTCCTTTTTCTATTCTTCCCTTCTTTTTCTAACCATCTTCTCCCAGATTAATTCTCTTCGTCTTCATGTGGGACACGCAAAACGTATCCTGCTACTCCGTGATGCCTAACATGTCCACACACAACATCCAAGTCCCACTTCCATGTTCCCAAGAGTTGTGGGAAGCGCCCAGCGAGACAGCCTGGGAACATATCCGGAAATCTCACACTGAGCCGGCATACTTTAATAGCATGATCAAAGACCTCATCCAAGACGGAGATAAATTTCAAAGCTTGCCAATGGACAGTTTATCACTTACGCTGGTTCTTCATGGCATTATGTCAATGTGTAACGATATTGCGCATTTCGATAACCAGTCTATTTATCTAAGCGATATAGACCACGGCGGGGAGCAATGGAGACCATGGCGAAGGAGGATGGCCCATGCCCTGGAGACGTGGAAAGCACACTACGACGCCTACACCATGTGCCTATTTCAAAGCATCGGAGACAGGAGCAATCACAGGCAAGAGAGTGTTGCCACTCTGGCACTGTACCATACCGCACATATTGTAATCAACTGTGAAGTCCGTCACCTGCAAGCTGCTGCGGGGGCTAAGGCTATCTTTGGACATATAGTGATGCCAGAAGATCGCCATATATCTGAGGACTGGATTAGGAATTGGGTCAGCACAAATGCGACCGCCGCAGAGCAGGCAGCATGGCATGCGGCGCAGATGATGCGTGAAGGGATTCTCAATTTGAGAAATTGGGATGTGAACGGTGTATTCCACTACCCGTGGTGCTTGGTTATAGGGACGCTGACGTGCTGGGCGTTTCATTGCTTCGGTGGCGGGATTTCAGATGCCCGTGAAATATGTAGACATCCTGAGAGAGACATGCCCCAGACACAGTCTAGGGTGTTGATGAACCATATGGTCTCGCTAATGGGGTCCGTATCCCCAGCGAATATTCGCCGCACTTTGGGAAAGTGCTGTACGCATGGTCTTACTGTTGAAGTCGCCCGGTACTTGAGAAGTGTGCGTTGGACTGCGGCATATGAGGCCATGAAGCTACTGATGGCGCTATCAACCAGGTCCTGATTCAGTATCATCACACTTAGATCTTTTCTATTTATGATCGAAGCTATCTGGCCAAACTATTAGAAGGAAATGCCCAAAAATGGAACATCAGTTGCTTCTCAAGCGTGTTGCGGTCGATCCTTACCATACTCTTGTGTATGCATATGAACCCTCAAAACAATTAGCCATCACGAAGAGTCGGATTTTAGACTTTGATCTTTTTCCTTTTCACGCCTGCCAAATAAAAATAAAAACATACAACAGAAGGGATTCGCTGGTGGTCACCCACCCAACTACTAACCTCCCGGCGTGTGGCTTAAGTACGGCTGAGCGGACGGGAAGCCCTGTTTTCCACACCCTATGGTCGTATGTGCTCGGACTAAGCTTGGAAGGCTAGATAAGAAGGCTTGACTGATCTAATAACTAAGTCCCTTATGGAAGCCGACTTCAAGGACTAACCAGATCTATCATTGTGCATTCTAAGCATGTCCAAGCTCAAGTCAATGCCAAGACCATGACTATAACCTCACCCATTTGGCTCGCAGACACAAAGATACATTGTATCACAAGGCATATAAGTAAAGCCTTCGGTTCAAGCAATTGTATAGCCTAGTGCTTAGTAGAGAAAGCGCAGGAAGTATCTGATACGCGTGTTGTTTCTGCTAAACGAATTACCGGTACAATTACTTCGCAGCAATACAGGGGCAAAGAAGATATTTAGTGGGCATACCACAGCAGAATTGCTTGGTCCATATCTGAGCCACTCAAGCAAGCATCCGCTAGATGACTACATCGGAACCCAACCAAGGATTTCGTTCAATGGTATATTCGACATCGAGTGCGAATATGTTGGTTACTCGGCGGCATACTGAACACGCGAGATGCGCCGTTAGGGCGACACAAGGGAACACTAATTTGGAGCGGAAAATTGAATCTATTCTGGGTATACTTTCCCAGCCTGCGCGAAATAGATGGTAGATCCATTGACGTAGCTAAAACAGTTCATCTACCGTGTTTCTGGACTTCGCGGTGTCGTTGGGGTACAGGTTCTCCCTCCTGGAGATGTGGAGATAGGCAAGCTGATACAGATGTTCGAAAAATCATTGTAAAGTGCCTTACCAACACAAGTGACTCTTTCTGGCAAGTCATCAAAGAAGGGGATAGTCTCTACATTCAGGAGAAAATTGTAGTTGATTTGTCACCATTGGTAAGAGGAAACCTGGAATTACTAATGCTCTTTGCTCACTGCAACATATCAGCCCATTCAACTTGGTATTTATTCAAGCCGGGAATACTCGCTGGGTTCTGACAGGGGTTCTCGCAGAGGCTAAGCATGATTAGTGGGCAATGCGAGCGCACCAAGGTCGGGCTGGAGAAGGCTTTTCAGACAGTTGAGGAGAGTGTCAGTGGCATTGTCAAGCTTATTGATGGTGCCACGCGCGAGTCCATGGGAGCCCAGTTGCGGGTCTGGGATGGTACCGTCTTTCCGTGGTAAATGGCCCTCATGCTAGCAGTTATTAGCTGGGTAGAGTTGCTCTTTACCTGGAATTATCTTGTACTATTGCTTGAACCGGTCAAATTCAAGATCGGTTATCATAGTAGTATAAGCATGCTTTCAAGGGCTTACCACTTGGGGTTGGACAGTAAGAAACCACCGCGATACCTATTGAAGAAACCCCCCCATGAGTGGCCATTGAAGGTGACTGCGGCTGCGAACGCTTTATTTTGGATTATATAACATTTACCTGTAGCATATTTTCAACAATTGGCCTGCTGGCCCAATGGTAAGGCGCTTGACTACGGATCAAGAGATTGCAGGTTCGAATCCTGCGTAGGTCATTCTTTTTTGCTTTTTTGTTTTGTGGCTAGCTCGGCTACCCGTTATAGTGACTGAAGAGAGCCGTTTATCTTGTCGCTTTTTTCTTTGGTACTCACTTTTTTCCTGTCTCTTGCACAAGTAGTCCCTCTGAGATCACTCACACTCTTCAGAAGGCTAAATAAACGATATTACTTCGTCTTCTAAGTACTGTCCAGGTAAGACGATCATTACTACTCATAAAATGCTCAGTAAATGCTACTGAAAACTACATGTTAGAAAATGAAGCAAGAATATCTATCAACAGGCTTGAATTCAGATTATGACTATGACAGACTGGCCTGGATCCCCTCAATTTCAGTGTAAGTAGGACTCGTCACAAAGGACGACGCAAATAATTAGACAATATAATCATGAACGAATGACAGCATTGAACCCATTCCCATCCCATAAGATATACCTAAATCATTTTGAAACAATCGATTCCCGGAGGTTCGAGGTAGTGTGGTGTCACTATAGAGCGATCGATCGATACCAACGCCGTAACTCCTATTGACTTGTTAGCAGCCAGGCCAAAGTCTCGAGATGAAGTGTGATACATACCTTAAGCAGAGAAGTTCAGGGACGCAGAAGCCTTCGCATTAGCGCTAGCAGAGGCCTCAGCGCTACCACTAACGGAGGCCCCAGCACTAGCGTTGGCATCAGCATTTCCGCTACCGCTGGCAGAGGCATCGGCATCCGCGCTGGCAGAGGCGTCTGCATCCGCGCTAGCATCCGCATCTGCATCGGCATCAGCTCCGGCATCGGAATCGTCGCTGTCGTCGCCGCCCGTGGATCCTCCAGCCGTGATGCTGCCGCTGGCGCCGCCGTAAGGACCGAGAGAGACGCTGGTGGAGGCACTGACCCAAGTGGTGGTGGCGCTGGGAGCTTCCGCAGTGGTGGGGGAAACACCGACGTCAGTATCGTCATCGCCGCTGCCAGAAGCTCCGGCACCGAGAGAAGCAGAGCCGGATCCGCTGCCGCTCACATCACCCGAGGCATCGCCGGAAGCACCGAGATCAGCACCCGCACCGAGGCCAGCAGATCCAGATCCAGAGAGACCAGCGGAGCCAGATCCAGAAAGGCCGGCACCAAGACCAGCACTAGCGCTAGGGCTAGCACCGACGCTGCCACTGGGGCTGGCACCAAGACCAGCGCCAGCACCGAGACCAGTAGATCCAGAGCCGGAAAGACCAGCACCGAGACCAGCACCAGCAGCGCCGGAAGCACCAGCGCCAGCAGCACCGGTAGCGCTACCACCAAGACCGGCAGAGCCACCAAGGCCAGCAGCACCCGAGGCACCGGCACCGAGAGATCCGGTAGCACTTCCTCCAAGACCGGCACCAGCACCAAGGCCAGCAGCGCCGGAGGCACCAGCACCAGCAGCACCGGTAGCGCTACCACCGAGGCCAGCAGAGCCACCGAGGCCAGCAGCACCCGAGGCACCGGCACCGAGAGATCCGGTAGCACTTCCTCCAAGGCCGGCGCCAGCACCAAGGCCAGCAGCGCCGGAAGCACCCGCGCCAGCAGAACCGGTAGCGCTGCCACCGAGACCAGCGCCCAGACCGGCAGAGCCACCAAGACCGGCGGAGCCACCAAGACCGGCGGAACCGCCGAGACCAGCAGCACCGGAAGCACCAGCGCCAGCGGAGCCAGTAGCACTTCCTCCAAGACCAGCACCAAGGCCGGCGCTGCCACCCAGGCCAGCAGAGCCACCGAGGCCAGCAGCGCCAGAAGCACCGGCACCAGCAGCACCAGTGGCACTTCCACCCAGACCAGCGCCGAGACCAGCGCTACCACCCAGACCAGCAGAGCCACCGAGGCCAGCAGATCCACCAAGGCCAGCGCCCAGGCCAGCAGAGCCCGAGGCACCAGCACCAGCAGCGCCAGTAGCACTGGCACCAAGACCGGCACCGGCGCTGCCACTTCCACCCAGACCAAGACCGGCACCCAGATCAGCGCCCAGGTCAGCAGATCCACCCAGGCCAGCGGAGCCACCAAGACCGGCAGCTCCCGAAGCACCAGCACCCGCAGCACCGGTAGCACTGGCACCGGCACCACCGCCCAGAAGGGCACCCAGACCAGCGCTGCCGCTCAGACCGGCGCCGAGGTCAGCACCGAGACCAGCACCAGCACTTCCACTACCGCTGCCGCTACCACCAAGGCTGGCGCCCAAGTCGGCGCTGCCGCTGCCGCTGGCACTGCCACCGAGACCGAGACTGGCACCCAGGCCGGAGCTTCCCAGGAGGCTACCAGCGCCGCTGAGGAAGGGAAGGAGGCATGGGATGGGGATGGCGGAGACGGTGGCGGCGGTGACGAGGGTCGCAGCGGAGACTCTGTAGAAGCGAACCATTTTGACTGATTGATTTCGGTTTCTGTGATCGTTAGTACTGTGCCAAGCATGATTGGAACCGAAGATCAGCAAGTGGTAGGAAGGTTACCTTCGAGAAACGGGAATCGAGAAGAACGAGAGTTGAACGGAATTATTGAAAATTTAAACACAGAGATCGATACGCCACAGGCGATCTGAAAAGCAAACGAGAGCGAGAGGAAAAAGAGAAGAAAAGACTGGTGAGAGGGATGAGGATGGGATGGAAAGAAAGTCAACCTGATCGGTGGTGGTGATAGAGGCTATATATGCCTTTTTGCGTCGAAAGGTTCCCGTCTTCTTCTCCCGCATCGCGGAGGAGAGCCATGGCTGTCTCCCCGTGGATAGGGGCCCGTGAAACCGCGGTGGTTTGATAGTGGCTGCTCGTGTCAGTGTTGAGTTTCTAAGAAAAGTGTCCATGGCCTGGTTCGGACCTGCCAAGCATCTTAGTGAACCGTAGAATGAACCATCATCTGGGTTTTTCGACGGGCACGGACTTGGTAGACTGTGGATACGGTCAGGGACGATGGGCTCTCCTGGTACTGGAACATCTGCATTGATCAAAATGGGCACAGAGCCGGCACTCAACGGGGAATCAGAGCTCCGAATCAGGCAGGGAAGACCGGCTCAGAACCTGGCCGGTGTCGCTGCGTCAAAACGTGCTAGAATTGTGACCCAGAGATCGAGATGAAAAGAGGTTTTCGATCTGGGATCGAGAGAGTCAATGCTTGAGCATTGTTGATGACCTGAATCAGGGGTCAATGGCTTGAGGTTGTCCATAGTGATTAGATGCGCTGATAGTATAGACTACGTGTATGAGAACGAGAGCACCAAACGAGTCACTACTGATGCCTGAGCATTGATAGTGAACTCCGGATAAACGTAAATTCCTTGACAGCAAGAATTGATGCAAGACGGGCTGGAGAGCAGTGGAGGTGTATCACGATCGTGACCCCTGCGCTAGCGATCTGCAGCCCATGTTTGGAGTTTGCCCGAAGATGGGGGGATCGGCTGGTTCTTCCGGGCGTTGCGGATGATCCTCGGAACTGCCCCCGTTTAGGCTTCCTATGTCTTTTCTGATCGGCAGGAACACCAACTCAACTCTCCAAGTTTATTCATTCACTTACTTCAGCTCGCACCTACAGCTTCGACCTTATTCATCTTCTGTGTATACTCAGTTGCGGTTACTATTTTACTATCTCCAAGTTCGCACCCCTTTCTTCTATCTCCCCTGAGCTAAGAATAGCCCATCCAATGAGGACCCGCTGTTTCGAGCCAAACCCTATTTTGGCCTCGTCTCACCCTGAAACCCCACCGTTCGCTCGACCTCGACTTCCCAACTTTGGGGAGGTCTCTACATCCTCACTCTAGTCTGCAAAGCTAAACTTGAATTGGAAATGGTGTCCGCTTCCAGGAACCACCCATGCAGACCCCGAGCAGCGAACCCGCGACCACTGAAGCAGCCTAAAATTCCCGAGACCAATAATGAACCCCTAAAGAAGAGGGTCTAACGGAATAGTCCCTCCAGACTATCCACATGGAAGCTTAGCACGCAAGAAAGAAGCACTTTAGAGTTCACAATTCTCACAGTCGCCAATGTAGTCGGAAGGTGGTGCCGACACTCGACTGGGGCTTTACATTTTCCCCCTACGGCTGGCCCTCGAACTTACTACTGGTTGAGTCCTTTCCCTCGAAACAAACCAACCTTGCTCACCAACCACCATGACACTTTGCCGGGTCTGAGTGTTTCATATCCCAGTTACAACACTGGGAAGACGGGGAAAACGCGGGAAATTTGATCCACTGCCTCCATTGCGAGAGTCGAAAATAGAATCAATGTCTCCGTATCGGCCATCTGCCATGGCCATGATCGCGGAGTGGTGGGCGTCGTATCGAGATCATCTATTCGAATCAATGGTGGGATAGCGAGTGACAGATCTGCTAAGAATAGGTCATGGCCGGATCATGAGGTTGGGGTATGGAGTACACGGTCTACCATTCCTAGTAACTCTGCCCACTACGGCAGTAAATGTGATTTTACCCTATTATGGTGAATAATTCGGCTTCTTACTGCCCAAGGGTCCCTAGCGGTCGGGGTTCTCTCTTCAATTGGATATTGCTCACGGCTCGATGTGTTGTCTCTGGGAACGGGAAAGAACAGAATCGAATGAGAAGCATGGTTCAACAGTCTAGACTGCTGGATCGGCGAAAATTCTGCATCTTGCGGGAAAAGCCTGTCTGAGTTTATTTCACCTTGTAGGAACACACAAAGCATCGATCAGCGATTAATAACTCTGGTATCGGAAATGAGGTCCCGATTACCTAAATTTTTACGATATGAGGACTTTGGGACTCATGATTGGGGTAATATCGTCAGGTATGAGAGACTACGCTGGGCTTGTTGGTTATTACGCGATATCCCGCAAGGGTTGGTGGTTATGACGAGTTACCTCAGAAAAGCGAAGTAGCTAGGTTGGGTGTTATCCGGTAGCAGCACATCACTTATCGGAAGCACGAGATATGGTGCGATCAGAACCACATGTAGGTAAAGCCAGTCCTGACCTTGGTTTACCGGTGGATGACAAAGTTCTACCACACTGGAAGATATGTAACTGCGAGGATAGTCTTTCTTATTGGACGACTGTAGTGAATGCAGCATGATTCGGCATGTCCGCTAGCAGATGTGGACTTGGAGGGCGTCTGTCTGATCAATTCACTGTACGCTATACAACATTTCGCTTTCCTAACAGTCAATACCTCTGCTGCCAGTGTAGGTATTGCGAGTTCTTTGCCTTGAAGACTCTTCATTTCAGCATCTTCCTTGCTCTCAAAGTCATACCTTATCTCTGACGCTTTAAGAATGCACTCACATTCATGTTAATTTACTTTCTAAGTCAACACTTCCAGTTTACTAGTTACCTCTATCTATCAACTTCTTCTCCATGACTTGACTGTCATCATTGTACGGCTCGGAGTCGGTTGCGTCCTGGTTCGGCATGCCGGTGCCAGCGGCCATGACCTACTACCCAAGCGCCCACCGCACCTAAAACCTTTCATGCCTTGATAGTTTTACGAACTAGAGAGTTCTGAAAATGAATAGGATTGTATTATCGAGGCCTTTCATGGCTTATGATATACCACTATCCGGTCTTTCGAGGAACCTAATCAAGAACACACAATCAAGTTGCGTCTTTCCTGTGATCGGGTGCCATATACACAGGTCAAAATCCAAATGAACGAAACATTACATTCTGATCATTCAAGAAGCGACCCGACTGTCATCTGCTGGCGAATGTGTTGGTCCCTCGTCTATCACGTGACTGGTATTTATTTCCCCGCGTTTTCCGGCCCCATCCCGATTAGGCAAATGTTGCGGTCGATCCCCCCTTCACCGTCAGCCGCAAACAGTGATGACTGCTTCAAGTCTTCATTTCCAATCAGTGCATCTTCCTGAGAGCATGGCAGATAGGGTGTAACTAGCACTATTGGCCACTTTAACAACTCACCTTCCACAGTCCCAGAGCCATATGACACCCGTCGATCAATAACCGAAGAATTCGTTCGCTTCTAGAAGCCTGTTGTGATCACCCTGCATGGTGTCCCTGCGACCCTGAAGATCCCGATAATCTCATTAAACCTCGGATACCCAATAAGGCGAACCACGGACCATCCCAAATTTTGTTCGTCGATCCTCAACGGGCGAAATTTGACCTCTCATTTATGAGACCTCATCACCCAGCCATGATCCGTTGGCAAACAAACTATTACCTTCGTGCCTGCGGGCGGCGATCATCATTAAATGCCTGGGGTGTATCCCATCAGCCATCCTCACTCAAGATCAGGGTGAAATTTCAGCACCAAGCAAACTATGCAACTAATCCGCAACATCCCCCGAGGCAGCAGTCGGCCACGTTGCCTATCCTGGGGACGATTGTCGCTACCGCGGCTGTAACGCTCTTTGCGTCCGAGGCTTGGCGCGGAAGGGGAGCCTCCAAGACGCAGGATGTTGCTAGAGATGTTCTATCTGGTCCATCTCAATCCGGACCTTCCAAATATGCGGACGTCCCGACGATGCTTCGGGTATGTAGCACATTTGCAGCTTAACTATCATGATTATTAATCGCGAGATTTAGGCCGTCGAGGAAATCAAGACAATCATCGGACCCGACAATGTAAGTGTTGACGCCGACGACATTGAAGTTCATGGATACTCCGAATGGTCCACGTCCAACACCACCGCACGACCAATTGCGGTCCTCAGTCCAGCCACGACAGAGGAAGTATCCGCAATCGCCAAAATATGCACCAAATACAGGGTTCCGATGGTGCCATTCGGCGCCGGATCAAGCGTTGAAGGGAACTTTGCAGCTCCTCACTCGGGCGTCTGTATTGACCTGTCGCGGATGAACAAGGTCATTGAGCTGTACGAGCAGGACATGAATGTGACGGTCCAAGCAGGTGTACGGTGGACGGATCTGAACGAGGAGATCAAATCTACTGGGCTGTTTCTGCCCATGGACCCCAGTCCTACTGCGTATGTGGGCGGTATGGTCGCGACAAATTGCAGTGGCACGAACGCGATGCGCTACGGGACGATGAAGGACTGGGTGGTCAACCTCACTGTCGTGCTTCCGGATGGAACAGTGATCAAGACGAAACGGCGACCGCGCAAGTCTTCTGCTGGGTATAACCTGAACGCGCTTTTCACTGGATCGGAAGGGACTTTGGGTATTATCACGGAGGCGACACTCAAGCTTGCTATCATTCCCGAAGACAGCAGTGTTGGTATTGCTACCTTCCCCACAGTCGGCGACGCAACGGCCGCAGCATCGAAGTTGATTCGGGACGGGGTTCCCCTCGCGGCGTTGGAATTCATGGACGATGTGCAGATGAAGATCATCAACCAGAACGGAGGCGCAGGTGGCAGATTTTGGTCAGAGGAGCCGACCCTCTTTTTGAAGTAAGACTGATACTGGTTGAAATCATAATGGTCAGCTGACAATCCAGGTTCACCGGATCCCGCACGGCAATCGACGACAGCATCCAACGCACAAAATCCATCCTAACCAACAACAAAGGCAAAGAATTGGTATTCGCAAAGTCCCGCGAGGAAGGCGACAATCTCTGGTCTGCTAGAAAGCAGTCCCTCTGGGCCATGCTGGCTGTGAGACCAGAAGGAACCGAAATCTGGTCTACGGATGTGGCTGTACCGATTTCGCGGCTGGCTGAGATTGTTGGTGAGTTAGCTTCAGAGCAATTGCGTCGCATAATCAATATTAACGGGATATCCAGAGCTATCAAAAGCCGAATCCAGCAATCTGGGTCTGTTCTCCACGGTTCTAGGCCACGTCGGAGACGGCAACTTCCACCAAGCGGTGATGTACAACCCCCAGAGTCCAGAGCAATACCAGGGTGTCAAGGCGTGTGTTTCGAGGATGATGAAGCGGGCGCTTGAGATGGAAGGAACGGTTTCTGTAAGAATGATCGTCCTTAGATGACCTTTCGAACAGATGTCTGACTGAACCAGGGCGAACATGGCATCGGATTAGGAAAGAAGGTCAGCAATCCCTCATCCCATTGTTTCATATCATATCCTCAACGCTAACATCCACCAGGCCTATCTCGAGGAGGAACTCGGTACACCGACAATGCAACTAATGAGGGGACTGAAACGGAGCGTTGATCCTCAGTACGTTAATCCTTTGTGCTCTCTCGGTCGCTTACTCATCCCTTTTTAGCTGGTTGATGAATCCCGGAAAGGTCTTTGACGAGCACTTTGAAGGATAGGAGTGCAATATTCGCAATACCCAAGCTCAATGTACATTTCAAGAATCGAAGATTGTGATTCCAGTGCACCGATAAACACCATCTCATCCCAGTCTGGGCGACAGTGTAGTAAATGTCCGGGGATCCGTCTTGAAATCCACAGTTGATTGATAAGCAGGGAGTGGCTATGTCATTCCAAGGCTGTCATGGATGAGCATAAGTAGCGTCTTCTATATAATAAGTGCATGCGCACTGCAGCTGTCTAAGTTGTCACAGATCAGGCCAGCCACGGGTTGCCCCGCGCAGTGATTTCCGCATGTAGTTTAGTGTCCGCTCAGCAGTTTCCCGTCCCACCGCGCCAAGGCAGCGAGCATTACAAAAACTACAGATGAAGCTCCTCGAAGCGGAATCTAGTCCTAAACCGGCAGGCAAGGGAAGAGACACAGGGTGCTTTAAAATCATAAACCCATTTCATTAACACCTGACACACATAGTGTACTTCTTACTATCTAAGGAGTCTCGGCAACATTGTACACCAGCTTCTCGCCACTGACCTTATCAGCCTTGAGCAGCTGCAACCCCTCCAACACACCCTTCAAACCCTCCCCACGCACACTAGGCCGATGCACCTTAATCTTGCCCTCAGCCAACAACTTCTGCGCAATATCCCAGAACTTGGCAGCAAATTCCTTATCCTCGGGCTTGGCCGGGAACGGCGTGTCACCAAACATGAACTCCTCACCCACAGCAGTATACGCCAGAGTCCACCGATCATTGACATTCTTCCGCTCAATCCCCACCGCCAAAAGCGCACTGTACTCACCACCCTCGGTGGAAATGGCCTCATCACAGAACTTGGCACTCGCCTCCAACGAAATGGTATCCAGCACCAACTTCAACTTGTTATCCGTAGCCTTCCGGATCTCCGCCGCCGCATTCGGCGCACTGTAATCAAACACCTCATCGGCACCCAGACTCTTCACCAGGTCGAAGTTCCTTGGCGAGCATGTAGTCAGCACCTTGTATCCGGACAACTTGGCGAACTGGATCGCCAGTGCTCCTGTCGCCGTCGAGCCACCGTAGATGAGGATCGGGCCTGCGTTGCCGCCCTTAGCGGGCTCGGTGGGCAGCTCCAGCTTCAAGCTCTGGTACAGAGCCTGACCGACGGTCGTGATACCAACACCGAGAGTGGCCGCCTCCTGGAAGCTCAGGTTATCCGGGATGTGCATCTGGATATCGCCCTTGGCGACGATGTATTCGGCGAAGGTGCCGTCTTCGGGCTGCACGGCGTTGGCGCCGTGGACGAAGCCGCAAACCCGGTCACCCTTCTTGAAGGGCTTCTTGACGGCGGGGCCGACTTCCTCCACGATACCGGCGTAGTCGCAGCCGACGAGGACCCCGGTGGGCGCGAGATACTCGATGTGCTTCCAGTCCGTGGGGTTCAGGGCCACGCTGACGGTCTTGATGAGGATGTAGTCGTCGCGGAGCTTGGGGATGGGACGGTCGGTGACCAGGTCGCCCTTCTTAGGGGCGGTGACGGCGATGGCTTTTTGAGGCATGGTGGGATGTTTTTGGTAATATGTTTGGTTTGGTTGAGTGGATAGGAGGGTGTTGATGGTGAAGAGTGAGGGAGGAGGTATCCTATATATGTGTCTCTGGTAATCATGAGCAAGAAGCACCGAGAAGGCGGTGGAATGGGATGCAACACCCCTCTTCACCCTCTTTTTGTTTGTCGATGACAAATGCAACTTGTGAGATCATCTTTCTTCTCCACTTGGGCCCACAGGTCCCGAGAGGGACGCCGTTGGGTCTGGTTGGGTGTGAGCCAATTCATTAGGTTGTTGCCAGCAGCCCGGATCCGGAACTGGCGAACTCTATTGCTAGTACTAAGTACTGCGGGAGTGAGTGATTCGCCGGTGCTCTTGGGGAAGGAACTGGTTTGAACGGTGCAGTGTACAGTATATAAAAGTTATACTGTTAGGTTGGCATCATACCCAGGTATCGTCCAGACACCTTGAGGCTACTATCTTCTGTGTAGTTGTTTCTGGTATGCAATTGAGTGCTGACAGGAAGAAAGAGACTCGTCTCTGAGGGCCAATGGATGCAACTAGACTAACTGGGTATCATTTGAGTTTTAGGCTACTTTCCGAAAGAGGTTTAGATCCCGCTCCGCGCAGATATTCAATCCCGGAGATCCTCCCCAGGACACCAGCAGTAAGCACTATAATGGGATGATGTCGCAGGATCATAGGGTCCAGAAATTTCCATTCTGCTGACATATTCACCTGGAGAAGAATTCTTTGCGTAAATCTGTACCTTGCTGATTAATGGGCATCTGGCTCTCCAGGAGAGGGGTTTGCTATGGGAGGGTTAAAGATGGTTTCAGTTTTCGGGAATAAATAGATAGCACTACGATAGTGTGAACTGATCTTCTCTTGTACCATCATAGACCATCTCGCAGTTGAGCAAAATGCAGGTCACTCACATTGTCCTACTCCAATTTAATCCCGACGTTACTCCCGAGGTTAGGGAGGATGTATGTTTGTCCTACACTTCATACATCCGAAGCGTACAGATCTAACATGTCCTCGTATAGGTCGCCAGTCAGGTCAAGGGTCTGCGCGAGTCGTGCATCCACCCGGACACTGGCAAGCCGTATATCGTTTCCATGAAGGCCGGTGCAGATGTCTCTATCGAGGGTCTTCAGGTGCGTCTACTTCCTACATTCCGATCCTATGATTCGAAGGCCTGACTCCTAGCTTTCCGTCAATAGAATGGCATCAGCCATGCATTTGTCTCCGTCTTCGAAAATACCGCAGACCGCGACTACTTCGTGAACAAAGACCCGGCGCATATCGCGCTCGTGCAGAATGTCAAGCATCATCTGGCTAAGGTCCAGGTTGTGGACTTTGTTGATGGGAAACTTATTTAGGTGCTATATGAGGCTCCTGGGTAGATTACCGGGGTTTTGGTCGTATAAGATGTTTCAATTGAAAATTTTGGATGTGATTGTTAGAATGAGCGGGTCGTACACAAGCAAGAATATATATAAATCTAGTGCGGTACATTCGGTCCGTATGGGCCCAAACAAAAAGCGAGTAAAATCAGGCCACGGACGATGATCAGAATAATAGTAAGATATCAGGCCTAAATCTAGACATATTTAAGCACAATAAGGTGTTCTACAACCATTTTCAAGGCGAAAGACACCGAATTCTCAACCATAATGACCGCGAAGGGTGGGCAAGTAAGCATAGTAATGCAGCGTCCTTCATAATCCAAACTCCAGCGGCAGATTAATAATAAGCCCTTGTAGCTCAGTGGTAGAGCGCTTCACTCGTATCATGTCATGAAGAGGTCCGCGGTTCAATCCCGCGTGGGGGCACATTTCTTTTTTCATTTTTCTCGGGTGGCCAGCAAGCTAGCGAGCTTCCTTCCCCCCTCTTTTTTTTTTTTTTTTTGGCGTGTAACGGGTAGCTGCACCCGCGCTAAGGGAGGAAGTAAGGCGGTGGCAAATACATATCCGCCCTTATAGCTCAGTGGTAGAGCGCTTGACTTGTAATCAAGAGGTCTGTAGTTCAATCCTGCATGGGGGCATCGGATATTTTTCCTTTTTTGCTTTCCCCACCTCCCTCTATCTTCTTTTATTCTGTCGCCTACTCTGTTGTGACCGTCACACTGCCGGATAGGAATTGACCTCGTTATTTTTTTTTTATTTTTTAATATTCTTACTTCCTTGATTAACAAACAGCAATAAGCCTTTCCTGCAAACAACACATGCCCATTGAGTTCCAGTAGATAAAATTGGTAAATCAATACAAAAACCCCGTGTATACCCCCTGATGCTATGTACCCGTCCCATCAAACGGTCGGCTACAAAGTGGACAGCAAAGTGCACTCTGAATGCAGCTCCGACAGTAAATTGCAGTATTTTTCCACGACCCATCTTTTCCCGCGATCATCGGACAGTCCCTGCATTGTGCATTCCTCCCCAAGGTCTCTGTATCCAAACAAACATCGCAATGGTCGTAGAATGGAGCCTGCGGTAGCATATAGCGGGCAAAAGGAAGGAAGTCTTTATGATCCAGAACCTCCTCGTGTTGGCCCATCTTGGCTTTTAGAAGGTCGGTAATCTCTCTCCAGGGCTTTGCATCGGTTATGCCTATCATGTAGAAAGGGTTGTATTTGATATCAGTAAGGGAAACGTGTCTTCGATATGACTCCTGTAGCGGAGAAAATCCCAACCTGTCTTCGATATGAGTTTCAACGTTGGGGTGATCAAGCAGAATTTTGACCACTTTGACCTGACCCATGCAAATGGCTGCGAAAAGGGGTGTTCGGCCGAATATGTCTTTGGGGTTGGGGTCACACCCGGTCTCTAAGATGCGCTGCACAAGGGTAATATCGCCTCGCGATGCTGCCCAGTGTAATGGCAGACGGTGGAATTCGTCTTGGAAGCTAGGACTACTGGATTCCTTGAGAATTGCTTCGATCGCATAGTCGTCTCTCCCCAAGCCAGCCTCTGTCAAACAATATAGTCCCCAGAAAGATGCGGAGACGTCTGTGTCCCTCATTAATCTGGGAGAGCCTGTACCATTTGCAATAAGAAGCCTGGTTACTTCGACATGACCCTTTTGTGCTGCAGCTGTCAGTGGGTCTGCTAAATGGTGTTTCCATCTATCAGTGCTGTTTATTCTGGCGCCCCAATCGAGTAACAATTCAACAGCACGCAGATTGCCATTTGCCGCGGCTGTAAATAAGGGGGTTTCCCATTGCTTGTTCTCTTGATTGATGTTGGCTCCTGCATCTCGTAGAACTTTCATGACAAGTGCATGATCGCCCATGCTGATAGTCGATATAGGACCCCGTTGAATTCCAGCGCCGCTCTTCGCTGCAAAGAATATAGGAGTTTCCTTGTTCGCATTCTCATGATGAACATTCGCACCTCGGTCAATCAGCAGACTGGCCACTTCATTGTAACCATATGCTGCGGCGTAGAAGAGAGGTGTGAAGTTCTCGGATGTAGCAGAATCGACAATAGCTCCACGATCGAGTAGAAAATCAACAACTGACTTATTGCCAAATCCTGCTGCCCAGGTGAGAGGTGTACGACCAAGGTAGTCCCGAGCATTCACTGAGTTGCTGTCGACCCCGACGAGTTCTTCCATGCACTGATCTAGGCCGAAGACTGACGCGAGATGGATCCCAGAAAACCTGTAAGAAGTCTCCGACAGGCCGAACATCTCTCGCATACACCGTGTAACTTTGGCATCATTCTTGATGAATGAAGAGAGAAGCGTATTGCTGCCCAAGCTCTGGCGGAGATGCGTCCCTAGCTCATGAGCAGAATACTGATAAAGCGGGTACTCTTGCCTATGCTCTTGACGGCCACTTTCTAATAAGGCTTGCTGCTCAAAGGCGTCAAAGGACACGTATGTGAGGCAGGTGTTTGTGAGGTATTCATGGACGGTGGGAAACCAAGCCTCCCGCGTTCGCTCCAAGTACTCCTGGGCAGTAAGATGTACGAGCTTCGCCATGTTGTTGTTTTCGTCAATCGTGACTAACCCGCAGCAGACAGAAACGATCTCTTCAATATCTGTGACGTTCATTTCGTCAAACTCGGGCTCACCAATTTCAACCGCAATAGCATGTTGTAGCTCTAGAGCGCTAACTGGTCGTGCAGAGAACGTGAGCCACCCGAGTACTCTTTTGGCAAGGTCCTGAGAGAAGGAGCTTTGCAAGCTAATCCTCTTTAACGTCTCGTTATAGGCATGGTCATAAGCCCCTGAGCCTGACTGGAACCGACTACCCAGTGCTCGGACTCTTTTCTCATTCTTCTCATCCAGGATTAAGTTGTAATAGAGACGCACAAGCAAGAATCTAGACGAGTCAGTAAGTTTCCGATATTTCGGAACCGTGTCACTCACATTCCATCAGCCGATTCGAGAATCTGCCTTTTAACATACGCCCAAAGCTCAGGCTTCCTTCGAAGGAAACGCGGAAGATAGTCAAGGTTTCCGTCGAGAAAATCTTCCATGTCGCCTTCGCTGGCTTGGAGATCCAAAGTATCACCTCGAGACAACAGATGACCGAAATAATCGCCCGGTCGGGCAGTCGCAAGGAGCTTGACCTTCGTGCGACCGCCGATGTCGAGGAGTTTTCTGGACCAAGCAAGGAATTGACGCCTCACGTATACGTCGTTACACTCATCCAGTGCATCAACGACCAGCAGCACCTCACTGCATTCAGACACCGCCACATTGAATATCTTTTCGATATCTTCTTTGGCAAGATGGGTGGACCTGGGCGGGAGGAGGTAGCGCCTTTTCGTGATACTCTCATACAAGCTTTGATTTCCCTGAAGTAACTGTCTCAGGAGGCTTGACATGAGCCCAGAATATTCAATCCGCTCCTGATAATGAAAATAATGATAAGCAACTGCAACACTGCTATTGAGGGAGAATTCCCGCTGAAGATGGTCGACTGCGATCGAAGAAAGTACCGTCTTGCCTGCACCAGGAGCCCCGGTGCATAGAAGAGCCTTGCTCTTCTCATCAGAGATCCAAGAACGGAACTCTTCACGTTCCAGGAACCATTTACCCGTTCCCTCGTGTCGAGAGCTAATGATTCTCTGATGTCGTTCCGAGGCGTCAATAGGACATATCCATGCAAGCGTTTCATTGCGCTGCTGCATATCGTGGTGGCCTTTCATGGACTGAATGTCTGCTCCGATCTCCAAGGTGAGATCTCTGTCGAACCACCATCAGTGATGATTTCCCCGACGTGAACCGGATTTAATGTTTGATAGCAGCAGCAGGGAAACCAAGGGGGGATATTGCTCATACTGATTGATCTTGCCCATTACCAAATTCCACAGCGAGAGACAATAAGTGATGCGGCTCCGCATGCTGTCCACCTCTGCAGGGTCCCATTTAACTCGACTCCATGCTCGGACGGCCTTGGTCTTCCAGTCCGAACTTGCAAAAGCAAGCACATTGTATTTGCTCAACTTGTGTTCGATCTCCAGCAGGACTTCACGGCCTCGCTGGACGATTATATCCAGTTCCATTTTCTGGGTCGTACTGAGCCCTTCATTAGGAACATCATTGAGGTCATGAAGAAGCGCCCATAGGCTTTTTACACTATGGATGATGGTGAGCACCGCTTAGAAAAATAACACGGTTTTCTTACTCTCCAGAGATAGCTTTGAAGCCACTCGGTGCCTGGGCGAACCGCTTTTTCAAGTCATCGGCGAGTTGCAAAGTAGCGAGGAAATCACCGACACCAAAGCCAAAACTCATCGTGAACAACCAAGGCAAATGACTCGAGCTCGTATGAGTTGATGGAATGCAGTCACAGGAAGGATGATGTATTATTATCAGGATGCGACGAAATGCGACCGAGCCGGAGGTGGCTGTGTTCAAGGGGGCTTAGCGCTTACGCATGACGAGTTTGGGGCACAGTTAGGGAAACTGCTGTGCTGTCATGTGGAACCAGGAAGAAATAATGGCTTATAGGGAGATATAACTGACGGATAGTTTTCTTGAGCATATCTCAATTTGGGATATGTAGTGACCGCTGATTGACAGATTCCCCAATCTGACGATGTTGGAAGGAAAAAAAAGGCACGAGTTTATATGAGGACCGCTGCAAGGCTGAAACGCAGCCCAATCTCCCGATCGCTTGACCTCGAATGAACACTGAGTTTGTATAAACAAGTGCTTTTAACTACTTAGCAGCCATACAAGATAGATTGTGCGCCAGACTAGATCATGCCCCCGTTGGGCTTGCTTGCCGTCCTTTGACACGCACCTACTGATCAACAGCAACGCACAGTCTACTTTGCAATTATCTGCTAAATTCTGTGTTGGAATAGAGCGAAGTAAGAGTACATTCAGAACTCTAGAGACTATCCAGTATCAGACCACTGCTCAATCCAACCAATCCCTATAGTTTTTCATCGCATGAGTCGAAGGGAACTACGAGGTGAAAAAGAGTACTCTCATACAGACTTCCATAATAATAAATAATCGGCAGTATATTCCCCATGGCAAAACTGATATAGCATACCGAAATAGTTACCTCATGATGAGTGGTATATAACTAAGTAGTGATCGGGATGACTCAATGATCGCTTGATTTACTTCCCGTTCTCACCTCTCCATTCCCGTCTCTGTTCTTTCCCATCACACACACCCATCAACTACACCAAGCTAGCCAATCTATCGACCCACAAAGCAATGTACGACGTGTCCACTGTACTCTTCACCGAAGCAGACAACCAGATCAGCTACCGAACACTTCATACTCATACCTTCGAAATGGAGAGATCTCCGTTGGGACAGCTGGGCAAGCTGCCCTACGAAATCCGACTGGAGATCTACGAGAAACTGTTTAAGATAAAGAATTCACCTTTGAAAATCCTTCGCTGCTCGCGAGCAATCTACAGAGAAATAACCGATCGCCTCTATGACACACTCAACATACATCTAACTCCAGTGTTCAACGACCCCTGGATCGAGATTCACTGCAAACGACTGCGATTGCGATGGACCATACCCAATCATTCCTGGACTGCCCAGCATCGATTCTTATGTATACCATACTACAAGGTTAACCTGGTGATCCATATTCACGCACCCGACCCAAGAGATCCAGGCCAAATTGCCCTGCTCTGGCAAAAGGCTCAATACTTGGTGGATATTCTTCGGAACGCCATTGTCGCTTCCATAGTTATTCGGTTGCGAAAGCATCAAGGTCGCGACTGGCAAGAGGAAGGTCACGTATTGGAGAGCATCCCTTATCCAGACAAATCTCGTCCTGATCATCACATAATTTTCCTGCCCTTCTGTCGCTTATGCAATGTCGGTGACTTCCGGGTGCTTCCAGATACTCGGCGCATGGACCGCGTTACTGACTGGGGCCTGATAAACTACGGTCGTGACTTCATTCTGAACAATGGTTACCGGAACTATAACGATGGCCCTCTCAGTCAAGATTGGCAGTACCGGGATATTGTCCGAGACTTTGATAATATCGACGCCCTGATTCGAGATACCGACTTTTTCCTAGAAACACGCCTGGACACTCTGCATGGTAATACCGCAGCAATGCTTCGCCTTGATCGAGCCGCCCACTGGCCTCTGGCAGTACCCGTCAGCTGGTCACCCAGGCTCGAACGTAGCTTGTTAGATATTCGACAGTACCCAGGCTCAGTAAACCTTCACGATCCCGGTCTGAACAGTCATAACCTCCGTATGTGCGCGTTCTATAACATTTACGAAATTACTTACGACATATTAGCCAGGGATTCATGGGAAGGATGGCTTTCGTGTTACCCCGAAGGTCTCGATCCCCATGATCAGGACAGTATTGATACTCAGACGCAAATAATCATGGACAATCCCGAAAGGAATGACATCTGGGATACTGAAAGGACAGATCGGCAATACCAAACCAATATTGAGAATTATCTGGAGCGAAATTGGAATGGTTCTCCTGCATGGCGTTACCCCAGCTTTGAAAAGGACTGGTGTACCGACTGCCGACGGATAGGATATCGGACTGGGTGCCAAGACTGCGAGATGATGGGTGGTCCTTACTATGGAAAGTATTGGGATACTGATACAGTTCTTGAGGCTGATTTTTCTGATCCTGAAATGCGGTAATAATCATAGTGAAATGAGATACCATTCGTGATTTAGACCCGCATTGCCAACCCGAGTTTCTCCGTGGGCTGTTCTAGATGCTCGATATCAAGGGGAGCAATAAACAAGCATAATTCCCAATCTACCAGTAGATAATTTGCTTGATAGTATGTAGAGTTGTGAGGAAAGAAAGCTATGGTAGGGGCAAAAAGTGCATGATTTGGAAGGTCCAGCCTTGCCTTTCGCACTTTCTATGTGGGAACATACCACGGTCTGTCTGCCACTCTCAGCAACCACACAGAGCTCCTCCCTCCTCATTCTCCTCTTCTCTTCTCTCCTCAAATTACCACTTGGCTGAGCGGCATGCTGTGGATATCATCGTGTCAAAAAGTGGCTTTACATTCCCTTATTCTGAGTTCTCAGGTTCTGCCCACCTTCTTTGCATGCACGCACTTGACACCAAACTTATACTTCGTTTTAGGACCCCTCTCCACCAATATGCCGACATCACCGTGAGTCTGGCTAATAACTATGGTGCTTCATCTGACATTCTATTAGGAAGATGTCGGCTGACGAGGGCTCGCTCAACCCCTTTTTGACAACGGAGCGCACGGTGGCCACTCTCCACCCAGCCTCTATCCTTGGTGGAATCTCCTTTGGATTCTGTGCGGGCCTGCTATGAAACTGCCTATTGGGGATCTAAGGGAGCAGGGTATGGCTATTGACCTTGACATGACGAGGCTGGCAATCCTGGTCTATAGCAAGCGGAACATCCTTTGTAACACAGGAATAGGGGATGCAGCTGCCTCGAGCTCTGACGATCAGAGAAATCGAGTAGGCCAAGCAAAAGCTCCCCGGGGCCCTGCCAAAAGATCTGTTCCACTGCTATAATACCTGGCAGCGAATTCTGGATTTCCATAGCAACTCCCAAAGCTTCATGGAACCCAAACCTGGCGCCAGGTTTGCCACGAACGCATTGACGCGACTTTCCAGACAATTAACGTGAGGATTCCGGTCACTCTTCGTTCTGTTCCTGGCAGATTGCGAACGAAGCATAGTGTGTCGGATCCAGTCGCATATGTTCCTCTGATCACCGGAATCCGATGAACGTACCGATGGAAAGCCTGCCCCCGCACCAGCCCCACCGTGGCCGTCTGTATCGAGAAATCCATGAGGATCTCGTTCACTTGATCGGAAAACCCGGGAAAGGGTACGATGTCCTTCAGAGGCACGGAGAGTGGTCCACCGTGCGCGGGCCAACGTTGACATGTTGGAGGGGAAAGGGGACTGACAGAGGGTGGGGTGGAAGGCTGGGATTGATGCCCTCGCTTTAAGAGGCATTGAATCACTCACCCAGCCCCACCATTGGTGGTAAGTGAGGCCCAATTTTACTATCCTGCAATTTGTGCTGACTACCTCTTGGCTCCGCCTTGCGCGGAGTCCCCCCAGCGATGAGCTTGCACCTTACCGTGGTGCTGGGGTCCAGTATTCCTCCGAAAGGAGGAAGAAGCTAAGACAAGCTCTTTCGTAGAACATAGTCTCGTAGCGTTCTATTATTCTGCGACATGGTAATGGCTAAGTTGCCGTAAGCGCTACCATGCCTATTCTGAGGCACACAGCTGTTGCATCTGGCATCAGCCGCAATACAGCCTTGGGTGTATGCAAAATATAGAGAGTGATATGAGGCTAGGCACCCTCGAATGAAGTGCTGCCTGCGGAAGATGGTATCTGTCGGCTCCATTCTTTGCATATTTTATCCAGAACACTGCGTGCTTTGGCGGTGTCGTGTGCTTGTCAAAGCATGTATTTTCAAGCAAGGGGGTGAGTGGGCATTAGGCTTCAGGCCATAGCTGCCTGGCCGCAAAAATGTACATGGTCATCTATACTAGAGGGATATCGACTTACTATAAAGGTAGTACTACGCCACGTCCAAATCCTGATCATCATCTTAGAGTCAATTCACCCATCACCATAAGTCATTTTCTCGATCATGGAGATGTCACGAGAACAGCTGATATTCAACGTCATGGCTAACTATCCGCCAATGGAGTTGGAAGTCATGCGGCTGCTGCAGCCTGGGTTCTCCAACGCGCTTGAACCGTTGATCATTTCCCAGCTATCGTTCGACTCATTCTCCAGCGAGACAATCTCTGCAATAATGCAAGTCTGGTTTAACCCTGAACTCGCCCACCACGTGCGTTCCTTCGAAGTTTGTTGGTGTTATACCGAGGAGGAAGACCAAGAAGTGGAAGGATTTGATAAAGAGGGTGTCCTCAAATTCGTCGACTATGCACTAGACACCATTTTCGAACCCAAGGAAGCAAAATCGCGAGCCAAATGGAAAGAACACCTATTGATGCCGAATGAAGAGGCTTGGTTCGGACTACTACTTGTGCGCCTGCATCACCTGGAAACGCTCGAGTTTGGGTACGACAATACCTATGGCCTTGTGATCGATATCTTGCGCAAAGCCGCGCGACGTCAGCGGCCTTTCCATGAAGATCCTCCATTTCCCTGCCTCAAGAAAATTATCATGAATCCTCAGTGGGGAGGCACGTGGACTGATTCCAACTTTATCGATCCCTTCTTCTTCTTTCCGGCTGTTGAAACCATCGAGTGTTGTGCAATCGGCGAGTCGGACTCTTCAGAGAACACTCCAGTCGTGACGACCCGCTCCGCTCGCCCCGTCCGTAACATAACTGTTAAAGAAGCCTATTGGACTCACGGCTTGTTTGACTGGCTGGATGCGTGTACGCAGCTGGAACACCTGTCAATCAAGCTAGCCTTGCAACGGGATGATGAACCCTCGGAAGAATATCGATTTCGTGCTCCGCAATTCCGTCGGCACCTCCTTCGCTCCCGATCGACACTGAAGACGCTTCAGCTTGGTGCGACGCAGACTTTAATAGGCCTGGCAGGTGATCTGATCGATGAGGATGGACCATTAGGCTCTTTGCAGGAGTTCACCTACCTCCAGGATCTTGACGTCCGACATGCCCATCTGCTCCCATTGGCCTCGCGGGTAAGGACGGTGAGGCGCCACACGCGACTCCTCAGAATACTCCCTGCCTCTATCCAACGTCTGAAAATTAGGCACGTTGTCGATGAGGACTTCGATAGTCTTCAGTCTGAGCTGCTGAATGTGGTGCAGCGACGAGACTTGTTTCCTCGGCTTGAAGAACTCATACTCAAGGTTGAAGATGTAGAGAACAAGCCATTGGATTCATTGAGACAAGCATGCACGACCGCTGGTATTACATTTACTGCTCAATTGCAGAAGGTTTGGTTTAGGTTTCGTCGCAATTGATGTTCGATCTAGTTCGGGTGTTTGTCCGCGTTATACTGTCGACCAAGCTTATTCATGATAATTATAAACTACACGCGTCGTGTCATACTCTAGCGATGGTACCTCATGAAATGTTTGATGTAGGACTTGTCTTTTGCCTAGTTATCTCTGGTCAGCTGCATATATAAGGTTGAGTCTCGAGCAGACTAAGAATTCCAGTCCAAAAAAAAAAAAAAAAAAAAAAAAAAAAACCCCTACAGCTAACATAGAGCTCTTTAGCCTTTAGTTAGTAAGCCTTTTGTATCAGTCTAGGGGCTGAGGTGCGACATCCCATCTATCGCGGTGTTTTCACCTTCTCTGTGTGAGGAGGAATAGAAGATATGGATGATCCCGGTAGCTGTTCTATAGATGCCCGAACACCCTACCTCACGAAGAATGGATGCTTTCAACCAATCAACGAACGAATATATTCTTGATCGCACTATAAGAATGGTCTAAAAGATAAAACAAACACATACGACCATAGGGTGTGGAAAACAGGGCTTCCCGTCCGCTCAGCCGTACTTAAGCCACACGCCGGGAGGTTAGTAGTTGGGTGGGTGACCACCAGCGAATCCCTTCTGTTGTATGTTTTTGTCTTCTTTTATTCCTTTTCCTTTTTTTTCTTTAAAGGTGATGTTCTCGAGTATTTGCATTGATATTGGAGGGCTTCAGAGATCCTATATGGAAGATTGCGGAATTGGGATTCATACCTCCAACCAAATACGGCATTGCCGCTCAGCAGTTGCTTCTCTACCCTGTTAGTCTCCTGAGTGAATTCCGCTTGATAATTCGTGCATAAAATAGACACCAATACCAGGTTGCTTGGCAATTTTCCGTATTTAGTCGTTGCCATATACACTCATCGTAGAACATCACCCGGTTTCAGTCCTTGACGCGCCGAAAGCGGACCATAAAGGCGCAGGCGATCCGAATGGCCTACACCACGTGGTTGAGGGAGCCCAGGATTTCAAATGTGAATTTTCGCCGCGCGATTGCATGATGTTAGGTCTGGGTCCTTATCATATCAAATGTTAGCGTACCAGTCTTTCGGTCATTGCGATTGGCAGCCCCATCAAGGGCTTCCTAGTCGCGAGGATGGAAGTTAATCGTTGGCACCGGGATATTAGCAAATTTTCTTGTAGACCGATCAGGAAAGGTAAGTCACGGAAAAGTGCATTCAAATTTCCCATGCTTCTTCTGCGTGAACAGGGTGAACTGACTGTGAGACTTCAACATTGGGGACGGGCAGCGCGGGTGCGCTCGATAGTATCCACCCTGTTAGGTTCGGACCGGTTCGGTTGCCACGGACCACCACACCATCGCAGACCAAGACATAAGGTAGAGAATGCTATAGTATTCTAGGAACATGCAATGTTAATTCAATTATACAGGACTTATTGCCCACTAAAATGTTTGGATGTAGTGATCTGAGGCAGTGCACGAAGTAGTTCTGTGAGTAGCTGGGCTAATCCAACAGGGTGGGTCTGTTGACAGCCAACGAGACATCAAAGTATAACCGAGTAAGCACTAAGTACTCATTAACTAACTAGCTTCCCAGAATAGACAAAGCCATAAATGAATGAAAGAAAACTTATATAATCTCTTACTACTCCCGACCCCTCAACGCTTCCTCAGTTACCCCTCAAGCCACCGCAATTTCGTTCCATCTGAACGTATCTCTGCAACAACCAATCAGTTCAAACCATACCTCAGTCTCCCAAGATCGACGCTGTTCCTTCCTCATAATTTAAGACTACCACAACCACCCCAAAATGTCCGTCCGGGTCATCATCTACGCCTACCGCAAACCGGGCCTCGACCTCCAAACCTTCAAGGAGCGCTACGAAGCCCACATTGGGCTAGTTAAGCGTCTCTCCGGCGACGACTTCCCCCTCTCCCACAAGCGTATGTACGTTGCGCGCACTACAATTGAGCAACCTCAAGCCGGGGAGGGCAACAGCAACAACTCGAATCGCAATGCCCTCACGCCTGCCACCGTTCTCGTCGGCCAGCAGACAGATTTCGACTTTGATGCCTACGCAGAACTCACTTTCGCGGACCAGGCTGCCTTCCAGACGTTTTCCGCTAAGGTAATGGCCCCTGAAGCGGCAGCGCAGATTGCGGCGGATGAGGAAGGATTTTTGGACCGGAGTAAGTTGGGGATTGCGCTTTTGGGGGATGTGGTGGAGACCACTAATCAATAAGGGAAGGATAGAGATGAGGCGGGGTGTCGCTAGATGTATATATCCATACAATCTTGTTTTCCTTTGAGCTAAATAGCACATGTGTATGTCCATGGATCATTATATCGGAATATTTGTTAGTGGGAGGATGTGAACGCTTTTGATTAGAAGCACCGGCCAGTCTGATTCCCCTAGGTATCATATATGCCCCTTGCGATGAATTGCTGTAGTTAAACACAAAGGACTATACTATAAGTACAAAACATATAGGTCGTTGAAAGAGAGTCGATTTATAGCACTAAATATCAGAGCAAATACCTACTAATATATACCCCACTCCACCTTCTGACTACCTGCATCGCCACCGCACTCCATATACCCCTTCGCCCCAACAAGACCATCAGAAGCGTACTTGGAAATTGCCTCGTTCATAACAGTAACAATATCCTGACTGCCAGTGTGATAAGTAACATCACCAGTCAGGCCAACATTCTGAACACCAAAATGGCAAGACCCGGACTTAGCAATGTCGCGTTGGTGACCGATACCAGTGGTCCATTTGCGGCTTGTGGCCTGGATATTCTTTACGATAGTTTGACAGTCAGACACATTCGGGGAAGCGGACGAGGTCTCGTCCTGGTAGGTGTAGCCGCTGCACTTGGTGATGCCCTGCAACGGGTTACAAGGGTAGTTCGGATCGCTAGAGTTGGACTGCGACGGGGTGGACCACGAGGACCAGGCCACCTGAGGACTGCACACTGGGAGACGAATATAGCCGGGAGTGGTGATGTCTTGTTTCGATAGATCTTTCAGAGTATCTTTGTCCAAGGGATTGGCGACAGGTCCTCCGTTGGCATTTCCATTGGCGACGTAGGTTCGAACGGACCCGATAATCAGATCAGACACAGTGATGTTCCCCCAAGACCCTGAGCCGAGTGAGCTCAGTCCTGGTGGCGCAGTGAAATATGTCTGGTCAGAGCACGTTGATGTCGACCCACTGTCCTTACTGGAACAACCTTTCCACTTGCCGTGGGGATGGACCAGATAGTACAACTTGTTATCGTAGCATGCATAAGTGGACTCTTGGGTGGATGCAGTTATGTAATCGGTCAATGGGTTTTGCGCATTGCAGTCATGGCCCGAGTCGACGACGAAGGCAGCGGTGCCGGAGACAGACCATAGGGATGGGATGGCGAAGCCGAAGAAGGCCTTGCTGATGTAGCTCTCGATTTGGGCGTTAATCTGGTCGTTTGTTAGGTAGTCTGCCGATGGGCTCTCGCCCCCACCCTCAATGAGGTTACCATTGGCAATCATGGTACTAAGAAGGCTGATGGAGGCATCTGATCCATTAAACAAATTCCACAGTTGGTCTTGGGCCGTGGCAGACCAGCCGTAGACTACCGACCCCAGTGTGGCGGTGAAGCTATCTTGATACTTTGGTGTCCATTTACCCCTGTATGGAATGAGTTAGCGATCTCTGGAATTCATACAAATCAATGCTACATACGGCCCTTTCGACAGTGAATTGCTCGCAATTGAGGCTCCGTACGCCACGATGGCGCTGGTGATATTTGCAGTGTTGTTGGCGCCAGAGGCTCCCAGAGAGGTACTAAGAGCCGGTAGATTTGTGAAGACTGTAGACGATCAGATTAGCTGTCCAAGTAAGGCGGGCAGGGGATATTCTATCGTAACTTACCTCCTTCAAAGTATGGCGCGGTTATCACCGTGATCCCAAGACCTAGAAGGTTCACCAAGACCTCTAGCCACGTGTCACTGGGAGGCGAAGGTACCGTTGCGAAGGTGGTCTCAAAGTCCTGGAGCTGTGTGTCGATGTATGTTCCAGCAACTGTGTTGATGGCAGCGTAGAATTGGGAGAACGCCTGGGTGACGAGCCTTGTCAGCAACGTTCGATTTTTTCCAGGACAGAAATTGCGAGTCTTACCGAGTTTATCACTGTGAGAGAATTATAGATCACCATTGCCGCAGCACCCGAGTCACCGGTGCCCTTGCCGAAGCCGTGGAACGATCCGCATGTTTTGGCGTTGAAACAGTTGCCATTTGGAGCTGGTAGCCCACAATTCATCGTCTCATCGACATGGAAAGTGTTCATGATGGACCGGGAGAATTCCTTTGCAGCAGGCTGCATTTTGGGCTTATCAATGTTATTCCAGACGTTGATGGCATCGGACCAAGCACTGGAAGCGTCTAGCTGCGCCCAGCGCTGAGCACACGGCATCCACAGGGCATCTTGGATGGCCGGATCCGTACAAGTTAGGGAAGTCCAGTTTCCGGTTCGGTTGATCTCTGCGTAAGAATCTTCATGCAGGACGACGTCGTCAATGAGGCTAGACCAGTTGGCAGGGTTAGGGCCCGATGCAGCAGATCGTGGTGGACAAGTGACTGACCTACCTTGATACCCAGGACTGGCGGGAAGCTGGAAAGGCGCTTTGATAGAGGCGGAGGTGCGAAAGAAGAAAGAAAGGGTAAAAAGAGTGAAATGCAGGAACGTAAGGAACGTATTGCGTGGCTTGGGCCACGCCGAATAATGGAAAGAGAGAGACATGATTTAGCCCCAGTGCGCCTAATGAGCCCGAGAAGGACAGGGGATGTAACGGTAGATCTTATACCTGTTGCTGACAACTAGTCCTTGGGACGAAAGAACATGCCCCGGCCAGAGCAACCTATCAGTGGTCGTTCTACTGTCTTAATTTCCGCCAGGAATAAAAACAGCTAAGGACTTACCGCGATGCAGCACATGCGAACAAATCTCTCTCGGCGTTTAGCCTCCCCTGAGTGATGAGGCAGTGTTTTATTGGGCTACTACCGTAGGCGAGACAGGGCTTGCTTCTAAAATAGTCCGCATGATGCGACAAGGGTCCTTGTACTAGTGTGGAGATACGATATACTGATAATAAAAAAAAGAGTGTAAGAGATTTGATTACGGAATAATGAAATAATAATGGACGGCTACTATCGGACCCCTATGCGCGCTAATCCACTAGAGTCCAGCATAGGAGACCCTAGATTGGGCAAGAATAGCGCAGGCTGCATGGATCGGGCTAGCTCGAGGGACACAGCTGCAGCATTATGCCGTGACATCCGTTTAGCCGCCTGGCAAATTTACATTGACTCCTGTCCCTTTTTTCGCTATCTTCTTTTGTTTGACTCTCTTGAACCTTTTGACGGCCAACAGTCAGGGCTGTTCAACAATTCGGTTCTTTTCCCTCCCACATTTCATTTCATCCCTTCCCTTCAACATGAACCGCCGTCGCTTTCTTGCTTGGGCTGTATTGGTGCTAAACTCGATAATTGCAATGGGCGACGGCGCTCCAGACATTTCTTCGGGCATATTCGAAGTGGACTTGATATTCCCACGCAATGAAACGTACACTCCTCAGGCGTTGATGCCCATCGTTTTCGCGCTGCAGAATCCGTCTCTGGCTTCCACGTTGGGAGCCACCATCTACTGGGGGCTGCGGGAAGGCAACAACTGGTCTGCGCCGGGCTCCATAACGGACGGGGGATTCGAGCTCTTTAAGTTGAACTCTACGTCTTCTGGGCCTCATTTGGCCACCAGCTTCGTGAACACTCTCGCCTACCCGGACGGCTCTTGGACGTTTGCCTGGACTCTGGAAGTCACCAACTGCTCACAGGCCGAAAGGCCAGATTGCCTCCAATCCGAAAGCCAAAATTGCTCTCTGGCTTACAACCCAAATAAAGTCATCTCGTTGAATAATGCCATTGTCTTCAATGTCAGCCAGTCAGGGCAAACACCCAGTCTCGAAGCTGCCACATCTTCTGACATGTGTGGCACCATGGAAGCCTTTGCGTTTAATGTGACTTCTGCCGGGGATACTGAGGAAGTGTGTGGCTTCCTTGGGCCCAGTCCGACGATCAACCCGTGCGCAACGACGGTCAATGCTTCCGCGGCATCAAGTATATGGGCAGAAGCCACTGCCTTTGCCTGTGACCCCCGAGAGCGTTCGGCGTACCCAAACGTTACATGTCCAACTTCTTCGTCCAGATCCAACGCCGCGCGACACTCTGGCATGGTCGCAGTATCGACATTGCTTACGCTGTTAACAATGGTGACTGCCTTGATCCATCTTGGGTGACAGCGATGTACATAGTGTTTTAGTAGTAGCCCCTGGCCTGATAGGGCAAGTGGACCCTTTGTATATGTAGTTGTATTGATATCAAAAAATATCCTGAGTCCCTTGCACCAAAGATCGTTCATCCATAATCTTGGTAGTATTGCGTCGTAGTGCTGCGCCCGTCCATTTCCACGAGGGAGCAAGGTCGCACTAGTTCAGCCTTACAACGGAGGATTCTACGGAAAGTGAAGCGAGGGTGCCATATCCATGAGCTTGTCTTCCTTGGCAGAAATTTTTAATATCCATCAGGTTGCCACTCCGCTCGGTTGCCCTTCGGCCGGAAACTGATATCACACATGGTGTCCTATTCGCTCTACGGAATGCACCTTAGGGGTCTGAGTTCACCAGAATGCAACAATACTGAAACCTCGCCAATGAGAAAGCCGACTAGTAAGTCTGTCCCTGGAAGGGAAGAAGGGGGGTTACTGTGCAAGATAATTGGCCGTTCTGACAAGCTAGCCAGCGGTAGCGCCTAAGCTAAGCCTTGCCAGGCTTTTGCGAAGCTTTATCATGGCCGCTAATGACCGTCGCAATTTTACCCGACCCTCCCCAAATTTGCGGTCGATACTTCTGGTTGGTCCGATTGGGGGAGTCATCCGAAAAGTCCGACCACCTGTTGGCATTGCGTTAGTACTATGCAGTGGATATCCACCTCGCTCAACTCGAGTTAAGGGGATCGATCATACGGACTCCGTCCACGCTCCCGACAATGTCTCGGTATTCCGAAATTCCTCTCAAATGTCCCATGCATTTCTTTGTTCGAATTCGAAGATCGATATTATTTTCAATGCCACGCTTGGGGTGAAAGAGTTACTAGACAGTGCTAGTATTGCCATAAATGTGCAGTTGCGCGACAGCATAGGTCGACGTGCTAACCACTAGACCAAGAAATGATATAATCGCGTCTATCCGATCAGCCAACCCCGAGATCTGTCCCAACAGGGTATTGAATCCCTACATTACTTTGGTTTGGGAGAGACCCATTACCCCCCGACTCAACAATGACTGGAATCACTCTTGCCGTTATCCGCGAGTTACCCTATGTGACGTAGTTGTTCGTCTCCATCTCTTCTTCGGACTTTCTGAAGTTTCTCACTACCAGTTTCGATAGCTGCTTGATCAACCACGACTGTATGAGTGTTGAGTAATTGTGCCGCGCTGTGTGTTTCGCGTGTATATCACCTAGTTCGGGAAGCCACAGGTCGATGAGATCAACGTTCTTGAGCGCCAGCCTAAGCTGGATTATCCAGTCAAAGAATTCGAGCGTCCTCGGAGCAAGAGAGACAAGCTTGATGGTCCCTTTGGCAGGCTCACTAGCACCCTATTCCCTTGCATTATTCCTTGTTTGGGGGTCACCATGGTAACTGACATCCCCTCGAGTGAGATATTGTGTCCTATTACTTCAAAAAGGCCCTATCTTGAAATGAGCTTCGCATCTGCTCCACCCTTGCGATACCGCCTATGACCGGCACATGTGCCTGCAATATGTTCCCAGTTGCCAAGATACTGGCTAAAGTTGTGTTGAGTATGCTTTTGTCATACTGTATGGAACTGCCCCCGACTATTATCTATCTCTCCAGATGTGCCACCCTTCCCTCCGGATTCGTCTCGTTGTCCGAATATACCAGTCGCACAACCTTCCACTCGTTACTTTTCGGCGAGTGGCTAGAGAAGACCATAATCAGTATAACTTTCTGCAAGACTCCACATGGGGGCCTACCAAGTATTCATTGTGCTTGCAATGTTCTCAAGCTCTCTACTGGCGTGTTAGTTCGGCGACCAGCACCTAGAAGTCGGGCCATACTTACTCGACTTCCATAGTGACTTCAGTGTCGAGAGCTCGTAGGGTGTCGATGAGGCCCACTCTTCTTTATTGTACGGAAGGGTGCGCCTCCAAAATGTGCACTGTTTTCTAATCCTTTATGATCTGTATACCCATTCTGGGACATATTGCAAGAATTAGTCAGTCCCTCGATATCAACATTGTGTTGGACGAAGATCATAGGCTACTCACGCAGCCGCATTCTAACTCTACTTCCAGGTCTTCTCGGCATCACAAGAGACTGCAGGAGAATTAGTACTCACACAGTGACAGATATGTTTAACGTACAAGTTCATAAAGGCCCTGACAGAGGGTGAGGAAGTTGCACCGGACATCTTCATGCCCATGAGGCCCACCCTTCTAGACATCTCTTAGAGCAGAACTCACTTCAAGCCCCTGTCTGGATCAGAAGCGACAGAATTGACGGAAGCGGGACGCGCGCCATCGTGCGTCCCCCAGAAATCAAGCTTCACATTTCTGGAATAATGAGAAAAGTGCCAGAACGGTGGAAGTAGATGGAGGCAGCATGGATTTGTCAGAGTAGAGAAGGGGATATAACTAAGAAAGGGGAGTAGGAGAGGGGCAAGAGGTGTGAGGTATAACACGGGTCACAGAGAGAGAATATAGAATGGAGAAAGAACAAAGTAGAGGATACATTATATTATTACCTACCGTCCCCGACTAACACGAACCAAAATTACCGTTACAGCCTTACCTGACCCGCTGTGGCTCTTTGCTCGTGTGTATGGATTCGATTCCGGGTGAATTGCTTGTCTGAGTACTTGCTAAGAGCTGTCCTTGTAATTTATCTGTTTTGACATTCACTCCGGCCAGGGTCAGCTGATCCTTCGCCTCTTCTTCCTGCCTGGTCCCCGACCACCATCTCTTCCAATCACTAATCCAATCTCTTGAGATCTAGATAGGTCAAATATCTACCCTTGACCCTTCGTCTTAATATCAACTACCGTACCGCCAAGAGGTTGGAAATCCTCCTCTAACAGCCACTCTACAGATCCTGCCTCGTTGTTTCTGCTCCAAACCAGGGAATGAAGACGCGCAATGCTATTTCCTTACTTTCTTATCGGGATCTTTACAAGACTGTACGTTTTACTGATTGTACTAGCCGTCACAGTGCGAACACTAATCGTTGTACAGTCTTTTATGCTCCCACACCGACCTAGAAGCAGGATTGGCCTTACAGACACTCAGAGAACTCTAGCGAAGTGTCAGCCATCGGAGCAGGAATAGACAGCAGGGTATCAGATAACATGGATGTGCTCAAGCAAGAACTACGAATGTTGTATGTATTCTGTGAGCTGCATTATTGACATTGTACCGTGCTGAATATTGTGATTTAGACGAGGCGTAAAGCCTGTTATTTCCGCTGCTGCGTAAGTTGGCCATGATCCTTCTTTCATGATGCACCCAGTCAACGATGACCTGAGCATATGCCCCATTTATCTCTTATTGGACCTGATGCAAATGATACATGCTTTTCTGCGTGGAGGACGTCTGTGGCTTCTAGCCATTTCCAATCATATTACTAACGCTATCATAAACCGGATGATAGAGATACCATCACGTAGCAATATTTTGCGGAAATAATTCGTTATGTTCAGCGCCGTCTGATCGTACTCACTGGATATGTGAGAATCAAAAGGGTGAGAGAGTATGACTTTCATTTGCTAGAAAGAGCAAGTCCCGTGTAATCTATATTACAGGATTTCCAAACACAATATGCTCTGAGATATACTAAATTTTGGTATGGCTGCCAATGAAAAAGGCAGATACAATCCGGCAATTGATAGATGAAAGCCAAATTTATGCCTATCTGAAGGCATAGATATAGACTTGATTGAAGAAAGCAGCGGAAACTTTCATTATTTAAAAAATGAAGCAAATAACGATTAGCTGAGGTGCCACTCAAGGCACTACAAGGCCGGTGGCCTTACCAAGAAATATAACGTTCCTAGGCCCGGAAGCAGAATTAGCCTCACGGAAACTCAAAGAGCCCTCGATAGAATCGTTACAGACGGCGAACTATCAGACAACACGAACGTGTTCAAGCACGAATTATGAATGGTTGTTTCAAGACGCAGTAGTCATGCCATGACTATGGGTCGCCGGGTAACTGGGTGGTGTAATAGTAACCACCCTGGATGACACTCCTACAAAAGCATCTGAGAGAGGTTCCTCGAATACATGTTCGTACAAATTGTGGTGAGTTCAATCCCCGCGGCTGCTGAAAGACCACATTGGAATAAAACTAACATACGCACAAGCAGGCTTTCGTTACCGCAACTGGACCAACCTCTGAATATACACCTGCCCGAACCACTCCGGCAGAACAAATGGCGTTGATTGTGCACAACCCACCGAATCTTCCTGTTCCTGGGCCAGAGCCTATAGTTTCAACCACAACTGCGACCAGTGATACTGATGTAAATATGGGATCCAAAGGGGCCGAGAACGGTGACAACGCAGTGGATACTGATCAGTTGCAACCTGTCGATGATGTGAGCGGTTTCGATACGCTGGACACAGCTGAAGGTGATATCGGGGTGATCTCAAGCCACACTAGCAATATTGTCAAAAGCCAGTGAGGTCTTCGACTGGACAGGGACAGGAGCGAGCAGACATACGTGGAGGCTCACGTGGACACACAGAGCGAGGCTTACTACAGCGGTTAATAGCGGCCATCAGGCAAATGTAATTTTCTGGTGTCTACTGCTGGTTGAAGTAATGTAAAACTAATTAGATTATATAGAATATTATTAGATCCTGTTTTTATAAAAGTTATATACTTAGGCTTTAGTGTTCGCAGGTTATACCATGACGGATAGCTAGTTTTATATAATAGGATCTACTTGTCAATATAGAAAGCCTGATAATTAATTAAGAAATTAATGATGAACTATTATAAATTTATATAACCTGAAATGATAGCTTATATTCATATTATATATAATAAAGTAGGACGGGATTATCATTGATAATTTTATAACTTTAATTATTTTCATAATATATTATCCTTTAACTGCTGACCCCCGGAGCCAACTATTTCTATCACATTTTAAAAAATGCGATAATATAATGGTGAGCAGTATTTAGTAATATATAATTAAGATACGTAATAAAGCTTAATTAATTTAATTTCTTTGTATATACTTTACTATACTCCTTTCTTTCCCCCCTCATGTTCGATAACCTAGTTGAATGCACTAAATAAGACATATTTGACTGACCGTAACGCCATCAACATGAGGCCATTTTGGCACCTATAGCTCATCCTGCACCTCCCCGCTCGTGTAAGCATCAAGGCACTTGAAGGAAGCAGCCTCGGCCGGATTTCCGCTTTTATACACAGGCACCTGGGGATAGACACACAGGTCGCGACGGTGGGTACCATCGACGGTGGCTGCTGGAAGGATATCAGGAGCAATGCCTTCTTCAACCCAGTCTATCAAGGCCGACAATGGGTCCTCGGGAAGGAATCCGTTGCCACCGCCACAATGTGCTACACCAGGAGCGATGAAGAAGCGATAGAAGTCCCGCACAGAAGGATTAAGAGCCTCGACGCGCTTGTAATAGTCTTCTGATCCAGTTGCGTAGATTTGCTGGTCATCCATGCCGTGCCAGTGCAGCAACTTGCCGCCCGCTTGGTGGAACTCATGTAAGTCCGGATTGTCGGTACTGGCAATAGCTCGGTATGCACTGATGGACAGGTTCATGACTGCGTCAAACCCTTCCGGCGTAAGAGTAGAAAGATCAAACTTGGGGTCCTGCAAGACAAACAGCTTGATCCAATCAGAGGCGATTTGGAAAGGGACACTCGCACACTCCCCTATTGTGCAGGGGGAATTTCCCAGTCCCCTCAGCTGGGTGCCTTTGCTCATCCCGTACCAGATGAAGGACCCATCTGTCTGTCTCGGACCATCCCATAACTTCTGCACGACAGCAGCATCGTTGGTACTGATCGTAATTTCTTTCTCACTACACTCAAAGCTTTTACCCACCAGCGAGTATGGGTCAAAATCACACTTGTCTGGGGCAGATATGATGCCATCTAGAACACCGTCTAGGTTGTCACACGCCTCAACGGTGGCATTACGAATGGCGTCAAATGCGCATTGCGACAACGGGTGGCTCATTTGGTCCATGACAAACTTCGGGTAATACATGGCTGGAACGAATGTCGCCCAGTTGATGGCTGGTGCTCCGGCAAGAATCCCATCGTAAGCGGTGGGATATCGCTGAGCCAACATAAGGCCCTGGCGGCCACCCGTCGAGCAACCGTCCCAGTAGGAGTACCGTGGCCCCTGGCCGTAGAGGTCTGTGATGACATTCTTCGCAATAACCGCTGCCTCGCTTTGGGAGAGGGCAAAAAAGTTTTGCAGCAGGAAGAAGTTAACATTTCCCGCTGTGTCAAGGGCCCAACTAGTCGCGTCCAGTGGATTACGGACATGACCGGCATCAGTTCCAACAGCAGCATAACCTCGTGCCACAGCGGGCGCAAAGCGGTTATATGTCCAAAGTGAAGACAGCCCAGAACCGCCAATACCGCTGAGTCGGCCGTTCCAGCCTTCCAGTGGGAGCCACACTGTAACCTGCACGTTGTCCTTCCAACCTTCGTGGCCGTAGTTGATTGTGACATTGCAGAAGTTGAGGGTGACGTTGTAGTGTCTTTCCGGGTTCGCAACTTCTGCAATGAGGGAGTAGTTCTCGAGGCGCTCGGCCGCAACCGACAAAATCGTCACTCCTGGCATGCGAGGGAGGCTAATATCTTCGGAGAAACATTTCAAAAGAGGTATCGTTGCAAATATTGGTGAAGCCAGCCATAAGCACATGGCTGAAATGTAAAGCGGTAAAGGTAATACTGGCATCATCTTATTGTTCAGTTGTGGCGTAATAGGTGCTATATGTTGAGCTGTGGAGATATTGCTTCGCGAGTTTTATTAGTCTTTATATCATTGTCGGTCCCATCTGTTAGGACCAGGTTAGAGCTTGTGTTTTTCCTCCTAATATACAATGCTCATCCTGTCAACAGCACGTGATCGGCAAGCGGATCCCGCGGGTCCAGAGTTGGCTGTCAAAACTTTAAAACAGGATGCAGCTAAACCTAAAACCCATGCTAATCTCTTGCCTGACCCGTGTTAACTTCAACACCGAACTTACCATTCAGTCAGGGCCCGCTCAGTGCAGACCTATTGTGGTTTCCATTGGTGAACCCAAATGCCCCTCTGACCTCTGTTCCGCCAACATCCGTACCTAAGTATACCACCCTCGCTGCGCCTCCTACTGCTTCTTACTTCCCCACTTCTACTTGATTTCAACTGGTAGAAAGGTTGGCCGATGATAGGCACGTGGGGCCGATGGTGGCTTAGCAACTATCACCAGTTATTAGAAAGGGCGATTCGCACACCCCCACTCGTCGTGGATTTCGATCTCTCTCATCCCCCCGTAAGTGGTAAAGGAGGCCACGATGAATCTTCCTCCGCGGCGCGCCCCATCACCTAATGTCCTGAGGAGGTCAGCGATCGCGTGAGTGCCCTCCCAGATGATTTTTACATGCCGGTCCCGAGTTTGATGTGGTTCTCTTGTGTTACCCAGCCCCAATTTATGCTTGTAACTAAGTTCGGTCAGTTGTGATCGGTGTCGTCGGCGTAAACAGAAATGCCTAGGTCGGCCTCCTTCATCTTGTTTCGCGTGCAGGAAGTCGGGGAAGGAGTGTGTATACACTGAATCGGAGAAGCGCGTAAGCGTGCCAGAGAGGTGGGTTCTGCCTCACCACAGCAATCTTTCCATGATGTTGTGTGTGCACTTACATTTAAGTAGCTATCTCCTACGACTCGAGAGACAAGCGCGGGCTGCAAATTTCCAGTCATGCGATGCACTACCCAGTCCTGCCGGCACAGTGTCAACAGAGATTGAATGGACATTTGCAGGATCCGATAACTGGATTCTATGCCAGTCGGGACAGTATCGTCAGTTGGCCTCGGTACCGACTTCTGGCGCAGAGTGGAGTTAACTTCTGACTGGTAATGGGCAGACTACATCGGCAACTCCTCTTCAACTTACGTTGCTAACAAGCTGAACCCAACTACCAATCCATTGGCTTGGCATTCTTACTCGCACTACGAAGATACGTCATGGGTTCGTCGTGTTGTTCTGTCCGAAATGCCCCAGCTTCCCCCTATAGACTTTGCCAAACGCCTTTATCAAGCGCAGTATGCTTACATCGGTACAATTTTTGCTTTTATGGACGACAAGAGATTCTACGAGCGACTCGAGCATGTGTACTCATCTCCACCAAAGTTAGAAGATCGTGAAGACTGTCTAATATTCTGCCAAGTTTTGCTTGTCCTTGCATTTGGTCAGATGTATTCGGTCAACCAATGGATTGGGAACGACGGACCACCAGGTTTCTACTATTTCAAACATGCTCTACCCTTACTGCCGCATGTCCATGAAGATGGGTCAGTCTTGTTTGTGGAGGTGCTGAGCTACGTTGCCTACTACATGCAAACGATGAACAGACGTCATTCGGCTTATTTCTATATTGGGCTTGCTCAACGCATGGCTATATCACTCGGCTTGCACCAGGAAACGCTCGACACCGAAACCAGCGAATACGAACGCGAACGCCGCCGTCGTTTGTGGTGGTCTACCTATAGCCTTGAGCGCCTTCTCTGCGTCACGTCGGGTCATCCAGTTTCTGTTAATGACGATGACATCGACTTGCTCGAACCTCGCCCTCTTGACGGAGAAGACCCTTGTCGCTCGATTGTTCTCCGGTCCTACACGCGACTTTCGCGTATCCTGGGACAAATCGGCCACGATGTGTATCGCAAAAAGAGACAGTCTGGCATCACACTACTGGCCGCGGCGCATAGTATTATGAAGAGTCTGTCCGAGTGGTTTCAGCAGCTTCCTGAAGAAACACGTATTGATCCAGATAAATTGGACAAATGCGTCCGTCGCGAACTCGTTTCGACCTACCTATATTACTACCAATGTATTAACATGACAGCGAGGCCCCTTCTTCTTTACGCCGTGCAACGCCAGATGGCATTAAATATTGGGAACGTACAGAACGAAACTGCCGTGCGGTGGGAAGACGGCCTCTCGTCAGACATTGTCGACATAATTGATGCTGCGATTTCAGCAGCGCGCTCCAGTGTCGCTATTCTGAAGGCGGCGTCCACGTTTAACCTCGTAGGTACGTAGCTTTCCTCATTAGCTTGTGGATTTTACAGTGTCTTCAAAGACTTTGCTGATAGTGGTACACCGAAGCTACATATGGGTTTATCGATGGCGAACAGGCTTTTTCTGCAGCCTTGTTACTTGTCATGGTTAATATTGCCTTCCCATACACGGAAGTAAATGCGTCTGCTATGGACATGGCTCTGCTCATCCTTCAGGACATGGCTGAGAAAGGGAACAAATATATGCGTGCCTGTCACGATTTACTCACAAAGATCCGATCAGCTTTCAAGCCGCCCGTGGCACCGGCATGCAATGAAGAAACAGACCGCGAGGAGGTTCAGAGGCAGCCAGCCTGGATGGGTATCGTTGGCACACCAGGTGAGCAGCAGCAGCAAGACGACTTGTTTCCTGGCGGTAATGCCGGCCACCTCGAGGTATGGGCCGATGTCATCGATTCAATTGGTATCGATATGGATCGCCAATGGATAGGAACGACACTCATGCGCGACAACATATTCAACGTGGGGTCGCATAATGTGCCTCCTTGAGCTGGAAAATATCATGGTATTCGTGAGAGTGTAGTGATGGTTGACTATATTGCTACATCCGAATTCGCTTTATCCCCAAAAGCAGCGAACCATCTATACGTAGAGAAATTAACGATTGCTCCGATATGAGATAGCAGGCTAGATTATTTGTAGGTTTTAGGGCGACTGCTCTTTGATAGATCTCGGTTCACTTAATTTTCTAGCGCAGCTCAAAGTACTATAAGGAGTGTACCTTTTCTTCTGGACTCGTAATGCTAGCCTGGTTATCGCATACATAATCATTAAGACTGACCTGGCAAACATTTGTCAGTAAACGTAGAAAGTAAAATGTGGTCCAAGATTGAATTGAAGCCCTATAGGTATCGAAATGGGCAAAACATTTGGTGTATAATTCACATATTGATCAGTAGTCCAAATTTTACAAGGTCTCCCGTCAGCCCGTGAAGGCTTGCGGAGCCTATCAGAGAAACAGCTGCGAATAGGCATACACCTTGAGTCGGTTACATGTCCTATTTTTGTTCAGATCAGTTTCAGCGTTCTGATGGTCTTAGACTCTGTGTCTCAACAGAATGTGTAATGTATCTTAGATAATCTATGCTCGCCGAGGTCTGCTATTCGGCGCCACTCTCCATTGTAGAATCACCTCTATGGCAAAAAGGCTATATGTAGATGGAGTAAATTGTTCCAGGCTTATCCTCGACACACTTGTTACATCAACCTTATCCACGCTAAGGTCAACCTTGAACAGAAAACTAAGCTATGTTCTTGTGAAGGAAGACAATTCCAATTATTCCATCACCGGAGCCGCTGACTCGGCTGTCTTTGAGGAAGGTGAACATTTTACCGAGGCCGAGGAGCGGGTAATCCTCCGCAGTCCGACTTCGCCGTTGTTTGGATGACAATAGTTCTTTACATGTGCTGGTACTTTGATTGCGCAAAGGATGGGTAAATCAGGGTGAGCCTATCCACCCGGCGTGGTTCTGACGATCGAGTTAAAGGACAGACCTGTATGGGCTCTTCCTATTTCTGCTAACAACGATTGTCTTCCAATAGAAACAACTGCCAGTGGATAACGAACTGTTCCTTCAGATCCTCTATTTCCGAACAGTTGAGCCGAGAGGAATCCTGAGTTAAGGTCTTTGGTTTTATCTTGCCTTGGCATTTTGGGTCATCTCGGTTAGACAACCCGTTACAAGAGGTCAGTATTCGGGGATATTTACTGGCAATTTGAACAGCCATAGAGCAGCCAAGTGCGTGATTGCGATAATGCCCTAAGATGAACTGAGGTAGTCCTAGCAGGTTCTATTGCTCAACGATCGAGCAAGAACACAATGCGTGACTAGCGAGTGAGGGACGGAGTAGAGAAGAGAGCGATCGAGACTAGATCCATACCCTTCGTCTTTCCTTTAATATAAGTCCCAATCTGGGGGGGGACCTCAGAGATGCCTAGGCTTGTGTGGAATCCAGGCGCAGATTTCTGGTTGCTGTGGAACCCTGACGGCGACATGATGAACCCCACCGGTAAGTGGATTCCGAAGTGGAGGCTATCCATATCCAAACCCAATGGGGGTTTGATGCTGCCAGCAAGTGTAAGGTGCGAGCGGCCGTGGAAATGCACGCTTTTTGGAAATTAAACCGTGCTATAGGATCGGTGGCCTGTTCAATCTACGATCCGAAGACCGCCGACATAACGGCATTTAAAATCTTGCGCCTCCGCAAGACTGAGACAAAAATATTCATGACTGCTCTTCTCAAGTTTAATTGAGTAATATCATACCAGCTTATCAACAGACAAGTCGAGTATCATGGCAGCCGACAAAATTACCATTTCCATTGACTGTGGAGGCACATTTACGGACATACATGCCATCATCCCCGGTTAACCTGATATTAGACTTGAGCTTTTTTTTGGTGACCCTGCCAATTTTCAGGATACTCTAACTGAGGATATCTGCAGAGACTTCCAGACTGCCACAGACATCCTGTTATTAAGAGACAAACGATTCTGGCTTGATGATATCAAGTATTTATGAATTAACAAAACAATTACCACTAATATATTACTCAAACACAAGAGGATAAAGTCAGCACTCCTAATTATAAAAGAGTTTAAAATATATATACAATGTATTGGTAATTAAGCCTGTCTAGATAGTCTTAACCTATCTACTTGCAGGACTGATGTCATTTTGAGAGGGTGGTACAAGTGAATAAGTATATTATGTTATTATGTTTATATGTGTTCTAAGACGTGCCCTCGGTTTTTTGTGAGATTAAAACTATTACAGAAAAATTTTTTATATTATCCAGGAATTGGGCTCAAAAAATTAGTTATGGAATTATGATAGTGTATTCGAATATTGGTTCACACCGTGGGTTGCATGAACAAATATCTATTCTAGTGAGAATCTTCTCAATCACGTCTGCCTCGACGATTGTAGTGACATTTCGAGTAAGACTGAGCTGGACGGCTTCCTAGCAACGATTACTTTGCCTACGACCCTGTGGGAGGTCTGAAGGTAGCAGATAGAATATCATAGTGACTTCTGTCAATCTATGGCTTTATGCACTGCCTGATGCCTATAATCACCGACCTGATTCAGTTCCTAAGCAAAGAGTCTATACCAACACGCCCGTAAAGCCACAGAAAAGAAGGAAGCAATCCTGCAACCTAACACATGTGCGATGGTCTAGAGACTAGCAATCCGAAGTTCATCATTCATTGGCTCCGAGGCGAGAGAGTTCTATGGGTCGCCGACATAGTTGTCACCATGTTCAATGGCACTGGTATCAACACCAAGGGTAATGTAACCAATCATTCCCTTAGTCACGTCCTTCCCATCTATGGGTACCACTTTAACAACAGGGTTGAAGCCTCCAGCCGTGTCGTAAGGGAAAACAAGGTCGTCGGCGTTGGTGGTACGGTTGATTTGCGTGTGAGAGGCGTAGGGCTCAAGAGACATAATCTTCTGTTCCAGCGCTTCATCAAAATAAAGCTGACCAGTGCTGACAGTGTTACCAGTTGTAATTGTACCATTTTCACGGAGAGTCCAGTCGGTGTGAACTTGGACATGGATGTGGATTGTACGTTGGATATAGAATCCTGCGGTCATAATTCATAAGTAAGAGTTGAATTGAAGCTGCAGCCAGCCTTATACTTACCAGGGAAGATGGTCTTCATTTCCATCATACCGTGTTTATCGGTAGGCCACATTCCGCGCAGGAAGGTAGTGTGATCGGTGTGCAGGTCGGTGACACCCATTTTGAAGTCGCTCTCATTGATGCCCTCCTGCTTTAGAATCTCAAGAAAAGGGGTGTTCGGCGACAGGTGCGTGAAGCTGGAGTAGGAACCTGTGGCATTGCAATGCCAGATATCGATAAGAACATCTTCAAGAGGTTCACATGTAGCCATGTCGAGAACTCCAATGTCTAGCCACAGTGGTACACCGGGCTGGTCCTCACTTATGTCCTGACGGAGGGTTTGCGAAGGAGGATAGACATAGGGTCCTTGAGTGACCTCGGGGGTCAACACGCAAGTGTCGTTCTGGATGGTCTCGAAGTAGGGCGCCTCAGTGTGAACCGAGAAGGTAGTGTTGTGGCCATGCCAGCGGCGGTCGATATTACGCTTCCAGCGCCGCTCATGGTACTGGGAGACGCTCTTGCGACACTTCATACCCATTACGGAGCGACGGCTTATTTCGCTACGACTCAGGATATCGTGCGGTCCGGCATGGGAAATAACAGTGGCTACTAGGGCCAAGACTGGGAGTATAGATGAAAGATGCATTGTAATCAGCGATTCGGCTTTAGGATTGGAATGAGCTGTCGTGGGATGGAGGGAAAATATTCTCTAGCCTGGCGGACGACCCTGTATATATAGTCACCGGTAAGCATTGATTTAGCTAATGGAGCCGAAAATCGCTGCTTAGCCGTCTAGTTTCTACGTAATGGATAGGAACTCATCCGGTTTGTGGACCATGACAGGACTGAAATCGATGTTGAGTTAGGGATACTACATACGTGACTCCATGTTGAGACAAATACACCAGCTTCGCGTACTTCCAAAACAGTGCGCCAAGTATTACAAAAATAGAGTACATGACGGAATATTCACCCGGACAAGAAATCAATTCCTTCTCATTGGTATACTCCGTCCATCGAGTATCCAATCTTCAGCGGGTGGGGCTTCGCCCTCCACGAACGTTTATATTAACCGATGAGTACCGTAACATGTCTTGTGCAAGTAATTGAGAAATCGATTAGCATTGGTACTAGTCAGAAACCTGCCATTGACACACTTCCTAGCGTAGTAACACGTGCAAGATCCTGTGGAAGAGAACAAGAGGAGTCGGATGGGCCCCGAAGACTATTGATAGATTCACTAGTAATTTGTTATGTTGTATATCTTCAATCTTGCCGCACCCATGTTGACTTAGCATTCCTGTATTGAGGCCGCAATATCAAAGGCACGGTACCTAATGAGACATGTCTTAGAGGGATTATTCCTACTGCGGAAATCGAACTACCAACCTGCCCCACACAATATAACTCTAGATTGGAAAGATCTTCTGGGTGGAAGAAACCAAGACATGACCGAATGGCCTGGCGTTCTTCGAACTTAGCTGCCTAGCATTGACTCTACACGTGCCTTGTCGATGTCAGAGATAGCACTGGATTGAGCAGCAGGATGACCCTAAGATCCTGTGGATGGAGGGCTGGCGTTGGAGGATATCATAGGCCTCCATCGTTCCTTGGATCCACTTGAGTGGAGTTTGTCTCTCCGCGAATGTCCGCTTAATCAGCTACGAGGGACTAATAATTATCAATCTATCGGGGTTGAAGCGCTAAGACTAGGACCCGTTCACTTTAGTACTACGTACGTACCAGATAATTACTTTGGAGCGGAATGAATCCACTCCACGGAGTTATTTGGGAGAGGGATCAGCGACCCGCATACCTTGTGAGTGAGCAGGACTGTGAAGAGAAAATACCGAAAATGG